AACTTTCGCAGCCCGCTCCCCAGCCTGCTGCGGCTCCTCCTGTTTAGGGCTGCTCCTTCCAGATTGAAACGTCTACGGATTTGACCTATGCATCATGTGGGCGTTTATCGAAGCAACCAATGGGCTTCAAAAAATTTTCAATTATGCTTTCTCTCTTTGTTTTGAGTCAATTTTGCGACTTTGTTTTCTTTGTTTTGTGTAGCATTTGGGATTGGATGGCTCTTCTCTGAGCTGAAATCAGATTTTGGATCCTGCGCGTTCTGCAAGGATTCAAGAATTCAAGGAGTGACCTTCCCAGTCTTTACGGCGTTCTAGCTTGATGCTTTCATATGGGCCAGGCGGTGTTGTTTCCAGGGGCGGTTTACAGCCTTGCCTCGCCTCATATACCCGAGTGTTTGCTTCCCGACTTTTAGTGCGATTTGTTCCTGATTAATAGCAGATTGTACGAATAATATCATCTTTACGAAATCGTATTTTCCAATCATAGTAGCCTTGCTCTGTAATCCATAACCCCAAGAAACCATCTGTTAGCCCCAAATACGATGGTTCCTCGTGGCATTGAACCAGATATGCACGCTGATACTCGAAGTATAGGGCAGCCAATGATATTCATGAACGTGACATTTCTTTACTCCTAAGGCACCTAGGCTTCCACGCGATAGCGATAGTTCTCAGGCAAACATTTCAGCCACACCACTTCTATCCCAGACGCCCTTGTCTTGCAGGCTCCCACGAGGCTCTGGCGAGACCTTCGTGAGCACGGCCGTCTCGGAAGCCCCGCTGGCGGCGTCCATATCTAGAAGGTCGGAGTTAGGAGAAAAGACCGCTGTTAACAGGCTCCGTACGGAGGTCGAGGCTCCCGACAGTGGCCTATGAGGCGTCAAGCTTGGTCATAATACCCTCGAACAACCGATATGACTCCTTGGCTGACAGCACTAGGCTGTGACTCATTATTACGCGGATCGCGGGTTCGGTCCTTGACTCGCGCGAGGGGCTCAACGCGATATCACATGATGGCCTTGGTGCGTTGTTTTCGTGTTTTCTTAAGTCACTTTCTCCGCCTGTCTTCATGTGGCTTTGGATAGCGAAGTATAATCTCGTGGGTGTAGGGCGTAGGCAGCGTTCTAGGCGGAAGTGTGGCTGCTCGGGTTGCTCGGGATAGTGCGATAATCGCAAGAACGACAAAATGTATATCACAGCACGCTATGTATTATTGTAGGTATTTCTTCCATTTTTTGCCTGATGCATCGGCTTTACACACATGACCGGGATAGATTTGTAACAAAGCCCTCAGGTAACTACTCTCAAGTACATCGCGTGTATCTTGATCAACAGATATTTATACAGTTTTTACTTCCTGCTTTCGACCCGCACATTTAGATATAATACTACATACGTTATTGATAATATACTATAGCTCTGTATGAAACACAAAATTGGCTCAGACATAAGTATATCACTTGCAAACATCGGGTGTTTCTTTCGTACTGGCAGCCAAAGCGTCCTATACTTCTAGCAATGAAAGACAGCTAGGACGGTCTTGACAACTGCCTAGATCGTTAAGTCTGGTTAAGATTAAAGAGGGGAGATATTCTAAATTCATCTTGTCAGATCTAATGTTTCAATTCCGTACTGCCTTGCTACTACTCTAAGCCGAGATATTGGCAAGGCGATAATTATTTCTGTCAACCCTCCTTTAAAGTGTGATTACAAACCTGAGATACCGATCTCGTTTGTAGTTCTATTCTCTGCTAGAGTATGACTTTTTCCTGGATAAAATGCAGCGCCTTGATCAACAATAGAGGCGGCGTCGATACATATAGCCGATGTTATGTATCATAGAGATGTTGCACAATTACGGTACCAGTTTAATTGCGCAAGGTTCAGTCGTTGTATTGAAGGCTGTCAAGCATATGTGTTTCGTTGGTTGTGTTCAGGACCTCCTACGCGCTCGGTGCTCTGATTCTGGACTAGAAAGATCTCCACAATGATCATTATATAGGCTGCATTTGATATATCTTGATCTACACAAGTTCCTGAGATGCAACAAGATTGAAGATGCTTTGAGATATCTTATTTCTTTAAGTTTGTACATAAACTTCTCGAAGAAGTTCAATAATTAAGGCAAATGTCGAGGCCTCGAGGGTTTATAGACTAAGGTTGATAGTGGAGACGCCGATAACGATAAGGGAAAAAAGTTCAAAATTCCACCCCACGTTCGATTAAAGACAGTCACATTCCTCACAAAAGACCAAAGGAAACGAGTTTCTCGTCGAATATATATAATGCCTCACGCCCCACGTCAGGGAAACCGCAGGAGGTCCCCAGGTCCGAAAGCCAAATCGCAAAAACCAAAGCAAGCGCCACCAGCAAACAAACAGCACGCCAATCGCAAAGCCGAAAAAGCCAAAGCCGACGCCGAACAAGCTGAGGAAGAAGAGTCTTCCGGACTTAACCTTGTCAGCACAATTCCTCTCACCCTTCAGCAACTGCTTTTGGACGTATTCAAAACAGCCCTCCTCGGCAACCCAGTCGCAGAATTGGAATCTGCAACCCAGGATACCAACCCTACTGAAACACAAGATGAAAATAAAGATGAACCACTAGATATTAAATCTCTCATCCAAACAATTAAGGGGCTTTTGTACCAGCGCGATTTTGACTCTGCCTTCACCGAGGCAGGTAAGGATCTCCTGCGCGCCTATGCCTTGCGTTGGAGTGCGTCCCGGTCACTTGGATATGCCGGCCTGTTGAAGGGAGTTTTGAGTTGGATGAAAGAGGAAGAGGAAAACACGCGAGGCCGTGCTAGAAGCAAGAATCCTTGCACCCGTGTTGTGTCAATTGGTGGCGGAGCCGGTGCAGAGATCGCTGCTCTTGCAGCCGCGTGGAGAGACATGGGCTCCCAAACCCAGTCTCTAGAGGAACGCGTTGCCAGCGTGTCTCTTGAAGACAAGGAATCTCAAGACGAGAAGAAGCCTGAAGTTGAAGATCAAGGTGCCAGCGCACCCAGTCTCTCCGTCATGGCTGTTGATATCGGAAACTGGTCGGACGTTGTTGACAGGCTTTCGCGAACCATCACATCGGCTGATGTGCCATTTTCGCAGACCACAAAATATCGTCCCCCGTTGCTGTCGGAGAAAGTAGCCAGTGAAACATTCTCGGTGGCTTTCCGTCGCGCGGATGTCCTGACTCTTCCCGAGGAGAACCTGAAAGAAATTCTGCTCGGCCCTTCCTTGTCTACTCCTTTCACTTCCGTCCTCGTTCCTATCATGTTCACTTTGAATGAGCTCTTCTCTACCTCTATGCCAAAGACCACCGGTTTCATGCTCAAAATGACGGAAATTCTTCCTGCTGGTGCGGTGCTTCTGGTTGTTGATAGTCCCGGCAGCTATTCGACTTTGAAGTTAGGAACAAAAGGACCGGATGGCGAACCACAAGAGAGGAACTATCCGATGAAGTTCTTGCTTGACCATACGCTGCTGAATGTGGCGAAGGGCAAGTGGGAGTGCGTATACACTCAGGACTCGAGATGGTGGAGACGGGACGCAGTGCGTCTGCGGTATGATGTTGGCGAAGGAGCAGGCTTGGAAGATATGCGCTTCCAGATGCATGTGTATCGGCGTTTGTAGATCTGATGTGTCCTATATCCTGATATATAAATACCCATTTAACGAACAATACGATTTGAGTCATCCAAAAAGAGAGAGGTGTGGAGTGAGGTATGGTATTGCTACAGATAAGAAAGGTGGTTTAGTTCAGACCACTCCAAATTCACGCCACGAGGCCAGGCTCGCCCCAAGTCGCGGCAAAGATTGCGATTAATTGGTACATTCAATGAGTTGTAAAAACGGGGCCCATAAATCCCCGAGCCTTATAATACCCCCCTAACTCCGCAGACCCAGCAACATGCTAGTGCCCTTGTTTCCATCCTTTCCGTCTCCTGCACTGGGTAGGTAAGTAACGTTGGGGTTCGCGGACAAAGTCTGGGCGATCTCCTTGCTGGCTTCGATACGACGGATCTCAATCAGTCCGCTACCAGCCTTGGCGACGGCCTTGCTGATAATTTCGGCACTCAGGGCTTCACCCTCAGCGCGGATGACGTTAGCCTGGCGCTCCTGCTCGGCACGCTCGACGATGAATCGGGCACGCTCGGCATCCTGCTGAGCGATCTGCTTTTGCTCGACGGCTCGCGTGAACTCCTTTCCAAAGGTCATGTGTGTGATGGAGACATCTTCGAGCGCGATATTGAACTGTCCGGCACGCTTCATCAAGTCGGTACGGATACGGTTGGAGACAGCTTCACGTTGTGTGATCAGCTCGGCGGCGTCGAACTGGGCCACGATGGCCTTGAGAACTTCGTTTCCGATGGATGGGAGGACACGCTCATCGTAATCGGTACCGTATGACTGGATAACTTCGGGTTAATCTTTTGTTTCGGTAGATGCTTGGGGATCATAGGAGATACACACCTGGTAGATCTGCGGCAGCTTCGGCACCTCCGGGCGGTGCAACACACGCAGCGTCAAGCTGACCATCTGCAAATCCTTACTTCCTGTCGTGGTGGAGATGTTACGAGGCTTCGTTCGGACATCGTAGACAATTGCGCGCTGCAACCAAGGGACCAAGAAATGTGTTCCTTCGTTGACAACCTTCTCTTGCACACCAGACACTCGATCGAAGATGACAGCTCGTGTGCCACCCTTAACATCGTAAAGGGAATTTTGAACTAGCATACCCCCAATGGCTACGGGGAAGGCCAGCCGATAAACATTTTGGAGGATTTGAGCCATGGTTGGAGGTGGAGGGCGAGGTGATGAGGACGGATGATGGAGATGATGTCTGCTTTTCCCGTTGCTCACTCTGAGTGTTCCCAATCGGGTTTAGTGCCCATCTTTCCAAACCTCCAACTTCGCCCGACTCACGTCTTTTCCTCACTCATTTCGCTACCTCCATACCCTTTTCTCCACCCACTCCTCTCTTTTTACCAGAAATCATTCACAATGGGTGGCTCTGTGGACCCTAAGAACGGACAGTAAGTCGTTTCGCGTTTGCTCCTGGTGTCGTGGGTTGAGAACCGGTCTCCCGGATGCGTTACCCGCCCGGCTACACAATGCAATTCCCAAAAGATGTCAATTCAGTCGGGCTTCAATAGATCCAATGACTTCTACTTTTTGTATTTCAGTTAACTGACAACTTTTGCTTTCTATAGCTTCATCGGCAACTGGGGTGAATTCGGTACGTTTGACAATAACCCTTGAACCTTTCATACGGACCCGATGCATGCGCAAGAAACCGACCCCTTTCGCGATATGAAAGATCACGACCAGGAATGGAGAAAGATCCAGTGGAACACGCAGGAGAATTCAATTCGAACGAATCGCTAATATCCTCCTTCCAGGTTGCCCGACCCCCCAGCGCATCGCCACCTACTCGCTGTCCGCCAACCGTCAGAAGCCTTTCGCCGGTGCTGGCCATGCTGCTATCTTCAACGTCTTCCGTCGGTTCCGTCACCAGGTTCTCTACGTTGTCCCCCCTTCGTTGCCGCATACGCTGTCATGAACTGGGCCATTGAGCGGTAAGAATGACCGTACGAGCCGCTTCTATCGATGCGCTAATTTGATACCTTAGCAACGAGTACCTGAACTCCAAGCCCGGTCGTCTTCTCGAGGGTGGTAACGAAGAGTAAATTATTTCAATTTGTTTCTTGGAGTGAGGTTGGATTGGTATAACAGAGCATGATACACCCAAGACTCTGCAGTTTGGGGGAGAGCTGTATGCTTGTACAGTAACTAGAAAGCAATCGACCATGTGATTTTCCTTTTATCTACCATCTTTTTTGCGTTGAGATGGGTTTATATTCTTATTTTTGAAGTGAAGCTTGAGTAAGCGTCTTTCTAGAGCTCTCTATTGGTTCTTGAGATGTGCATACCCAATTATGGACATGGGACATGTCTACTGGATGAAATTGCAATCAATCAAGGGCCATTAGAAGGTAATAATACCAAGTACCTATGTTAGAATTCCAGTCCTGTTTTTTAAGGATGACTGGGGGTTGGTCGCAGCCCAGTGGTTCCCCACTTAAAGCAAGAAGCAAAAAATTCGCCCAAAAAGGCCAAACTTCCGCCGTGCCATTTTTCTTCGAATGCTTCGTCTCTCCAGACTCTCTTCTGCTTTCTACTCATCATCTATTTTCCCCCGTCAATTCTCTTCTTTACATATCAAAATGAGCGAGCTTACCCACCCCACCATCGTGGGTATGTGTCCACCACCCCTCTATTACCCCGCCTTCTAGTTTTGCCATGCTAATGTCCTACAGATGGCTGGTTCTCCGAGAAGTCCGGCATGTGGCCCGGTCAGGCCATGAGCCTTAAGGTCAACCAGATCATTCACCACGAGAAGTCCAAGTACCAGGATGTCCTCGTCTTCGAGAGCAGCGACTACGGTACCGTTCTCGTCCTGGACAACGTTATCCAGTGCACCGAGCGCGATGAGTTCTCCTACCAGGAGATGATCACCCACCTCGCCATGAACTCCCACCCCAACCCCGAGAAGGTCCTCGTCATTGGTGGCGGTGATGGCGGTGTCCTCCGTGAGGTCGTCAAGCACGCCTCTGTCAAGGAGGCCACTCTTTGCGACATTGATGAGGCTGTCATCCGTGTCTCCAAGAAGTACCTCCCCGGCATGGCCATTGGCTTCCAGCACCCTAACGCCCACACCCACGTTGGTGATGGCTTCGAGTTCCTCAAGAACCGCCAGAACGAGTTCGATGTTATCATCACTGACAGCTCCGACCCAGAGGGTCCCGCTGAGAGCCTCTTCCAGAAGCCCTACTTCGAGCTGCTCAAGTCTGCCCTCCGCGAGGGAGGTGTCATCACTACCCAAGGTTGTTCGTCACTTTCTTTTCTCCCCCTTTTTCGTAGAACAATCACTCTTTGATTGTTTATTCCCCCCCACTTTGTCATCTCTCCAACAAAAGGATCACACGCTAATTTTGTTCGCACCACCCCGCAACCAACCCGCTTTACGGGCTCGGTTTTGCGGAGCTGTGCTTTTTATCTAACAGCCGAGAACCAATGGCTCCACCTGGACATGATCGCCGAGCTTAAGAAGTCCTGCAAGGAGGTCTTCCCCGTCGCCGAGTACGCCTACACCACCATCCCCACCTACCCCTCCGGTCAGATTGGCTTCATGGTCTGCTCCAAGGACGCCACCCGCAATGTCCGCGAGCCTCTCCGCACCTGGACCGCCGAGGAGGAGCAGAAGCTCTGCCGCTACTACAACCAGGACATCCACCGCGCCAGCTTTGTCCTGCCCAACTTCGCCCGCCAGAAGCTCGGCAACTAAGTGTTGTGGTCTTTGAAAAAGCTTTTGTGGTCTTTATATTCTCATGACGATATTGAAATGAAATCATGGATTTCCGTACACTCTATTTTGTAGATTGCTCCCTTTGCCTTTATGTCCTATGTGTAGTCTTACCTTATGCAGGGCACCTATGTTTCCTCTGCCACTTCTTGGCGTTCCCTTTCCGCTTTAGTACTCAGTCCTTGCCGCTTTTTGCTCACTAAGTACAACTGAGCACGCCCCTGAGCGCCCTGATCCGCTCACTGAGTCTGGGTTAGGGTGAGCGGCCTGAGTAAGCTGCATCAATAAAATGCAACACGCTAGTCCCATCACGTGCAACCATCCACTTTTATAGATGGCACCCATCGTCCCGGCAAAATAAAGGCTGGCATTTCAATGTGATCTTCAATCCTGGTAAAATGATGTGGTAGCTTATGGGATAGGTTTCGTCATCTGGAATCGGCAATCCTTGACCACTTGAGAAATACGGTATGCGTATACGTGGATAACACACCATAAACTGTGTTATTGTCTCTCATTTGTTCAACGAGGTGGCCTAGATATCTGTCAATCGTGTGCCTTCGACAAAACATTCAGACGTGTTACCGAGATGACATTGCAGTGGGCTAATACTGGACCAGCCAGCGCCGATTTGGTAGGCATCGAGTCTGACGGTCCAGAATGTCTTCAGCTCGGTTGGTAGAATGGTCTTCCGGTATTGACCAGGTTGAAGAAGAACGACGTCAGGAATCACGTCAGTCGGAGGAAGCGCGGCTTGACGATCGCCGAATTGCAAAGGGAGCCCGGCATACTTACACGCTAGAGAGACGGCGTCGCAGACATGCTTGTCGAACCGCCCGGTGAGGCCAAGTTCACTTCCAATCACATAGGTGTCACCAGTGACATCCGTGCACGGGACAAGCCCATTCAGATCAGTGTTTTGAATTATTTCACGAACGTCGTCCTTAAACGAGGTCCATTCATGGAACAATCTCACTGAAATAAATGACCGAGAGTTTGATGGGTGATGGGTCCCAATTTCTTGAGTGAGTATCGGCAATGGCCGGGCCAGCAAATCACTCGCCGTTTCTATGCCAGAATGCTGGGGGTGAGAAGTAGCCTGAGTGACGATAGGGTTTGTAGGTGAGGGCTGTAGCATTGTGTCGTCCCCTACTATAGGTTGTTAGTAGTAGAGGGTTTGAGGTGGTGGCCGGGCCGTTTGGTGGGACGCGGGCTGGTCCGCTGGTGTTGGCGTCGACGAAGACGACGCCGGAAAGCCCTCGAGATCGTTCGGCAGCCTCGAAGCTAAACGGGTAAATTCATTAACGGCTTTTCTCAACGGCCGTTGAGATAGGGCTTCTTTGGGTATGGACTGAGCGTGGACTGAGTGCTCAATGGATGGCTCTGATCAATCTCTGAGTAATCAGTGAGTGATCAGTGACTGAGTCTGAGCCCGGATTGAAATTTACTCAGCCTGACTCTGAGCGCCCTTATAAAAGCGGCGGCAACTAATAAGCGGTTGCTTGTAGATGTCATTGTGAAGGTGGGACCTAATTTCAAGAATCCTAAAATTTGGATCTCAGGATTGCGGCCTTACTATTGCTGTCTCTCACTCTGACTAGTATATCTTGATTAACAACTCACTCGCGATATTTCCCCGTTTCTTCTTGTACCGAAACACAACACCGTTCATCTGATCTAAGTCTTCAATATGCGGCGACGATCCAATGTACATCTCGAGTGATTCATCTTCATTGGACGTCGAAATTGATTAACCTTGAAAGCTCTGCGGAAACGAGAGCCGGTCCCATTAAATGTGAGGTTCAGAGGGCTGACACCCATCTATACGGCAGGCTTACATCATGGTTTTTGTTTTTCTTGTCTACAAATATTCAGCAATAGTCGCCACCGTAGTGGAAAAGTAGATCTTCGTGCAATTCACTTGCTCCCAGTTGACCTCCGGTCCATCACAATGAAGATCTATAGGCATTGCGTTCCGTTCGCCGTCTCTCTTTTCCTGGTGACCCCAATTTTCGGACAGGAAACTCTCAATGCTACGGATGACACAGGCGCCGTCCTTGTTGGCATCGCACAAGGCGGAACAACCCTGTGTACGTCAGATGACATTGCCAAGATGGACGTGAGCGGTTGTACATGCCCATCAACTTTCTCACCGTCACCCAAGGACCTGGTGTGCGTTACACCATCGGGACAGTGTCCTATCAACTGCAATCCTCCACCCCCCGCGTCCCCCGTGATACCTCGAGCCGAGCTCTCTCGATGTTACTCGGGCTGTGTGAACGCCAATTCCGAATGCAACGGCTGCTACATCTGGTTTTCCAGTCTGTGCAGGTGCATTCGCGACTTCCAATCTGGAACACAGACAACTTGCATCGCCAGCCCTTCAATTGGCGTTGGCCCACCTCAACCCAATCACTCCCCTTCGTGGGTCGTCCTCGGTGGTGGGGACTTGATTACAACTACGGATTTGATACCAGGGATTTTGCAATTGAGTTCTGCTGCTGACATGGACGGAGGATTTCGGCTTGGTCAGGATACACTCAGAAACAGGGGGATTAGGGATACAGGAACACTTGCAATAAATAGTGTCTCCACGCGCTCCGAGGAGCAGGCTCATATTCATGTCTGTGATCATCCTGGCAGTACTGTGCGTAGTATTCTTGATACACTGCAGCGGGATAATTTTAAGACGACATCGTCGGTCGACCTGTCCGCTCTTCCTAGGCCCAGTGCTGCTATGTCCTGTCGGGCATCGCCTAACAAAGATGAGGACATCAACATGGGCCGTGATATTTTTGAGTGGCTGAAGCAGTATTTTGGCACGATGACCTGTGTTCAATATGATGTCGGTGCTGGAGTTATCACTGATAGTAATGGTCACTCTTGGGCTTGTATTACTACTGGTCATAGAGCTGCTGAGAGTATGTTTTGTAGTGATTGAATCTTGGATGTCGAGGGCATTTAGTCGAAGGATGTACTAGTGTATCCTTTGTATTACTATCTACGCTATTGATACTAAACCCTTTTACCTTGCAGGCTTGCGGGCCCCTGAACTTGTATATATATAGATATGTGCGTGTACCCAAGTAAGATAGGATCCTAAGGTAATAGACCAAGATTAGCGTGAATCAACATGACTGGTAGGTACTATATGTGTAGCAGTATGTACTGGGCTTTATGTCGTAGGTGCGAATTTCCCGATCGGGTGCTGCCGCTTTAGACAGGGTGATTACTTAGTCGACCACTTAATTGCACTGGGTAAACAATCAGATGAAACCTTAGTAGGTTGGTTAGTTACTCAGTTCCACGGATGCTTAGGATATGCTTCGTAATGTCAAAATAATGCTCAGATTGGTACACTGCAGTATCAACTTGGATGATACATCTTGGGTCCATCTGCATGACCCTCATATCATAACACTGCTTGGGTGTCGTTACTTTAGCGCCAACGTATGGGGGTAAAGTGGAATGAAGAACATCAATCAACACGTAGTATATCACAGAATTAAGAGCGGTAAACACAATCTTCTCTCGGCGAGATGTAGAATCGATCGAACTGCTTGTTATAGTCAATCAGTAGAGGTACGGAAGTGCATGATCCCCGGTTTGATATGGCTACATAACAGATATTTGCCTTTAGGAGCATCGCCACTAGAAATAAGCGACTTCCCGTGTAATCCGAATGTCCAATCGTTCCCTACCTACCAGTACAGACGGCGGTAGCTTGCAGCTTGACGACATTAGCGGATGTCGACAGAACCAGCTTCAGGCGCAACAACAAGGTCCAGGAGTTATTGGGGTATCCTGTTGAAGTGTGTCTTTTTTTATTTAGCCATGACATGTTCAGGGTCCTAGCATCTTATCGGATTTGGAGTCTTTGTGTTAGAAGGCTGAAATTCCCGCTTGGCACCGTTTAGAGTGTGAAGTATATACATTGACCGCGTCCGCCCATGTATTACCCAAAGTGGTCAATTTTCATATCGAACACAACTTTGTAGAGTACAACTCAAAGCAATAATAGCCAATCAATTACTGAGCCGGAAACAAGCGTAATCAATATATAAATGCATAGTATATATAGCTTTTAGAAAAGACCAATTAGTAATAACAAGGCACTTTGGCGGAGTGGTTAACGCGATGCCCTGCTAAGGCATTTCCCTCGGGAGCGTGTGTTCGAATCACACAGGTGTCGATTTATTTTTTATATCTCACTTCACGCACGCTCTATATAAGAAATTACTCTTGTTTTAAAATCGGTACCCCTATTTCTCAACCTCTACATATATATGTACTCGGCCCTGCACGGGTTGAATGCAGAATGTACCTTTTCTATGGCCGGCCGCATTCAAAAGATATTTGGGAAACTGTATATCGACCTCGTTCAATTCTAGGAGGTGAGTCAATATCAAGAACCTAGTCTACATATTTAGCTTTACAAGAGTAGCTTTTATCTTCGTATATTTTTGTAAAGTAACGTATTTCACAAGCGAGTGGGCCCCCTAACACGAAACGTGTCCATGAATTAGCCCTTGGTTACTCCGTAGTTCAAGCACCCACCATGCCACCAATTGGCTCTCAAAACTCTCGGAATTCAATGGAGCAAGAGGGTAGGATCATATTATCCATCGGGGCTTTTAGGAATCAAGAAACCAGCACTATTCGCGAGGTGGCACGCTGATTTAAAGTACCTCGCTGGTGATGCATTTCGTCCTAGAGCACCCGCCGGTAACTATGAATAGATAGAAACTAAAATGGAATCTCTTTACAAATGGATACCCTCTATGGGTCCTCGCGGATTCGCCCCCCGGCCTTCTACTATACGAGAAATGTATCGAAAAGCGCGGAAATACCTCGATTACTTCGGTAGGTGGAAATTGGGTTCATAAAACGACATCCTATACTCTCAAGTCGATTCTCGAGAAGGTATAATTATAAACGTGCGAAATATGAAGACCCGAAAATTATTCGAGGGTGGTTCGATCTTATTTAAAAAAAAAAACCCTTTAACGAGACCGGTTTCGTAGTAGCTATAGCGTCCACGGGTGTCACGATCTACGCTATTACATGCTTTCGTTTGCTTTCTTTGTTTCCTTTGTTCTTCAGTTACTACTATTCCTACTCGGGTAGTGGTATCGTTTCTAATTATGAAAGAGATTGTTTGCTTGCTGGGATAGCTCTGCTATAAGATCCTCTAAATTCACCGCTTGCTTATTCTCTCCTTCTTTCCTCTCCATCTTTAGTTGAGTGCACTCTTTCTTGGTTGGTTAACCTGGCATGTAATAGGCTGTATTATAACTCTATATGTTAAAAAAAAAAAATATTATGTATATATATATCGATGATGAGGTAGGTAGTTGAGATATGTTGTATATACTTCTTTCGAGGTCCCCTTTCTATGTAGCTCCCATAGAAAATGTTCATTTTGCATTCAACTAGTTTTTGTATAAGAGGGGTTGTTGGGCCGCGTGGAGTAGAACCGAGTATAATCTAGAAAAATCCGGGCTCTTCTCTATAGTTAGATATTCAAAAGACTACCTTACCTCCTAAATAAACCTTTAGTGTTTATTCTAGAAGAGATGTCTCTAACGACCCTCATATATATATCATCATGTGGTCGAATTAAAAATTAAAAGGCTAACCTGATAAAACGGACAACATGAAGGGAAAAAAAAGACGACACCTGTGTGATTCGAACACACGCTCCCGAGGGAAATGCCTTAGCAGGGCATCGCGTTAACCACTCCGCCAAAGTGCCTTGTTGGTAACATTTTCTTAATATGTTTAATCCTTAGCTCTTGATAAGAATCTCTTCCAATAGTTCGGCAGCGTCAAATCACCGCCTAATAAAGGCAGACGATCTCGTAGCATCACCCTAATCATGCCTGAGGCTTTATGTGATTGTCTACTCAAAAAGCCCATCGTGTACCTTGACGAAATGGCGACTTTCCTGTGAGACGAATTCGCTATTCAAGCAGCGAAATCGAGCATCAGCCGCGCTCTTACGCCCAAAGGCTGGTCTAAAAAACACCGCCCGAGTCAAGGCCCGAGGGCATAATCTAGACCTGCGTGACGAATACCTCCACTTTTTCTCTGACTTCCAGTCTTATAACCTTGTCTATATGGATGAGTTTAAATGTGATAAAAGGATAGGCTTTAGGAGAACGGGCTGGTCCCCACTAGGTATAGCACTAGTCTAAGTATCTAAATTCCATCGTGACAAGCGATATTAGATACTTCCTGCGTATGCCTAAGATAGCATTATTTTGTTTCGAGTGTTCTAAGGCTTAATTTATGCGTCCGTCTTTGAGGATTTTATTGCGCAGCTTCTTAAGCATTGTGGGAAATGGCCCGAGCCGAAGTAACGCATCTTTTCATCACTCGGAGCGAATAGGACATATGTGTTCAGAAGTCGAAGTAAAGCTGGTCTTTTTGCTTCCAACCTCTCCAGACTTAAATCCTAGTAAGGAGTTGCTGAATTGAAAGCCTTCATTCGGCGAAATTAGCAGTCTTACGGAGAAAACCCGGACCAAGGATTCGATGCCTTCCTCGACTGGTGCGTTGACATCGTCGAAGTAAGGGGGAAGAGCGCAGAGAGACATTTCCGGCATGTAGGCCTGACCATAGAGGAGATGTAACGCGGCTACTTCTCATAATACACATTCCACGCGAGGTATGTCCCACACTCTCATTTTCACGGGACACCGGCCTCGCCGTTGACCTACGCTACATTAGCTTCAGACACGAATGCCCTGTGCAAATTTACACGCCATGCCAAAGAATAGATAACCCCCGCTACTATAACGCAGCATCTAGTCTATATTATTTTGCTTTCCAAGTCTGGGAATTCTTATCCCTTCCGTTCTGGTGGCTCTTTGCAAGTACAAGTTGTGTTATAGACTCATTGACCACGCAATCGATTCCCAACTCCCGGCCACGCCTGACGATCCAGCCGTTGATATACTCAATTTCCGTCCCTCGGCCTTTGCGAATATCTTCGCGCATACTACTCGAGTTTTGTGCTGTCTTATTAATCGTGTCCAATAGAACAGTTTCAAGCATTTCAACTGAGAAATGGGCCAGATCGCGCGGAAAGTTCTGGAGCTCGGGAAGTTTCCCATAAACCATCGAGATTTCTTTGAGAAGGCGGCAATGCAGAGGCCAGAGGTCACGGTTATCCTTGATGTCACCGTTTCGCACATCTAGTAATGCCGTTAAAGGGTTGAGCACACAATTCGCAGCCAGCTTCAGCAGCTGCTCCCGAAGAAGATGTGGCCACTCCATCTTTTCACAACGAAGGGCGGGAGATTTAAGCAAAACATCTAGTAGGAACTGAGGCTTGGATGGCCCTGATGAAAGTTCTTCATTTCCTACGATTCCTAGAGCAGCAGAACCATTCGAGCTCGCGAGAATAACCTCGGTCGAAGATCTCAGATAGACCCCATGACGCATGATGCCAAAGATGTATGTTGGTCGTGTGGAAACATCCGGAAACATGCGTTTGTTGAGATCTTCGACCTGACCTAGTCCATTCTGAAAGAGACAGATTGTCGAATGTGACCCTAGTCGATGTCGAATGGGCTCGAGGGCAGACACCGTGGCGGATGCTTTGACAGCAACTATCAAGTTATAAATCGGGTGAGAGTCGGCCGATTCTCCCAGCATCTCTGCGTCAAACCTCCCTACTTCGTGTAGATCGCCGTTTTCTCCTAGTCGTAGACCTATCTTCCACCGCTTGGAAGCTAGTTCTTCATAGAGATTTGATCGATGGACAAGTAAGGTGACGGAAGGTGGGTTGGGAAGAGACCGAAGTGAGTGGGCAACAAAGGACCCAATGCTGCCCAGGCCTATAATATGGGCTGTCTGAGCTGAGGTCATGATGACTGCGAGGAAATTTAAATTGCTTCAATGATACGGAAGCAAGACAGTAACTAATTAACTCTGTTGCTAGAAATCTTGGAGTTCTCGACGGCGCGGAAAGATGCGGTGTCGGAAGGTTCTCCGACGATAAGCCGATAAGCAGCTCGGTCATCTGGCCGGAGTCCGATAATCGCACTACCGGGAGCGTCTCCACTCATTCTCGGCCCGATCAGAACTCATCATAGATCAGTTCCGTAAACACACATAATCCCTGTAATAATTGGATTGGAGTCGCCTTACTAAGAAGAAAATTTGATGAATACCCACACCCGCAACGGGTCGAATGCCGGCCTATCTAAGTCACTAGTGTCGAAGACCTAGACCCAAGAATTTTCCAGCAGCCCAAACCGCCAACCGCCAATCTGGGCGACAACGAAAAATTCCGTGTAATGATTGCCAGGTTAGAATCAACTTACTGCCTGTGACTCTGCAGCAACAAATACGTTGCGATCAGTATTAAACATCTTCCTCCATTTAGCTATCACCCGCATGTTTACTAATGAGCATCAGCTGGGATATTACGAATACAGACTTTGGCAAGAAATATCTTCTATACAATTGGGTCATTGAATTCTACCAAGGACCGACGTCAACAGTTGTGAGTCGATATTGGTAGATCGAAGAGATCAACATCGTCAATTAAGTATTAGCACTCTCGTTCCCAATAAAGGTACCGACGTCTTCAGCGTGACCGTCGACTTCCTTTCCTCGCTGGTCAGGGCACCGCTCTCATTTTATCTCCTCCTCTTCTTCTCCTCTTCCTCCCTTGACCATTCTTTTGAAAGTTTCAATTTCAAAGCCAATTTCCTATCCCACATATCCTGAATTATATCGCGAAGATTAGTCTCAATTTGGAGCCCTTATGACTAAGGCTGGCGATATTCCAATCTCACAAGTCGCGGCATATTCTCTTGTTTCAGTCTCTGTTCCACATGAATTTCACCCTCACAAGGCGCAATTTCCGCTGTCAGAGCTTCTACGACTACATCCTACCCTCGGTCCATTCCTATAACCCAACGATTCCGGAAATGCCAGCTTCCCTGTTTTCTCTGTGGTTGGGGTATGACTGTGATTGTTGTTGAGATTCCGAGTATCAACGCCTTGGCTGCCGTAGATATGCCCATCGGATTGATAAAACTTTCTTCTGCTCTGAGTGGGGGGTATCTCAATGCTGGCTGGGATGGCGAGGGGCTCATCAACCTTTACTTCTATGTGCGTGATGTGCCTGACGGTGGAAGGACAGTTCTTGTACGCGCATGCTTCTGGGAAATTTTGAAGATCCGGCCACTGGTAGCTCTGCCATTAGCTTCGCAGCATACCTCTCCTTGGTCAGCCAACAGCCTGAAGACAAAATCGTGTTTGACTATGACATTGTGCAAGGAATTGAAATGGGACGCAAGAGCGATATTGGCGTTCATGTTGTGCTTCGCGGTGACAAAAAGGGAAGTAGAGAAAGTGGAATTCATCGGAAGCGCCATCCAAGTATCCTCTGGTCAAATTCGATTGAACTGATGTATGGTCCTCATAGGAAATTGATGTTAAAGAATGGCGCCCTAGATGCCTGGATGCCCAGATGCCCGGCTACAACCGACTCCTCTTCTTGTGTCTCGCTGTGTCGATGGGTACGAAGTGGCGGATGGTTTGCGAGGATCATTTTGTAAAGTCTAGTCTGAGAATAGTGATAAAGGCTATACGAAACCCCTCGCAAAGAACTCACGTAAATTTTGGTAGCTTGATTATTTTCATTGGAAGTATATAGCATCCGTGTAGGCCTCCGTTCCCAATTTTCGTTTTTCCATTGCTAACATGTACTGAAAATTCCATCGTGCTTAGAGGCTTACACAAGCGGCTAGAGTTTGCCTGGTTTGCAAAAAGCCCTCTCTCAGGTGTATTTACAGTAATTTTCTAAGCACTCATCTCGCTAACTTCCCTCATTCAATAACTACACAGTAGGTAAAATACTAAATTCATGGTCTAGGCCCATAAAAGACTAGCGCGCAGATCTGGCGCTCAGAGAGTGGGGATGTGTAATCTTATGAAATTATTTGCTGTAGAATGCCGGTGTTGGCTGTTCTCTATTCGCTGTAAGATGTCTAGACTGAATTGCTATTGATTTCGTTGCAAGTGAATTCTCCGCATTTCACGTAGGGCCGACAAGAGGTTTATAAGACAGTGGGGTCAATTCTAACGATGTGTGTCTACACATTAGTTAGGAGCTAGTAGGAGTAAGAGCGGGCGTGAAGGGAGATTAAAAAAAATCTCGAAAAAAATCGACACCTGTGTGATTCGAACACACGCTCCCGAGGGAAATGCCTTAGCAGGGCATCGCGTTAACCACTCCGCCAAAGTGCCTTGTTGGTAATTTTCTTAAAAATTCAATACATTTTGTTCTTCATAATAGAATAATATCCCACGGAGCCCACTTAGACCTAACGATGGTCACGACGTACAGAAGTTCGCCCACCCCCCCCTCCTAGTAAGAATTCTGTCCATGTAAATCTCGTTGATCAGTTTACGCTAGTACTAAGTAGTTTGGTAGGCAACATAGTACAATAAATTGCTTGCTTAGGAGGGAAGGCCTGATCTTGATGATATTTGTTATGTAAGTTCAAGTTTCTTTTTTGTAAGTACAAGTTGACTAGTATATAAAGCCTGCCATGGGGTCAACCATGGAAAATAAATAGATTTATAACTTGTATCTGTTGAAATGTACTACAATATAGAAACTATACGAAGTATGTATTTGGGATAAAGGTATCTTGCCAAGGTGAATTTGATACTCGAGGCATAGTATTAAGAATGAATTATAAACTGTCTAACCTCTCAATGCCTGGCGAGAAGCCCATAGTCATGAGCTTCCTCCCCGTACACACAGATAAGAAATCCCCGATATGTTGAACGCATGTTGGTAATGAAAAGATGGATGGGTGGAACCACGAAGAAATGGAGAGAGCAACAGATTACGTCGGTCGAAGCAGTTTGAACGCAGTCTAAATTGACCATCCTTCGATACACCTTGATGCAAGTTGTATGCAGGAAAGGGTTGCGAAGGTGTCAGCTGCATCAAAGCCGCTAATCTTGGTTCTGTAGGAGTTCAAGATTCTTGCCCAGATGGCATGCAAGGATGTGACAACTGAGGTTTAGCACTGAAACCATCCATCCCAAATCATGTTAATTACTGTGAATTAACTAGGATTCTCATTAGCTCGGGCTTTGCGGAGCAACATTGACAGAATTCTTACTAAATATTAGGGGGGTAGATAGTTAACTGATGCAGGAATCTAGTTAATGCTGATGATACTAAGAGTAAAAATATGCAACGTGTGAAGGGAAGGGAGAGGAGAGGGATAAAAAATCGACACCTGTGTGATTCGAACACACGCTCCCGAAGGAAATGCCTAGACTAACATTTTCATGCATAGCAGGGCATCGCGTTAACCACTCCGCCAAAGTGCCTTATTGCTTATATAATGATATTCCCCTGTCACCGACCTTACCATATACGTGACCGGACATGAGTAAACGCATAGTAGCCGTCCTACCGCCCCTACCTTTACTAGGTGTCCCAGAATACAGAATTTTCTCACAAAACAGAAATTCTAAGAAACTAGGTACCTTTTATATGGCATGCCTATATAAAAGGTACTTAAACATAGTATATTTATAATTGGAATTTTTCCAGTCCTAGGAACAATTAGGGGGCATATAGTAGTAGTGCCTATATATTATAAAGGAAGTATCTTTTTAGTTAGTAATAACGTTAAGAAGAAATATTAAGTATTCTCTAAGTGTCAGAACAATTATGTTTCCCCATACATCACTTATGTATGGTGTTTTCAGACCATTTAACGTGCATACATGCATTAAAATGCATTTATGTCACAACACAAGTAAATCAATTCAACTAGCTGATTTCTCTATCTAGGCATATCTCCGACAAGCGATGCGAACCTGAGTATAAAACAGCCTATAAGAGAAGAGACATCGATTAGGCTTCTCGGTCATTTTCCCTAGCAAGGTCGCGAATCTGGGGGTTCCAGGCCATGCAATGGTTTTGTGGAGCTTCCCAAGGAACATGCTAGCCTGTTGCACCTCAACGAAGTTTCTTCCAGTGACAACCGAAAGAAGCTGATAGTACAAAGTCAGACCCAACAGAATATTGACATTCGCCATGACATGATATGTGGCAAAGTAGCAATGATCACTAGACGTAGTAGTGGGTTTAACAAGTTCGCAATGTTGCTGTGAAGAAGGCACTTGGAGTTATTTCCTACCCTCATATATGCAAAGTACTGTAAATCTTGGCATCTAGGCACTTTGGCGGAGTGGTTAACGCGATGCCCTGCTAAGGCATTTCCCTCGGGAGCGTGTGTTCGAATCACACAGGTGTCGATATTTTTTTATACCCCACCCTTTATTTTATTGTTTGTTACGTACGACTGACTCGCTGGCGAGAAATTGTCTGGCTAATTAATGTGTACGCCATGCCATAGCTAGATTCTAGACAAAACCAGGCTTACTGTACAACAAATAAATACGATCAGTCACGTCAGTGTAGCAATTTTGTGTCAACAATTACGCCAAATATATATACAAAAGCCTTTTGACTATTGTTACCATCGCCTCGGTGCCTGTCATACGAGGGAGCATCCATGGATGATAGTATTCCCCTCGAGACTCGCTTCCGCTCAAGAATCCATGCACCGACTGGAGAGTTGTCGAGAGGAGACCAGGAAATAGGTTTCCACGAAGAGATCCTTCATCCTTCCGATGCTGGTTGTTTGGAAATTCTCGTGGCTTTCGTAGGAGACCTTGTCCAGGACCAACTCATTACTTCCGCTTAGAACCTTGAGGAAACACTGCATGCCTGGGCGGCGAATCAAGATAACCCCTTAGTATCATCTGGGTTGTAACCACGGACTTTGATTTGGTCTCTAACCTGGAATGACCTCTCTCCGTCGGTATTGAGTCCACCGGCACTCATCCCATGCTTATCTGGTACGTACAGGAAGAGCATCTCGACGTCTTCAACATGCAGCATCGGGCTCGGCCTAAATTCCTCAAATAGGCTAAGATTTGCCATGATGACACTGTAGGCCCAAAGCTTGGAATCTTTTAGGATAAGGTCAATGAAGGATGAGAAATATCTAATCGCATCCCGTTACGGTGTTTATATACCTTGCCATGTTCCATTTTTGGGTACTCATTGTTTGCCCATTGCCCGCGCGGCGAGGACCTACGAGTCTATATATTACATAATTAAAGAAGTAATAACTATGAGGTATTAATCACGTAAACTCACATTAGTTATATTATATATATTCTAAGGTTAGCGAGTTTTGGGACTGGGGTCGAAACCTCACCCGCGTCTTGGTGGGATCTACAGTGTCTATGGGGGTCCGGTTACGCTTGCGGGTGGATCTTCGGCGTTCCCGTTACAAGAAGCTTGATATGGTTTAATTTCGGCATTCAGTCGGTAAAGGAAAATACTTCACTCTAGGTCTAGTCGCTCAATCGCAGACCATGGGGCTGTGATTCGCAGAAATTAAAGACTGTGTTCAAAGAATGGCCGGTGACGGTTCCTATATATATCTGCAGTCCTCAAAGATCTTAGAAGCAGTTGGGATTCTCCTCGCCGTGCACTGGAGTTCAAACAATCGAATGTAGATGAACTTCTACGCCATATGCTGGCAAGAATCGGTATAATTAGTAGTGCTGCTACCACTTACCGTATTACCCATCTCGGCCAGCAGCTGAAACCCATCTGGATACCCTTATATCGGCCCCACATAGCTTGGCATTGTGGATCTCGAGTTAGGGGTGTAGGATGTAAATGATATATGACGATGTCGATGATGTCGGCGATAACTAGGATTGAGCATCAATATAGAATACGAAGAAGAAATTCAATACATTCGAACTATAAGTAGTCTTAAGACATCGTCCAGCTGTCAAATATCTATTTATCTGTCCGACGCAATACCGATCGATTGAGATGTTCAGGCGATACAGAGCTGATTCCCGACAGATGGAGGGACAGATTGAAATCTCCTAGGAGACTCTTCAGCACATGGCGTACTCCCCCCTCACCTTGAATGGCCAATCCATAAACGTATGGACGACCAATCAGGACCATTTTCGCTCCAAGTGCTAACGCCTTTACAATATCAGCACCACAGCGAACACCCGAGTCGAAGATAATTTCCAAATCATCTCCTACAGCGTCCACAATCTCAGGCAAAACATCCAAAGATGCAATACCTCCATCCTGTTGTCGTCCACCATGGTTGGAGACCACAATTCCCTGGACACCATAGTCCACAGCTCTCTTCGCGTCCGCCACTGTCTGGATTCCTTTCAAAACAATTGGACCATCCCAATGTTCCTGGAGGAATTTGATATCTTCCCAGCCGTGGCTCACACCGGGGAATACGGTATGTGCCCACTCTGTGGCGGCAGTTTCGAGGTCCTCCTCAATGGGCTTCCCATGCTCTTCCTCAAACTTGCGGCGGTATACAGGGTCGGTGAATCCCAGTGCTACACCGATATCGTCAGGTCGAATGAAAGGATTGTATGCATTGTTCAAATCGCTGGGACGCCATCCAAGGATGTACGTATCCAAGGTGACCACCAACACCTTGTAACCGGCTGCTTTCGCCCGTGACAACAGGCTCACTGTGATATCATTGTTCTCATTCGTAGGCCAGTAGAGTTGATACCAACGAGGCCCATTGCCATTAGCCTTGGCGACATCCTCGATGCTCGTGGATGATGCGGTGCTGAGGATATAAGGGACATTTTCCTTCTCGGCAGCCTTTGCCGATGCCCTCTCCCCGTCCGGGTGGAAAATCCGCTGTACGCCCACCGGTGCCATGGCGATCGGATAGTCGTACATCTCGCCAAAAATCTTCGTTCTGAGATCTGGGAAGTCGCTCTTGACCAGGCGCGAAGGTACGATCCCCCATTTTTTGAAGGCTTTCTTGTTGTTGTTGTCTGTATCACGAGTTCCAGCGGATCCCCAGACGTATCCGAAAGAATCTGCCGAGAGCCGATCTTTGGCTAGGGTTTCCCAATCGTGGCAGTTGAAAGTTATGGAGGGCTTCTGGCCTTTGCGACCGGCTTGGTACACGTCATTTTCGTATGTAAATGGGGTGAGTTTGGGAATCGGCTTATCTGATTTGATGTCCTGTGGAGATGTCATGATTGACACAGTAGAAAATTGAAAAGAATTGGAAAGAGAGCTGGTGAAAACGATAGATGAATAGAAACTAGGGAAGAAAATATGCTTTTATAACTTGCAGGGGTGTAATACTTCGATAATGGGGCTCGTCAAGACTGATTCTAATTGGTGTGTTCATAGAGGCTCTAAGTAAGCTCGGTGTTCAGTGTGAACGCATATTCGGCCGAGATACGTCATCGAATGGCATTTCACTCAAAAATGCATCATCCGCCACGATCCGGGGAGCAAGAGAGATATTCCGGATTCTTTCTTTGTTCTTGTGGATGACTACGGTGAATCTGTTAACCCTAGATCTTTCCAGGTATAAAGTGCACCCTGCCCGCCCCATCCACATGCAGTTGTAAGTTGAATTTCAAGGAACTTTTCAATTTGACCGCTAAATTTTATCATCATCATAATATGAGCTTTTGATGTTGTCAAACTATCTTTGACTATAACCAAAGCCTCCAGGCTCCAAGGATCCCCCAGAACGGTTCCGTACTGATAAGCACTAAACATCGCCAGCAGCCTGGCGTCTGGAAGCCCTGCCTTTCTCGGACCACGGGAAGTGGAAGACAGGAATGACAAAAAAGCTGTTGCTGTTGTCCGCAATACCCGCCAGGGCAGAATACCACGCCAGAAATGCAGCAATAAGAGCAAATAAGCCTCCAACTTGGAGGATTGGCTGATTAGGCTTTCCGTGGGAATCCCGATGGAGGTGTCCAATCCCAAGCATCAAGAAAGCAATATCGACACATGCGAACAGGGAAAAGAACACCGCAGTCGATTTGACAGTGCATGTGAGGAGAAGAAACGTGAAAACGAACCAGCCCTAGGAGCTGTTAGGCATAGATAATAAGGGTGATTTACATGGGAAAGTTAACTTACCATAAGAAACAACCCATAAGAGTCGTAGAACATGTCAGTTGACCCGGTACTGTCAGCTTTCTGAAGCTCTGACATGACTTGGAGCCCAGGGGTAAAGGTGATACCGAGGGCGATCCAAAAACCACCGTATGAAGACAGGGCAGTGGCACCAAATGTGTTTCCAGCAGCCATTTCCCTATCAGGCAAATAAACAGGTCAGATTCAAGTTACCTCACAATGGATACTCAATACAAAAATACTTACCACATGCCCGCGAGAAGCTGCACCAGACCACCATAAGCGTAAGCAGAACCAACAACTATATTAGGCTCTGTAATATCCCGTGTGCCCATATTGATGCACCCCAGTACAAATGTGCTCAAGGCAAAACCCGAGAGACCCAGAGGCGCAGGGTTTGCAAACTTTCGAAGCTTGGGCGTCCGGTATAGACCCGGTTGTAATTCACCCGCAAAGGCAGGCAGTCGGGACTCCACAGTGTTCACATGTGCTAGTGGGCCATAGTGCTCGAGGTGAGATGATTGAGAATCGTCCGATTCGATGTTGGCCGTGGCCGCATGGCTGGATTCCTTCGGATTGTTGGAATTCGAAAGAACAGTCATACTTGCTGTTTCTTATCAAATGTAATTGAACTGATGTTTTTGTCAAACAACGTGTCGATATAATATCATATAAATGGTGGGATTGACAACGCAAAAGAAGCACAGGATATTAGATGAAAGCAACAATAACAATTAGAAAGAGGGGTGTTCGAATATAAATAGTGCCTACGGGATTGTATATTGTGGGCATCCCTGGGGAAATGATCTAAGCATCAATGTGGGGTGAAATATTACCCCAGGTGAGTAGGGAACACCTATGTTGTAGACAGTGCGGCAGAGCAGGTGAGACTTTTCGGCATAGGAGAGGGTTTGTGGGGTATGCATTGGGGTATGCATTGGGGTATGTATTGGAGTCTAGCAAAATGCGGAGACGGATTAATTGTGCACACCTGTGACGACTGGCCGAGATTGCAGCTGGTCTCGGCCGAGAACAACACCTCTATTCAACAAGCACCGGCCGAGAACATCGCTCTAACTCACCGAAAAAGTGGATTTGGGATGCGAGTGTGGGTATAAACGTGAAACCATGTATGTATGAGAGTCACAATCTTTTTCTGTCATCACCGAGGAAAGAGAAACCGGAAAAGAACTACAATATAAGAATACAACATAGGCAGGGGCTCGGACATGGAGATATTGTTGACCACAGATAAGCTTCGGAGGCTCATTTAACCATAATATGCTTAGGTAATCACCAAGAGTGGAGACAATGAGCCACCCGTGGACCCCAGTTAGCTTGTTATTACGTAGCTCCATAATAATCTCGAAGCTGAAATGTGTCCAAAACTCATCTATTATGCTGGCTCTGATTGGATGATAGCAAGCGATCTGCGATGAAACTATAACGAATGCGACACGCCCCGAGGGCGGCCAACAGCTCGAACCACTCACAGACTACAATATACCACATATGATCTGGATTCGTACTTTGTACATAGTATCAGGGGCTAGACCCAAGGCCCTATAGTGCTTGGCCCCGGAATTTACACTCCCGAGTCAGAACCGGTTAACAAGATCCAAGGCTTATGCCCGAAAAATCGGGTAGAGTGGCGGGATGATCTGGGCTGCCTGGGTAGATTGATTGGAGGGAATGCCGAATATCGGAGGCTGCTTAAACGGGGGTTCCAGATGCTCCCCATGATTTTACCCTCTCTCAGTACGCGCTCAATTATATAGAACAGCGAAGTAATTTGGGGCAGACTTTTTAGGGTAATTTCCGAAAAATGCCGGCATAAAGTTGGGATTTTCGGCTTACTTCACGACACGTGGTCGCTCATTGCCTACTTAGGCTAGCATCGGCATTGATAAATCGGGCAGGAAAGGCCCAAGTGTCCCCGAAGCCTTGTCTACTCCTGGCAGACTGCCATGACATAGTAATTCGCCGTATGACACTTGCATAAGGGAATAATTCACTCGGCCGAGAACACGTTAGAATAGGCCCGTGGAACTCGGACTTGCGATACTATTTCTTATGTTGTACTGAGGCACGGCCATTGCCACAGTGGGCCAAACTCTCTGTTGTAGGGAGCTGAGCAACAGCTTTTCAATCTCCAGTTCAATAACCCACTGTATGTACTTCATTTGAAAGCATTATTATGGTTACTAGAGAAGGGAAGGAAGTGAAAGAAGAATGATTGTTATTCAATCTAGGAAAAAGCAGGGTATTTATACCCTGATGCCTGGCAAAGAATCCTCCCAGTCTGCAAGCAAAGGGATATAGGATCATCTAAAAAGAATACGTCGGAGATATTTGGGTCCTATTATTGCAAATGGTGGTGGCAACATACCATACCATAACAGATTCACACATCCTGGTGCAAAAAAGTGAAACGATTTATCATGGCCTCCATTTCTACGAAAGGTACCAATACCCCGAACGCCACGCCATATTTCATTAACCACAGTGGCGGCTATATTATCTGGGTACGAGTGTGAAATATATCAAGGCAGAGCGGAGGGCGTGGGCGAAAGATCACCTGTTTGGACTTAGTTATCTGGAATGGGAGAAGGGGGGCAAAGTAACGTCTTTCCGCTGAGAGCTTTCGGTAAATTTGGGGCTCGTCCAGAACTGGGAAGACAAACGACAGTAGACCTGTCGCGTTTACGAAATGTGGGATCGAGCGTTGGCAGTTCGTGAATTCGAATTTTCCAATCTTGAAACTGACCAAGAAGCATTGGATTATGCCCAGCCGATTGAACCACGCTTTGCGAGGTCGGATGTAGTGTATTGTGGGATATTAAACCAGTTTGTTGCTCAACGGATTGAGCGAAGTTTTTTTTTTGCCTCTAAATAGCTCTAATAGCTAGCAAGAAGGTACCCTCTCGCCCAATGAATTTTCTTGATTTTTAGAGCGGATTGGTGACATACTGGGTAGTTGAATAGGTGTATGTTGATTGGAGGTGAGCCCTGTCGGCAGTGCTGAGTAATCCACCTTTTCGGCCCCGCGGCCTTAGACCCTGGGACGGGCAGAATAGAACTCCGATTTCCCGACATCTGCGGGCTAGATTGTTCCACACACGCGATGATTCTTTGATTTGCACATGTCACTTACACTTGGTCACTGGATTGGAATGAAAGGACGCAAATAATTCGTCAAACAAGCGCGCTGAACATGCAGCCAGTGGCGGGGCCCTCCAACACCTCTACATCCGCTCAGCCGCCTCCGCCCTCCAACACCTCTGCCTCTCAGCCGCCTCCGCCGTCGGCGACAGGAAGTCACCAGATTACCCGGAAACGTGTGAGCTATAGCTGTCAAACGTGTCGGCGGCGCAAAGTCAAATGCGACAAGGTGATCATCCTTAACTCAGGAGCATGATACCTGGACTGAACATTTGTTTTTAGATACTTCCAGTATGCGGCAACTGCGCGAAAAACAAGACCGAGTGTGTCTACGACGTGGAACCGCAGCAAGATGACACACAACCCAGTCGCGCCCGCCGGGCGAATAGAACCAAACGGCGGAGACAACAGGAAAACACAGATGAACACCTGCCGACGTATGACAGTTCAAGGGCGGCATCATTATCAAATGTCCAGAAAACAGATTTAAGCGCAGTTGAAGCCCATCTGGCTCAACTTGTATCGCTCGTTGATCGGTTAAAGAAAGATAACCGGGCGCATGAATCAACAGAGGCGCAAGCGCCTGCATTAAACCCTAGCGCGGAAACCGCGCCGAGCGAAGAGGGCAATGCTCCTACCAAATCGCTTGTCGCGCGGCCAGACAGTCCATCGGCTCCTGCTGATTGTAACAGCGATGAGTTTCCCATCCCAAACGGTCAGACTACAGATCTCGTTGATCCACTGGGAACTTCAAACTTGGGCCACATGTCCTTGGGGGATGGTGGGAGTTCAAGGTCAGTATGGACACACTAATCTAAGGTGCGTTTGAGTGTCTAATTTTGGGTTAGATATGTGGGAACGACATATTGGGCTTACATTTCCCATGAAATGGACGAACTCAATCAATTGCTCGGAAATCAGAATCGGTCGCATGATTTAGCAGCAGGTAGTGATCATACTGCAACCAATTCAGTTTCTAGCGAGCGAAGACAGCGGAAAGAATCGATAAGCAGCCAAACCACCAGCCCAGCCACGCGCTCTCCCTTTCCGCTCGGCTTCTCGGGGCCCATCCAGAAAGCTGTTTGCATCCCACCGGGTTATTTCTCAGTGAATGATAAAGCGGTGGAGGCAGATATGCTTAAGCATGTTCCGACAAAATGGCAGAGTGACATTCTCTACAAGGGTTTCATGTCTGGTGTCCACTCCCTGAGTCCTATGGTTCACCCTCCGATGATCTTGAAACTATACAATGCCTTCTGGGACTGGTACGACGGCAAAAGTTATACGGGGGAGCTGTGCCCTAGTCCTTCTTTCATTCCACTCCTATACGCAATATGGTTTGGAGGTTCAGTTTCGATTTCTATGAGAACAATGGAGATGGAGTTCAATACGTCGTCACGAGCTGCCCTCTCGACAAAATATAGTGATGAGGTCACTTGTTGGTTGGCCAAGATATCGTTTCCCCATAGCGTCACACTTCACGGTCTGGCGGCCTATCTTATTGCGCAGACAATCTTGTCAAGAGAGGAAGAACCTTTGGCAAGTAGTTTGTTTGTCAGTTTAGCAGTGAGAGTGGCGCAGACTTTAGGGTTACACCGGGATCCCTCCCATTTCAATATCGATCCATGGGAGGCAGAGTTTCGACGCCGATTGTGGTGGCATATCATGCATATGGATGGCGTTATAGCGATGTCGAGTGGGCTTCCACCATTGCTTACCGATGACACTTACTGGGATGCTCGGGAGACGAGCGAGGTCAAGGACACCTTGTTGGGTACTACCGAAGCCAAACAGTATGAACAATCGGTTGCTTGCGGCCAGCGGCCGCCTGATAATCCAGACGACCCGACTGTTTGTGGTGGGCCATCGATGGTGAACGTGTATTATTTGTCCGCAAAGGGCAAATGCATAATGGCCAGTGAGTGATACTCGGCTTGGATCTCAGGGGCGTGTACTGATTTTTCGGCAGAGTCTGTTCGTAGAATCCTAAGGATCCAGCTAGGCACGAGGCCTCTAACAAGAGGGGATATGGTTGAGCTTCGCTCTGTTCTTCATGATCTTCAAGTCAAACTCAACTCCATCATAAACAGAATTCCAGAGACAAATGCAACTGAAAAGTCAGCAGCATCTTCAAGACGAGCTCCTCATTCCACCGCGGAGGAACTTCCTATTGAAGGTCCATCTGGCTGCCCGGAGCAATATCATTCAGTAGTCCTCGTCTCGTTTCATAAATGGGCCAGGATTATTTTATCGTTATTCATTGATAAGGTCAACCTTTTTATTCAAAAATACTGTTCGCCACTAACATGGATGTAGGCATTTTGTGTTGCGTACCAACCATTCCTCAGGAATCCTCGAAGTCGAATCTGGCCCGTAGCACGCCAAAGGTAAGCATTGCGACCCATTGCGCTACCAAATCTAATTCAAATAGTGCGCTACGGCATTCTTATTCATTCATGGAGAAGTTTATTCGATTGGCGACGGATCCCGACTTTCAGCCGTTTCAATGGGGCTGGCCAGGGTGAGTATTCCGATCTTTCATAGAGGAATTTGGACTAATAATCGCCAAGGAACCATCAGCCCATGCATGCAATGATGTATGTTGAAAGCTCGAGTTAGTAGCCATGCTAACTAGTTCCAGGATTATTCTCATCGACTTGTACGAACGACCATTTAGCCCCGAAGCACCTGTGTCACGCGGATTCATTGATCAAATTATGTCGCTCTCCGGACCCGACGGGGGTGTCGTAAGTGGCGGAGATGACATTTTCACACAACGTCCGCTGAGGAATGGAGGCCGCGAGGCCTGGGATATGATCCGTCGTCTGCGCCAAAAGGCCTGGCAGAAAGCCGGTCTGAACCCACAATTGCCCTGGACGGGACAAGATTGGCCAACCGAGTCTGGCTTCGCAAATACACCTTACTTCAAATTCTTGTCATCCGCAACCGTGGCCGAACCTACTACGAGCGCAGCAGTGACTGCCTCCCACTCGTCATGTGACAAAACATTTGCTCCCGACTTAGCCTTTGCACGTTCCCCCGCTGCTACTATCCCGACTCAACAATCCATCCTCAACTCTCCTACGGTCGACTTCATGAACGCCGCCGATCCGAACATGATGCCTGCTCCTGAGCCCTCTGTCCCCTTCTTGCTCGATCCGAGCCATTTTGACTGGGGTGAATGGGACAATATCTTTGGGCAATCTCTACCCGTCGCGGATGAGCTTATGGAACTCGATCAAGTCACGGGGCTTGCATTTGCGGACTTGGAAAATGGCGCTACGTGAGACGAATTGGAGACAACTAAATATCCTGCTGGATCTCATTTTTCAGGCTTCTCTGGATTCCAACAGTCCGCCTTTCTTTTTCTTTTTACCTCCTCACCCTATATGGGATATTGTCTCCATTTCGCTGTGAGCTCCATTGTTCTTTGTCCCGTGGCATACGAGTTGAATTTCTCACGCCACGAGGTTATCCAATGTGCACAGTCCAAACATTGTGGTAGGAACCAAGTATATCTATCATTCCGCGAGAATCCCTGACATGCTGGAGGAGCGGTTTGACGACATGCTGCGAGGCACACTGATACAGGACTTTTTGTTCGGTACATTATCGGGTGTGAATGTACGTAAGTACTTTGCCTGCAATCTTGTACGTCTGAAGGACTTGTAGAAGGACGACTACGAGGGTTTTTGCGGACCATCACGGTAACCGGCCTAATTGGGCTAACACCTCTGTTCTATATAGTACTTCCTCTACTTTCCCACCCCACTTATAGTAAAAATGCAAACCCCTATATATTAATCTGATCTATATATTCTTAGCTTTTCTTCGTCGCGAACCTCTTCAACCTTTTCTTCTTCTTTGCTTTCAAGTCTGATGAACACGTCGAAATTATCCTGCTTTTCGCATCCAATTGATGTGTTTAGGTATATTGTATGTAAATATTGAAGGATACAGACAATCCGGTCCCCGCATGGCCCCTCTGTTCCCCACCCATCGGCAACATCTCCGAGATCATCTACAACCCTCTCTGCCTCTCCTTTTCCTTCCCTAACATCCTCCAACAGCGCAAAACCCCCAATCCAAAAAGCCATGGCAACAGAATACCCCCACCGAATCGCCCTCCTAGGCCTCGGCACAATCGGCCTCTCAATGCTCGCAATGCACCTCCGCCGCCCAGATACCAGCATAACAGTCTACGACCCACGACCCGACTACGAATCCCAAATCCGGAGCACACTCCCCTCCCTCCTCGATTCCCCCGATTCAACATCCCTAATCGACGACCTAATCCGTACATCCCGCCTAAAACTAGCCACCACACTGCCGGAAGCCATCCAAAACGCAACAATCGTCCAAGAACAGAGCCCGGAAGTCACATCCTCGAAACAGGCTCTCTGGAAGGAAGTCGCCGGTCTCGCAGACCAAGATACCCACCTATGGAGTAGTTCGTCTGGAATTCCCGCGTCGGCGCAAGCAGCCGGGTGCGAGGCTGCCGACCGTGTTGCTGAGCGGTTAGTCATCGCACACCCGTTCAATCCGCCGCATCTGATGCCGCTTATTGAGATTGTGCCTGGGCCTGAGACTAGTGTTGAGGAGGTTGAGTTTGTGAAGAAGTATTTCGGCGATATACCTGGTCCGGGGGCTTCGGCTGGTGCTGACGCGGGTGCTTCGAGCGGGGATCAGTCGGCTTCGCAGCATTACCGACCTATCACGCTGCACAAGGAAATTCCTGGGTTTGTGGGGAATAGGCTTGCTTTTGCGTTGCTGAGGGAGGCGTGTTATCTTGTGGGGGAGGGGGTTGTTTCGGCGAAGGATTTGGATTCTCTTGTTACGGCTAGCTTGGGGCCGCGGTGGGCTGGTAGTGGTGTGTTTGAGAGTTATCATGCCGGTGGTGGGGAGGGGGGAATTGGGGCGTTTTTGCAGAAGCTTGCACCGACGATTCAGAATGTGTGGGGGGAGTTGGGGCAGGTTGATATTGAGGGTGAGCAAGCGTGGAAGAATTTGGTTGTTAAGCAGACTGAAGATGCTTATGGGCCATATACTCCCGAGACCAGGAAAAAGAAAGAGGAAATGTTGAGGGACGTTGTAGAGATGCAGAAGAAGAAATGGGGGGAGTTGTGATAATGTACGGATATGACTACTCTTCTAAGAGTTACTGGGTTGAAAAGTGAACAATAGAGTGCTCTATTCGCAATCTTGTATATCTAGAGGGCCATAGCTCCCCTATTAAAAAACCAAAACATTTTGTTACGTCATATTCGTTCCGCCCCTTACAGGATCTGCTGGAAAGCACGGTTAATGGGAGAGCGCACGGTGTGGCCCTTGTAGAATTCGATGGTGGCAAGAGCACGCTTGCTGATGCCCTCGGGGGTGAACTCGAATTTCTGTAGACAATTAGTAGATGGTCATGGAACAAGAAGTGAAGATAACTTACGGCGTACACCTCCTTGTAGGGGCCGGAAGCACCGAAGCGGTTGAGACCAAACTGCTCGTGAGAGTAGCGCTCCCAACCCATGGTGCACAGAGCCTCGACGGACAGCACGGGGATGCCATCGGGCAGGACCTGGAGACGGTACTCCTTGGTCTGGGCATCGAAGACCTCGAAGCAAGGAATGGACACAACACGGGCAGCAACGCCGTGCTTCTCCTGGAGGTATGTGGCAGCCTCAATGGCGATGCTGACCTCGGAACCGGTGGAGACGATGGTGATGGCAGCGTTAGGGGTGTCAACAACGACGTAACCACCCTTGAGGGCGCTCTCGATGGTAGAGAGCTCAAGCTGGGGCAGGTTCTGGCGGGTCAGAGCCATGACGGTAGGAGTGTGCTTGGCGGTGATGGCGGAGTAGTAGGCAGCGCTGGTCTCGTTGCCATCGGCGGGACGCCAGACCATGCAGTTGGGCAAAGCACGGAAGTGAGCCAGAGTCTCAATAGGCTGGTGAGTGGGGCCGTCCTCACCCAGACCGATGGAGTCGTGGGTAGCGACGTGGATGACACGGACGCGGGACAGAGCCGACAGGCGGAGGGCACCGGCGGCGTATGAGACGAAGTTCAGGAAAGTACCACCGGCGGGGATGATGGTGCCGTAGGCAGCCAGACCGTTCATGACGGCAGCCATGGCGTGCTCACGCACACCGTAGCGAACGTAGCGACCGGCCCACTCACCGATTCCAAGGTCAGGGGGCTGGAAGTCAACGGCGTTCTTCCAGCGTGTGTTGTTGGAGCCAGTCAGATCGGCGGAACCAGAGACCAGCTCGGGAATAACGTCGTGGATAGCCTCGAGGCAGGCCTCGGAAAGCTTACGGGAAGCAACGGCAGCATCAGTAGGCTTGTAGACGGGGAGCTTCTTCTCCCAGCCCTCGGGCAGCTTGCCGGAAAGACGGCGAGCGAGGTCAGCACCCTCGGTCTTGTGCTCGGACTGGTACTTCTCGAAGAGCTGGTTCCACTCCTGCTCCTTGGCAGCACCCTCAGAGGCGTGCTTGTTGTACATATCGTAAACCTGCTGGGGAACAGCGAAGCTCTCCTCGGGGTTGAAGCCGAACAGCTTCTTAACGCCCTGGGCGTCGTCAGCCTTGAGAGGGTTTCCGTGGACACCACCGGTACCGGCAAGCTTGGAGCCGAAGCCAATGGTGGTGGTCAGCTTGATGACGGAGGGCTTGTCAGTAACCTGCTGACACTTGCGGATGGCAGCCTCGATACCCGCGAGGTCGTTGTCACCATCCTTAACCCACTCGGTGTGCCAACCGTAGGCCTCGAAGCGCTTCATGACATCCTCAGTGAAGGCACACTTGGTGTCACCATCTGCGGAGAGAAGCTGGTCAGCCTTTCACATCTAGCTTTTGCGGTGCTCGAGTCAATCTTACCAATGGAGATGTGGTTGTCATCGTAGATGGCAATCAGGTTGCCAAGCTTGAGGTGACCAGCCATAGAGGCAGCCTCGCTGGCAATACCCTCCATAGCGCAACCATCACCGAAGAACATGTAGGTGTAGTTGTTGAAAAGCTCGAATCCGGGCTTGTTGAAGACACCGCCGGTGTGAGCCTGAGCCATGGCGAGACCGACAGCGTTGGCGAAACCCTGGCCAAGAGGACCAGTGGTGACCTCAATACCGGGGGTGTCGTGAGCCTCGGGGTGACCGGGGGTGATGCTGTCGAGTTGCTACCAAAATCAGTACAAGCCTGCTTGCATATATGTCTTGGAGGGACTTACACGGAAGTTCTTCAGGTCGTCCAGGGAGATGGCGTATCCGAACAAGTGGAGCAGAGCATACTGGAGCATGCAGCCGTGGCCGTTACTATTCAATTTGAGATCAGCCGGTATTCCAAAAGTATGGTCACTGGGGTTGGGATGGAAAGGCTGTTGCCGACCCATAACCAGCCTGGCCCCAGACAGGGTAAAACACTTACGAGAGAACGAAACGATCACGGTTGGCCCACTCAGGGTTCTTGGGGTTGAAGTTCATGAACTTGTTGAACAAAACGTGGGCCACGGGGGCCATGCCCATAGGGGCACCGGGGTGACCAGAGTTGGCCTTGGAGGTGGCATCAACCTGATAGCAAAATGTCAGTCAGATTTCCCAGATTGCACACATTGAAGCTTCATATGAGGCCGAAGACCCTAATGTTGCTCCAATTGAAGGCATGAAAAGGAGGGGCTATTGCCCGGTGAAGCTCAACGTACCGCGAGAACACGGATGGTGTTGACAGCCAACTGGTCCAGATCAGTGTAACCCATGATGGCGGATTCTAATACCGTTAGAGATGAAATTCACTTGAAGCCAGCTAGATACGTACATTTTTGAGTAAAGGAGGTGATTGGGAGGGGGATGAAAGAGAGAGGGAAGAGAAGAGAGAGGGGAACGTATTTGTTGGTGGGGGTATGATGTCGGGTGGGGGGGGCGCGTACTTAGTGGCTTGCAGCTCAACTCAGCACTTTACACGTTTGAACGGAATTGAAGAAATCTATTTACAGTTCGTATCTCTCATTTTACAGGCTAAATCAATTCAATTGATCTTCTTTTGTAGATTTTTATCTAGACATTGCATCATTGGCTGAGTCATCGAGGGGCAGCCTGGAGCTCAGGGCATCTACGTATCTATACCTATATTGCATATCAACAACGTTGTATACTGAACATTATACTTATTGCCTCTCTTGTACCTGTATTTCTCAAAATCCATCAATAGCCGTTTCTTCCGTTGTGACCTCAATGGCCCGCATTTTCCGACACTCTTCCGGCTTGACATCCACACGTTCTATTAGTATACACCGGGAGCCGCCCGGAGGACCCTGCTCCGACTCGCAACCGGCCTTTTCCACGGAGTGAAATTAGCCGAATTCCCATCTATGACTGCTCAATAACCGTGCCGATATGATCAGCTGGTCAAAAAATAATAATACAGTTTTGATCGAATTCGTGATCTGGACTTCGGGAGGCTCCTAGACAACTCAGCGCTTACAAACAGAACGAACGTACTCCGTACCTATACCTCGGATTCCCTAATCAGGCTAATCCGAAGATTGAAACACCAATAACAATGGAATTCTGCGGATATAAGTGGAATAGTTCCAAGGAATTGACAACGTGACCTCCACAAGAAAGTAGGCCCCGTAACAATGTTGGGGAATTCAACCAACATCTCGGTGTGCCGGAAGAAGAGTAGCGCCGGAGAAACCATCGGGTCACATGTAAAGTATATCTGAACTATACACCTATGTGATACATCTATAGGCGTCGTTGTTTCTGTTAAAATATTCCAGATGTCTGTATAACGTGGGCGTCGAGCCACTTTGGGCTGCTTCCAGCATGTCTTCGTCCAATCTCCCAACCTGAGTACTTATACAACTTACCCTTGCTGTGCTTCCCCAGAAAGTCATTGTCACCAGTCAGGATTAGAAAAAGGAGAACCTCCCAGTCCAATATCAAATTTTGACGCACACTTGCATCGTAACATTCAAGTTGCTTCCAATCTTCATTCATATCATTAATAAGCATCCAAAGAGTCCACGGCCTTTCTAGGCAATCGCCACCCCCGGAGCCTCAACTCCGACGACTTGTGTTAAAAGGGACCTTCAAGCAAAATCCTTCTCAAATTCAAAAGCCCCGGCTCAAGCTGAGCAACGTGTCAGTAAGGTCAGCTTGCGCTACATGCGCACATAAAAATTGGCCAGTTCCTTTCAGCTGCTGGATCTCCATGACACAACAGAAAGGAAAGGGCATCTGATTGATATGGCTTGGATATTGTCAAATACAGAGTCCTTATACCTGGTTATATGCAAAAGAAAACCACCCGATCGGATACAGGATAAACTTACCTAGAATCTTGTCGGACGTCGAGTCTAGATAACCCACCAAAAAAAGTGCAGTATTGACTATTGATTTTGTCTATTTAAGTTCGCGCATTTATCCTGTTTTATTGCTAGTTAGAGAGCTCCATAGTACTGAATTTGATCATACTTTTCATACAGTCAGATTTCTGTCAGATATCAAAGTATATTGATCGGGACTCGTGATAAACATGTCAAACTTACGAGGGAAATTATTGTACAACTTGACACACGGAACACCCTTGGACTAGGAACTATTTTGGAATTCTTGCAACCCTAGACCTTGAGATTGTTTGTAACTTGAGTCAGCTTACGGGGCAGTCCCTCTTAGGGCCATCTAGCCCAGAATGTCCATATTCCTTTATATAAAGGGCTGCTGTATTGGATGGTCCCATTATCCTTATTTCTATACACGGGTCACCATTCAGCATCTGCTCAAATATATCGAGATATCCTGTCGCACGCCATGGATAGAGAAGATAAGTATACTGAGTCCGAGACCGATGTGTAATTTCTCTACTACCTTTGCCGAACACGGTCTAATAACATCTCGCAGACTCATCATTGGCGCCGGTCCATCCGGCTTGATGGCAGCCTACTGGATGGCTCGCTATGGAGTCAGCGCACGTATTATTGACAAGCGTGACACGAAGATCTTCATAGGGCACGCAGATGGGCTTCGTGCACGAACGCTGGAGTTGTTTGACAGCATGGGTATCCAACACCGTGTTATACAGGAGGGAGCTATCAGCACCGCGGCAAACATTTGGGTATATATCAACTCATTTTGCGCCGAGATTATGGCTTGGCTGACGATGCTATGACCAAATAGGTTCCAGGTCCACAGGACAAGCTTGTCCGACAGGCTCACATTAATATCTCTAGGGTCGATGAGTCACCATTCTCCAATACATGCTTGACCCAGGGACGTATTGAGCGGTTCATTCTCGATAGTATTCGGGAGCACTCTGATCTTGACGTGGAATATGGCGTGATTGCTGAATCTTTGGAATATGACCAGGAATTGAGGAATGATCCAAACTCATATCCTATCACAGTCAAGGTCCGAGTTCTTGGTGAAGAGGATTCGAAAGTCGAAGCTAGGTCTGAAGCTGCTGGCAACAAGGTAAACCGCAATAACTTGCTTCCTGATGACTGGGCCGATCTCGCCCAACGCAAAAAACCACAGAAGACCAAGGTTGAGACTATTAAAGCCAAGTATATGATCGGGTGTGATGGTGCCCACAGCTGGACAAGAAAACAGCTAAGCATCCCCGTGGAGGGATCTAACACGGACCATGTATGGTTAGTGATGCTCATTGTCCAACCATGCCACAGCAGCTAATATAACCGTGTATACAGGGGCGTGATAGACGTGATACCCCTCAGCGACTTCCGTAAGTATTACCTAGTGCCTACACTACTCTCTTAACAACATCCACTAACTCAAATCTTCAACAGCTGACGTCCGCCGCCTAAGCATCGTGACCAACGCCGCAGGCACAATCCTCGTAATCCCACGCGAACGCAGCTTAGTCCGCTTCTACGTCCCCGTTCAAACTTGCGAAGCGGGCACAACCGACCGGTTCGACCGCTCAAAAATCACGCCGGATCTAATCCGAGAGCGTCTGCAAGCCATCTTCGCCCCCTTCACCTTTGACTTCAAGGAATACAGCTGGTGGACCGTCTACCAAGTCGGACAGCGGATCTCCGCACAATCCACCAAGGATAACCGGGTTTTCCTTTCTGGTGATGCGGTACACACGCACTCGCCTAAGATGGGGCTTGGGATGAATATGAGTTTGCAGGATGGGTTCAATGTTGGGTGGAAGATTGCTCTTTCTGTGGCGGGTACTCTCAAGCCTGAGGTCCTTGAGACTTATGCTTCGGAAAGACACCCGCTTGCGGAAATGTTGCTTGAATTGGATCGCAATTGGTCGCCTATGTTTAATGATCGGAAGCCTGAAGTAGTGGATACGAAAGCTTCAGACATGGCCCTTATTGCAGAGAAGTTTGAGGACTTTGCGGATGGATGGAAGGTGTTTTACCCTCCGAGCAGTCTTGTTTGGAAGGCTGAAGACAATGCTGAATTCGCTTTTGCACGGTATATTATTCCCGGGGAGAGAGTCCGGCCGGTAAAGCTTCGCAATCAGGCTGAGGGAACTACACTATGGACAACAAGGTCGTTGGAAAGCGATGGACGCTTCCGCATTCTGGTTTTAGCTGGGGATATACGGCACCCAATACAGAAGCAACGCATTGAGACATTGACCCAGGCTCTGGCTGGACAGTCTGAATCGAATACTTCACCACTCGATCGCTACTTGGAGGTCCCTGGTCGATTCAATAGTCCTATTGATATTCTCACCGTCCATACTACGCCGTGGAAAGAGATAGAATTCTTTGATTTCCCAGAGATTCTGCGTCCGTTCGATCCGGTGAAAGGATGGGCATATGATAAGATTTGGTGTGACGATCACTGCATATTCGATCGATATTGTGATGGAACAGCATATGAGAAGTGGGGAGTTGATCGGGTTCTTGGAGCGCTGGTGGTCGTGCGCCCCGATCAATATATCGGATGGGTGGGCGAACTAGGTGATTTGGAGGGATTGACGCATTACTTGGATGGAATTCTTGTGAAGAAGCCACCGACAGACGAGATTGACTCATTCCTCTAGGGATATCACACAGGACAATAGCAATAGCATGGGAGAGATTTCAATATAGGTTGCAAGCTAGCGCTTTGAAGTAGACGACTAATTGAATAAACAATGGCATGCTGAAAGAAAAACAAGGAAGACTATTGATACATGCACAACTGAAATATATAACTACACTTTGTAGAACCCTACAACCACCTTCATGATTACGCTCGTGTCTCAGGCATCCACGACCCATCTTCTCGTAGCTCAGTATTAGGATCAGCAACATGAGACGATCCAGGAGCATTCTCATCTTTACTCGAGTCCTGGGTAAGATCTGGATCAGCAGGGAACTGGAACTTCGAGCTTTTCCACGGCTTCACTCCCATCCGGTACATAGTATCGATCTCCTCTAGTGTACGACCCTGTCCCTCGATAACGGCGAAGTAAACCAGAGCCGCAGCAAGGAAAAGACATCCGGCGAAGACATAACCGAAGCGGAAGTCAATATCGCCGGTAATAAAAGGAGTGAAGAAGGCAAGGAGAAAGTTCCAGAGCCAATTCGATGCAGTGGCCAGAGACATAGCGCGCGCACGGTATTGCGAGGGGTATAACTCGGCGATGATCGTCCACACCATGGGACCCCAGGTACTGGCAAACCCAAGAATGAAAAGACAGGCAAAGACGACCATAACCACACCGGCCGATTTTGTTCGCTCTGGGTCCTCTTGGTCTAGGGAGAAATGGCCCACCGAGGCAAATATCATGAAGCAGACGAACATCCATAGCGCACCGGTTATGAGCGAACGGCGTCGACCCCAGTGCTCGATCAGGTAGAGGCCAAGGAAGGTCGTTCCAAAGTTGACACCGCCTAGAATCATCTGGGTGACATAACTGTTTTTAATTCCAGCACCATTGAAGATCGTTGTTCCCTAGTAGGTGTTAGCTGGTCCTTATTCTATGTTATACGAAAACCTCAAAACCCACATAATAGAAGAAGTAATTAGCACCTGTGAGCTGCTGAAGAGCTTGCAACATGACGCCAACAGCCACCCGATACCCCATCGTCGGAGTACGGAACAACTGAATCCAGCTGACCGTTCCATTGCGCTTCTCTTCTTCGTGTTTCTGTCTGATTTCATTGAATTCGAGATGAAGAGCCCGGTGGTTATGAGGGATACCATAGATTTTGGCAAGAGTGCTCTTAGCTTTATCCTTCTTGCCGTTGCGGTAGTCGTAGCGTGGACTTTCAGGGAAAAACATCATGCCAATACCAAGGATTATGGCCCAAATATACGTGATACCCATGGGGATACGCCAGGAACCGGTGTCGGTGCGAGCTTCAGTTCCGAAATTGATACAATTTGCAACGAAGATTCCAAGTGTAATGAATAGCTGATATGTACTGGGAAGAGTTAGACGGCGATAATTGCATTGTGAAATGACCCCAAGGGTAGTTGCCCAACATACCTGATCAGCGAGCCTCGAATGTGCCTCGGTCCTGACTCGGCTTGATACATAGGTACCAGCAGAGAAATTGCACCAACTCCGAGCCCAGCAACCCAACGACCCATGGCGACCTGGTACCACTTGCCAAAAGGCGAGGAGATCTGAACGGTGACTCCAACACACACCATCAGAGACCACCAACTGATGGACCACTTTCGTCCTAAGCGGTCAGCGATCGGTGCTGCGACTAAAGCCCCTATCAGAGTACCAATTGATAGCTGTTGCGTGTGTTAGTATATAAGCAAGAAATGGCAAAACGCACACCACTTACCAAGGCAACAATGAGACCCGAGCGAACATTACTGAAATGATAAGTTCCATCCGATTGAGGTTCACCATAGCGATGAAGGAAGTCTTTCATCTCCAGGAACCCGGAGATCTGACCAGTGTCGTAACCGAAAAGGAAACCGCCCATAGAGACGAGAATGCACATGGTGAATGAGCGCCATGTGAGCAGCGGAACAGGCGTGTCGACGAGATCATTGGGGCCTTTCTCGTGTTCATTTGTGGATATTGAGTCCCTAGGGACCTGAGGGTCTGCATAGCAGTCCTGCGGACGCTTTTTGAATATCTTATCGAACATGGTGCCAGCGAGTACTATTTGGCTGTAATATTTCCTATCCAGCAACTAATTTTCGAAATCCAGGTTGTGCCGGATCAGCCTTTCTTATACAGTGCCTAACCAAGAAAGCGTGACCGAAGCCGAATCGTGAATTTGCGAGAAACGGACCTTTTACCGATCCAGGCAGGCCGCATCATACCGATGACACGTTGATCCAAGTACCCGAGCATGCGCGATTGATGGCCTTCGCTTATTTTCGTAAGTAAAGAGAAAATCCGGGGAGTCCGACACGCATTTGGCGGTTCGATGGTTCAGCCATGGGTTACCCGAGTGGTTTATCGTTGCTGTTGGTCAGGATATAAATTTCAGACTCCACACCTTCAAGTCATGAGTGGCGTGGAAGTCTCGGCCTCCTAAGCCTCGTGATCATTCCGGGGACCAATAATATTGCCGAGGGAATGACCTGAGTACCTAGGACGATGTCATCATTAGGATCCGGGGAAGTGATGACGATGGCCGCCACAAAGCTTGGCATCCGTCGGCCCCACCTTTAATGTTTACTCTTTGGAGAGATCATCTTGCCCAAGTACAATTTTAAGAAGTGAGCTAGCGATGGTGGTAGGTGCTTGCTCGAAGTAAAGCTGTAATTAGTATTGATAGGCAAATAGACCAGTGTAGAAAGTCATGAGAGGTTTTCTGTGACTGCGCCGTTTTCAGTGTCACCCATAGAGAGATGATCTATCCAATCGGACATACTCCGGCTCAGAGAACCTGCAAGAAAAACTTGAGACACGTGGGCCCCCAGTAACAATTCAATTTGGGATGGGAGAATTTCTCTCAATTCGTGTACTTGAAATACATCTACCGATGATGGTCAAACCATCGCTAAGCAAGACATATTCTATCCTTCATCTTTTCCGTCAATTTCCAGTTTTTCAAATGAGCTCCATTACTAGCCTCCTCCATTAGGGTAGTTCCCTGCTTAAGCAACACGATGAAGTGAAATTGGCTCAATTGAGTCCCCATTCTGCTCAAATTCGCGACTGGAGCTACCGAGTGGCATCATTGGCTCGTTAATTATCTCATGTTTAGGTTCGGATTGAGTTTCCAGACGTGTGCGATCCAAGGATTCCTGGGCAGCTACCGCAGTTTTGCAACGGTATTTCATCGCATACACTGCAATGGAGACACCGACAATCCACCATGAGAACATAATAGGAAGTGCACGATAGAGTTGGTTATTGCACCCACCAGACCAGATCTGGATGAGAACCTGGTATGCCTCATGGGAGGGAAGAGCGTAGCCCCAGCGGAAGAAACCCGGATTCAGCTCAAATGGGCTGATGGTGCTCGCAACATTGAGAATGACCCACGTCAGAACAATAAACGGCATGAATTGAATCGGGATGAAAGCGGTCGTGATGTCGAAAAACAGAAAGTTTATGTGCATCAGAAGCCACAGAGTAACCCAAGTCAACACAAACCGACTGCCTTGCTGGCCCCAGGCCTCTCTGAAGGCCCAGATATAGCCGGTCATTAACAGTCCTCCCGTGAGGGTGTAGAGGATGGAGGCAATCGCGCGAATCAGGCCGTTAGCTTTCCAGGACAATTTGGTAAATGCGTCGACATGGGTTGATATGCCGTTCAGCGCCAACATGAAAAAGAACTGCTGGATAATGGGCATCACCATGGATACTGTATTGTAGAAAACTCGGGTACCTTGTTCCGTGTCCTTGATATTGATTTCTTCCACGTAGATCGGGTCGAGGAAAGCTTTAAGGGTGGTTGGATTAGAGAGGTCGGCTGACGTGGCGATGGAAGATCCATTATTGGCGTGGTATGTCGACCGTGTGATTTCAATCAGTTTCAAGATGTTGGAGTAGACCGCGGCTTGTGAGAACACTGGGTATCTCACCCCGTTCCAGATGTAAGTGAACGAGACCGGCGGGCGAGACCCGTTTGCCAACGCCGAGGCGAGACCAGCTGATCCACCCTGACTGGTGTACACAGCCCCCCAGTACTCACCCCTGCATACGGCTTCTCGGATATTCTCTGGTTGGGGATATCTATTAGAAGATTGCAGCACAAAGGTTGGGAACCCATCTCCTCGTAATTGGTGGTAAGAATCTGACACCGATTTGCCGATGATACCGCCATCATAGTCAACATAAAGCACGTTGAAATTGTGATAACGGGTGGTACTTCGGAACTGCGTTGCATAAAGATAACACATGTTCACCAAGAAAAGTACCTGAAGAAGAAGAAACATGGTGATTATAGCTGGTAAAAATCGAGGCCGGATCTCCTTCCATGCACCCATTTTGAGATATGATTTTGATTCGGGTCTCATCCTGGGAGATGTAGGGTGAAGATGAGGTACAAACGGTGAGTGATGTTCCCTTGAAGAGTGACATTTATAGGAATTCTCGGAAGCCGAACCCCGTATTGCTTACTGGGTGAGCATATTTATTCGCGCTTGGTCACCCCAGGTCGCACTGGTTTCACCCTCCGAAGTATAAACTCGTGCGGTAAATCCGTCACATTGTTTAGGCACATTGTTCAGGGGTCAACCGATGGTCATACAGCCAATCCCCCGTTGACTCAGCGGCATTTGGACTTGATATATCGGAGGTGAATTCTGGCGAAGACAAAGGGACTTCCAGAAGGAAAGAGCGAGCCTTCCTAGCGTGAGTACAAGCGCAGAGAGTAACGAACCCTTCAAACCCCGTTTAGGCTATTAGAGTGAGTTTAGAAAGACTGGTGAAAATGTAAAGCCAATTCTCATAAGATTGTGGAATCGATGGGATGAAATTAAATACCCGGGCACATGCAAGTGACTAATACAAGTATTCTTGCGTACTTTGGAAAACAGTAATCCATTTCCATTCGGCAGTTCCTCGGAAACTATTAATTCTTTCACTATTTCTTCAAAAAACCCTAACAATTCGGCCACCAGAGCTCCTTCGCCACACAAGCCTGCGAAGCGCCAAAGAAACAACCACTTGAGTCTAGAGCCTCGTTGCCATACCCGCTTTGGATTTGATTTCAATAACTGGGATCTATAATCGATTGTCATGCAAGGTCAAGGCCAGAACCGGGATGACTTACCAAGCGGTATCTATCCAGTCTGTCGCATGGATATTGTTGCTGTTCTTCATATCATCCCCGACTTTCTTCACAAATCCCTTTAACAAACTTGAAGGGCATTCTTCCTTTCCTGCAACATCTCGCCACTGAACAGGGCGGACAATTGTTGCGGAGATAGGCTGGCAGTACGATTCCAACGCCAGTTGCGCAATGCCATCTTGACTGAAATGGAGGCAGCGACCTTTATGCCCGATCATAACCTGGGGCGAAGACGCCGTGCCGGTGGCATATTTGAGTTGCATCGGGCCAGAATAGCTGGAAGATGCCTGAATAAGTGCCCTTTCGTAGCCCGATGTTCTCCAGGAGAGTTTGTCTCCCATGGTGTCAAGTGAAAGATATGCCAAGCTGAGGTATCAGAGGAAGGGTCCGGGCTGAGTGGGTGTTGACATTTTCGCGTTGCCCCGATGACATGGAAGCCCGTTCGTCGTCTGTGAGAACTAGACCAGCTGCATAATGACTAAATTGAACAAATAATAGCAGGTATTCGATGGATAGTGTCCGCAGCATTGTTGGAAAAGATATCTGATGATCGTATGGTGAGTAGATTACTAGAATGGATTGTGACCCTCTTTATATTGATTTCTATTACCGCAAAAAATTCCAAAGTCAGTGAGCACAGGGACATGACACTCCTGTAGCCATCGATGATCATGGAATTCGGGAGCTCCAGTGGTTCTACTATTTCATGTGTAGTAACTGCTACCTGTACCCTATAGAATGCAACCCAGTATGTCTTGCCTGCTCTGAATGTATCAATAAGTTACAATCCGTGGGCCCCTGGAGGGCCCCAGTATAGACATATGATCACTAAAAGGATCGTGGGTGGAGTGTTATGGGGAATCGCCATCACAAATGACGTCCTCTAGACGCTATCGGTTATGCAAGAGGCTTAACGATGAGACGATACGCTAGCCGGAATGACAAGGTAGGATCTCGTAGCTGGTTAAGTGGGTGACTGACGTGTTTGGCACAGCACAGGCGACGGATTATGTTAAGATCTACTTGGACATACACCTTGACATGTAGTTTCTGGTGGCGGTATAATCGAAGAAGCCAAATACTGACTTTACGTTGCAACTCAAAGTGCAATATTACTCTGCACTCTGCAAGCTATACATTTCTTTTCAATTTTACTTTGATTGAAAATTAAATGTTGTAGTGTCTAGCTCCACGATATTTAGTTCCCGGCCGGGTCGTGTGGAGACGAGACGGATGCAGAACCATATGGATGGTCCCATCTATAGTTCAGTAAATCCATTTCTGGCAAACTTCATGCTCTAATAGGTTTGTGAGAATTTGAATCGCAAATTCGCAAATTGGAATGTTTGTGATGTAGCATAATACACATTATATGGAGAGGGCAATGTCAAATAGCTAGTCCGAACACCACGTCAGATATAACCAGATCGACAAAGAAAACCTCCATAAGCTTGCATTATTGACTATTTACTCTAAGTTCGCGCATTCATCCTGCTTTGTTGCTAGTCAGAGAGTTTCATAGTACTGAATTTATCATATCTTTTATACTTGTCAAGTAATATCATTCTAGGGGCTAATATTCTTGGCCTTGCCAAGTTAGGGCTGGCGTTCAAACGACCCTAGTTCCATGTTTAGAATTCCAAGGAGCTTCACGGGTACATCCAATTTCGATCCGGGCTGAATGGGTCATGCATGGGGCCAAGATTCTTTACGAACTACATACATGCTCGGTATGTTCCTAAGTAGTACCTCTTTTCGCGCTGAGACACAGATTAGAAGATTCCTATACCTATATCCAGATCTACTTCGGATGTAGTCAAGACTTGTTGTGATAGAAAGAGTACCGTAATCATCAAATTCATATGTACGCGATATCTTAGGCGTTGCCATCCCAAGAAACTTTGCTATATACCAGCGAAAGTAGACAAAAATGGCTGCAAGCATAAGGGAAGATCAAAGATAGATGAAGATCAAAGATAGATTTAGGAAAGACGCAGACCAAAACAAAGAGAAAATAAACGCCCGAAATCCACAGGTATCATGAATAGAACAGAAAGCCGGAAAGCCATTTCAAACCCCAAATCCTTCCAGAAAAGAACACACCCAACGCTACATAATTAGACGGCCAGCCGTCGGTCCCAGCCATTGACCAGAGAAAACTCATCAACCTCATCGTCACCATGCATAGCAAAACCATGGAAAGGATCGATGGTCTTGATATCCTCAGGACAGACTCGGACATCGGGATAGGGCGCCAGAGACTCCTCAGTACTCCCCATACTCTCACTCGAATAGCTCAGAACGCTCTGCGTAGTATGTTCTTGCTTATGTACGAAGTCACCACTACTGGCGGACCACGCTTCGGGCGAGAGGCCATGGATATCACTCTGCGGGTGATTGACAAGGGATGAGTCGTTGGGTTTGCGGCCGTATTCTGCTGCAATAGAGGCGAACGGACCCGGGTCTTCACCGCATTCTTTGCCGCCGTAGATGCCTGTGAATATGTTGGAGTACCCGCGGTCCATGTCGCTCAGTACATATTCCCAGTCAGCCATTGTGATGGCGCCAGCTGTGGGGTCGGAGGGCGTAGAGCAGGACATGGAGCGTTGGTGGTCGTAGCCCAAGGATACGGCTAGGCGGGGGTCTGAAGCTAGGTCCAAGGGGGAGTGGCCTTTGTCGCTGAGGTAGTGTGGAGCGGAAAGGTAGTCAGGTTGAGAGAGGGGCAGGCTGCTCCAACTAGGAGAGCGGAGCGACTGGGCCATAAGTGGGGGTGTGGTTCCAGAGATTGTGTTCCGTCGAGAGGACTGCGGAGAAGGTTGGCTGGGAGGTTGCTTATCACGGGTGGAGCATGCGATAAGGCGAGACTTCAAGGCCTGTAAGTGCTTCTTGGGGGATTTGTTCGGCTTCTGTGTTGGTGCTACCATTTCCGGGTGGTGCTGCTTGCTCATCGATGAGCGTCTTCCGTCGTCAACAGAAACCAGGGCGTTAGACAGCGTGCCGAATTCAGAAGCTGCTACACTCGACTCTGACTGGAGGTACTGCATGGCGGTTCCAAGCAATTTCTGGCTATCCTTGGCCAGTTTGCTATCGCTTTTCACATCAAGCATTTGCCAAAGGAGTCCAAGCCCGGAAAAGAATAAAAGCTCTTTCCTGTTAATGCAAACAGACAAACACAAACGCCTCTCATCGAGCAATTCAAGAATCTGAATGATATGCTTTGCTGAGTCGCTCAGCACTAGGGCAGACGGAGAGCGAATGTTCCCGTCGGCGTAGCAGACAGCCGGGCGATGGATCAAAGATCGAATGAAATAGTAGACAAGTGACTATGGTGGAGTCAGTATTTCTTTTTTTGTTGTAAAACATCAATGAATTAATGTTGGGACTTACCAGGAGCGGGGACCGACTACTCGTGACGTTTGTGCTAGGCTTGTCCTGACTGAATTCGAGACGAAGATGTGGCGGCAACGTGTACAGCCACTCATCTAATTGCCCTGCCACTGAGCGCATCTTTGAAACGTACACATCGTAACCAGATTTTGAAGGGAACAAATCCTCCAAAGCCTTGTTCAAGATTCTTGCAGCTCCGAAGAGAGCGAGGGCACTGGATATCCGAGTGGATTCGCCAGGAAGGGTCGGCAAAAACCCTGTTTCTGTAACATTCTCATCGTCCGCATCAACCGGATACTCAGTCTCGATATCCTCTTCGCGCAAAAGGACCGGCAGTCCAGTAAGTGCGGAACAGAAGCGGTCGAGCACATATTGCGACCAGAAAACCTTCTTACGAGTCTCGTCATCTAGCGGATTGGTCGAGCTTTCTTGGTTTTCGTGCATGCCGAGCTGGTGGCATATATCAACACCAAGGGCACGATAGCGAAGCAAGGTGCGGTAGTCGCCTTTGGTCATGCAGTAGATCTGACCAAGAACAAAGCACTGCAGGCTGGAAACTGACGTTTCACTAGAGAGCGAATCAAGGGTGGCTGACCAGTTCTCTTCGAAGAAAGTCGGGTCTTGGTTGGTCCGCGAGATTGACGAAAGTGCAGCGATACCGAAAATCAGGTTCAACTGCGCCATCACATGGGGATCGCGCCGGAGAGTCCCAGTATTGTTGAGATACTGGCCGTAAGCTTTCAGAATGGTGGGACGATGTACTACAGGGTACAGCGGCGCCCATTCTTGGAAAAAGATGTTGATCAGCTGGTCCGACACCAAGCGGGGTGGTGTTTTCACGGCCTGGTTAGTGGAACTCTGGAATACCGAGGTAGACAAGGCAGTAAGCGCCCCTATGGGAATCTTTGTTGCCGACTTGCCCTCACTGACAAGCTTATCGGTAAAGACATCTGCGCATGTAAGTTAACTTCATTATTTCCATTTTAAAAGGGAAACGTATAACATACTAGCAAATCCCAGTGTGCTAGAAAAGCCTACAAAAGGGTTCTCCGACTGCCGGGATGGTCGGGCCATCGATCGCTGTACATGAAACACCCCACCCGATGAATCCGAAGTGGTCGACTTCACTGTCGCAGAGGCAGAGGGAGACCGGGCAGAGGTGGCTCGATGCGGTGGCGTAAACGAATGTATCCGGGACAAGACATCGATCTTTTCGTCCTTCTCATCCAAGAGGTCTTTCAAGTCTTTGACTTCGGATTCTAGACTCCTAACTCGCTCTTCGAGCGACTCGGTATATCCACGTGGGAAGGCACGGCGGCTCAGTTTGTCGCTGGTGCGGCACTCGAAGCCCACGTTGGCGCATTGCGAGCAGCAAGGTCGAACACCGTCGCAACGTATTTTCTTACTCCGGCATCGGTCACAGGCTTGGGCGATACGGCTCGTTGTGCCAGTCCCACCGACTTTGATCACTTTCATAGGCAAGATACCAGGCATGTTGTGCAGAAGGGGCACATGGGCCGCCTGGGGTAGAGTGGGTTGTATTTGGAAGCCAAAAGTGTAGAGGTAACACTCCGTATAGATTTCTTGATATTGAGACAATGCAACTAAAGAATTAAAAGAATCTCCAGTTCGAATAAGAGTATGCAGAAAGAGGCCTAAAAACATGGGGAGGGACTCGGGAAGATGGGGACACGCCAATGCTGAGTCAGTTTAAAGTGGGCCCGCTGACCTTCCTCGGGCGCCAATGAGCTCGCCGTTGTTTCAGTGGTAATTGGTATTGAAAGCGTACCTACATATTCACTTTAAATAAATTCTGAGCCTCGAGTTATTATTGGTGATTCTTTTGCCTACAGAGCAAACTCGCCCCCCGGATTCTTCCTCGACATTTCTTATGACGGTTAGATCCTCCCGGTCCCCCCGCACTCCACATTCCAAACTCCTTGGCTGATATGGAAGGGAATGTACATGGCTTTCAATGGGACAGTGACACCTCTTTCGAAGTACATATACTATGGAGTACAGCATACTGAGATAGTGATTTGAGTATAGCGTGCTCGGATCCAAACCGGTTGCGGTAAGCATTACCGCCCCCGACTTCTTGCTCCGGCGCCGGTTCTGCAGCCGCGTGTCTCCTATGTTGGCCTAATGGGTGCATTAACTTTTGGTCCGATGATCGGTCACTTTCCATGGTTAATATGTCTTACTTTCCACTAGAATATATCGAGATAACTCCGTAATCCTTCCGATCAACATAGTACTTTGTATTATATCACCCTACGGAGTTTCTCGGTCACTCGGGTCTTGTTGAGGTCAAAACAAAATCCAATCCAACTCTAACCATAACAGCCGAGAAATCCCCCAGAGTTTTAGACTTTATATTCATAGTGAAGTACTCTTGACTTTGTAGTGGCGAACACCATGATCAGCTGGGAGACAATCAAGCACACTGAAATTCGAAAGGATTTGTGTAAATTATATTAACTCCACATTAACTATGAAAGCCTAACGAAGAACGCGGGACATAGTTCGATATAATCAAGATAATCGCCATGTGTTTAATAACGACAATTGAATTAATACATGTAATTATGATATTGTCATGAAATCCCGTTTCGTTCCGCTTAGCGAGTTTTGCCCGAGCGATCAGCGAACCATGGCTGGTAAGTCAATAGCCCCACTAGGCTCCGGCCTGTTGGATTCACGATCTACATTCTGCTCCTGTGCTCCACTACGATGTACATCCCGGATTCCTCAATATTGGTTCTAATTGTAGAAATGCATTCTTCAGTAATATTAACGTCACCGGTGTACCCGGGGAAGTTTATGAAACGCCATACACTGCATTCAATGCTAACCCGGTCCAGCGGAGATCGGAAAGTCAAGGTTCCTGCAACTGGCTTCCCCGCATACAACTCCCGACCCTGTAGATCATGATGTTTACCCCTTTACAACTCCATGATCTTCGACTATAAACGTCATACTTATGGGTTTTCTGTCTTTTCGTCACAATCAAACGATAGTAGCGCCTAGTCCGATGCGCTACGTGGGGTGTGGGGTTGGCTCTTTTTTGAGATGATCTGGCGGGGACCGCGCTTGCTGCAGCCTGTTAGTGGGCTTTAGAGGATATCTAGGAATGTTTCGGATGCTTTGACATGTCTGTTGGGATACTACTGCGTTTCTCTAGTCTGTGCTCTGGTCTTCATCACACCCAACAAGATCTGGGCCCTTGATTTTGCATCATGAAAAGTCGTCGGCTTCGTCCGGCTCCCCTGTCTGTGCACGGAAATACTCGGCCACCGTTTTAGAAGCCAGTAACTCTGTTCTCTGCGGGCCATGGTCAGTTAGGGGGAAATTGGAAAGAAGAGGGCCCTTTGAGACAGTCGGGAGATCATATTACTCACCTGTTTTGTTAATTCGTCCACAGTCTTCTCCAGCAGCTCCCCTTCCAAAATTCGGTATTGCGCAATCGATGTGAAGATCCCAGGTCGGAACATGGAATCCAAAGCCGCTTTGTCCTCTCGCAGATTCGAGATAATTTCCTCAGTCTCCTGGAGAAGAGCGAGCTGAGTTTCGAGCCGTTCGAGAAGCAGCACCGCAGCACGAAGCTGGAAAATCTCCCACAAGGGATCCACAGCAAGTAGCTCGCGGAGATGACTGGCTGATTGAATCTTTTCGCCTTTCCAGGTCGTTTCCAACTCCCGGCCCCCGTCGGTGGTCTGTGCGATCCCGAAGTGAAGCCCGTCTTCTTCGTTCACGCATGCTATCCAGGCCAGCCCACTCTCCCACGTTAGTTCTTTGGAGCCCCCCTCAGCCGAAATTCGAATTCCAGAATTGTTCTGGCAGAACATCTTCTTTGCGAGGGCGAGAGGGTCATCCTCTGGGATATCCAGATTGAGGAATATTTCTCGTGCTTCCGTCGTGCCGCTTTCCAGAAATCCGTACGAAAATATCATCTCAGATGCGGGCTTCTCATCTCCGTACCTGTCGTGCCATACGTCAGCCAAGCCCCCAATGACCATCTCCACCGTAGAGGAATCTCACGAAATCGTAACCTCTTCTCCGGGCTGGATAGCCTTGCCCCATCGTAACTGAAGAATGGCGTTCCCATCCGAGTCTGCATCATATAGCGCCTTGACCTCATCACCGGAGCCATGATTAGCCATATCAATACAAGGCACCATCGCCAGACCACTTCTAGGCAGATCCAACATGCGCGATCGATAAGCAGCGTCAACATATTTCCAGTCGTGAATTGTCAGCGTGCCAGTCTTCTCATCCCACCAGCTCCGTTGACACCACGCGATACCCTCCGTAGCATGGCGGAGCTGTTCAAACTCTCGCTCAAGAGATGCAAACTTCGCATCCAGAGCTTCTTCAAGCGACGTGCCCCGGAGAAGCTCTTGTTCCTCGGCCGTGTAGAAGATAGGCAGAGGGAACGATGGAGGTAGGAACTTCACGTATTCGGTCCAGGGATTGGAGATACCGATGGTTTCGTGTGCTGAGTGCAGATCGGGGCTGCTATGGGATAGTTGAATGAGTAGGAATATGAGGATTGCTCCTCTAGCCGTCTGTGTATCTTAGTTGGTTTTCTCCATTGTAATGTAGATGTGGGAGAGCAGCCCATACCCTTCCAAAGTCGCCGATTGCCTCCAACACCTCGCGCAAATGCCTGTCGGTTTTGGCATGATTATGAACAGTCTCTAGGGATAAAACTAGATCTGAAGGGATTTGTAGGAGGATCGTGGGGTTTGTATCGTTCTCGCTGCTCATCTGGGCTTCTGTTGCGACGAGGGCACTGCCTTTGTCTGCGCCATGTTGATCAGATCCAAGCTTGTGAGCTGCGATACCTTGAACGACGATCCCATTGAGCCGCTGCCAAGCTGGCAGGGATTCGATCGGGATGTACTCGCGCTTCATTGTGAGGTGAGTTGGAGGTTGGTGTTTGTCTACTTAAAATATCGCGTCGATGACGATCGTTGCTTATCGATAAGCCCAGTCCCGAGTTAGAACCTGTCTCCACTTACCCTTTTTGGACAAGATCAAATTGCAGCATAGCAACGTCATATCACCGCTTGTAACGTCATATTACCGAGTGGATAATCATAACAGGTAGGTTAAAGTAAACGTTCTTGCTGTTCAAGTACCTATAATAACTCGTGATTCCCTGGTCACAATCACTATATATCTTCTACCACGAATGCTACACAGCATGTTTGTTCCACAACAAACTTGGCGGGTCATCCTACCGTTACAGTCCGTCATTCATCCGTTAGTTCTCCGTGCACCACTTGGGATCCGCCATTACTCCATATTCGAGGACTGGAAAGGGAGTTCGGCAGAGGACCACACACGCAAGCGGGCTCAGAAGGGCGATGCAGAGGATATACATTCAGAGGCAGCGGCCACTGGGCTGAGGGAAAGGAAAACAAACCAGGGTCTTGCAGATGACACCAAGTCCCAGGGAATTACGGAGAGGGGTGGGACCAAGTATGGGAAGAAGGCTAAAGAGGAGCATCCCAAAGCGCCAGAGCCGGTCATTGGCATGAATGACGAACGGCCAAAGGTCAGTTCATATGAATGATGGGGGAGTTTATTACATTTTGCTGACTGCGTCCCAACCTTTGCAGAAGGGCAGTTAAAGTCGAATATCTTGTGGTATTCTATGGCGTTGTTCGAGCTTGACACATTCATTGTCGACGACCCAAATTTTGTAATAATAGTGAATCGGAGTAGAGAACAAGGTCATAAGACATTTCCATTACTAATGTCATATCATCCATTGGGAAAGGCAGCACATAAACGGACTGGTCTACCGACCAACCTTGAACGATAGGATCTGCAATGGTAATCAGTCAATGAACCGTTGTATGGTTCAGCGGGGTCACTTACATCGTTTTTCCCGACTGCCACAATGTCATCCTCGGAGACTCGAGTTCCACCCACTCCTTCGACATAGTTGATAGGTACATCACCCATCACCTTCCGGGCAACATCACCGACAGTACTGTTTCTGTGGGAGGTTAGACAGGCTATGTCAGTCTCGAAATAGGAAGTACTCACTTATTGACCAAAACACAGTCGCGGAATACAGCAGTTCCAGTGCCAGAGTTGAATGTGGCCACGTTCCGGACGGGGAACACTGGTACGAGACCTAGAAGCTCGGCCGCTCGGGAAAGACATTGGACGACTCCGGTCGATCCAAATCGATACAGCACCATGTCTTTCAGGTTCTCAACCCGACTGGAGCGAAGCCGTTAGCAAGGTTACAACCCTCCTATGAGCACTAGCACTGAACATACGTTTTCAATTTTTCGTCCATCTCTTTGAGGCCTCCTCCATCTGGATCGCCCATCTCGATCAAATCTTCTCGCGTGTCGACAAACTCGCTGCCTTCGACGTACTTGATGTAATCCTGCTTTGCCAGCCTTCGGAGGAAAACCTCAGATATAGCGGAGCAAAGCACAATGCTTTGGGGATCTTGCATTTTCGCGATTTTGCTAATGTTCTGCAATTTCTGTCAGAACAATTCAAGGGTTACCAGCTAGATCCTCGTACCTTGTCTGCATCTGGATGGTCGATCTTGTTCAACGCGAACACTGTGGGGAATTTCTCATCGATGAAAGCATTAACAACAAGCTCTACCGTCTCATTTGACCAATCTTCCAACGGCTCTTTTAAAGCAAGTTTATCCATGAATCGCGCAACAGTGGAGTGGGTACTTCCATAACCGGCAAACTGTTTCTGCAATGTGTCGACGGGGTTTGCCTCTGTGCTAAGAGTCAGTTATGTGTCACGTAAATAACGTTGCAAAAGTTCACTGACTCAAGGCCTGGTGTCTCCTCTTGATAGAGCCCCTAAGGATAGTTCAGCATTTGTCCCTTGTTTCATTGTTGGCACTTGTAAACGTACCACCTCTCCATTAGATTTCCTAGCACCCATCGCACAATCTCTGATCGCAACCACTCAATGTCTACTGATGGATCATATCCTCGAGTAGCCTTTCCTGTAGGTATTTATCAACACCCGATTTGCGCCATTGTATTCAATCCGGCACACCCAACTAACCTTCAGCATCCGTGGTCCCACTCACATCCACGACGTGAATCAGAGCATCGGCATGACGCAGATCGTCCAAGAACTTGTTACCTAGTCCGCGACCCTGATGCGCACCTGGGACAAGACCTGCGACATCTAGCAACTCAATTGGCACGGAGCGTCGCCCTTCGTGGCAGCCTCCATAATTGGGCTGGCACCGGTCTGAAACATTGTGTCGCATGCATGGGCAATCGATCTGAAGGTATCCGATGGCTCGCTGGGGGTCAATGGTTGTGAAGCTGTCGGGTGTCAACACGGCCTGCGCGATCAACTGCGATAAGGAGGAGATGCTCGGGTAGAGCAATCGGGGCGCACATACGGGAAGTTTCCTGTTCAGAGCATAATGGATTAGATTTTCGAGGTCTATTATAACTGCATTCTGGTTCACTTACCGACTTTCGAAGTCGCATCGGTCAAACTGTTCAATGTGGTAGATTTTCCACTAGACGGCTGTATGCCCCTCACACCAGTGGTCAGTGGGGTGGTGGAACAATTGGAGGGGAACGACATACCTTTCCCACCAGTCCGATTAGCGGATCTCGAGGCATATTGTAGAATGGATGTGTCGAAGAACAAAATATCCTCAGAATAACACAATGACCAGGTTCACCAAGTCTCCACGTGCCTTGGAGTTGGCTGTCTTTCGATAAGAAACATTTTCTGCCGTATCAAAATAGAAGGCGGTGTCTTCAACGGCTTGTATACTTTTATGCCGCTTTAGGACGCCGACTACTGTTAACTCGTTGAAGCCTTTGGTTACTACTGTGTCTATTTTCGCGCCTTGAGATCATTCTAGGACCAATTGAGGATTGCAACTGGGAGTATGGTATATTGACGATAATTCACAGTGAAACACATTTAGTAACCGTGTACATCTGATCGGTCCATCATCCCCGTCGTCCAACCTCAAGATATCCATTGACTCCTCGATAGACCTCGAGTGATAACCAGGGGATATGCATAGCGTCTTGTCAAGGAATAAAATGAACGGCTTTGCCACATTAGGTGGTCCATCAGCTATGACGCCAATCCCCAAATTTTAACCATTAAATGACCCGGCAACATAAGATCTCCAATAGAGAGCAAGTCCCGAAGATGAAGCAGGGCCCAGCTGGTTCTGGAGGGGAGAATATCCATGGCCCTGAATCTAATGTCGTCATTGTAGCAAACGTCACAGCGTCTTGCCATCGACAAAGAATATGGTACCTAGATATATAAACCCTCTTTTTCATACCATGCTTCATTTTCAATATCATACTCGGCTAATTCTGATACTTCACCACCGAAATATAAAATGACTGACGCTACTTTCCACACCACCATTCAGGACCTTCGCAGGGCCGAGTCCAAGCTTTCCTTGTTGCATGGTGGCAACCCCCCAGCGGACTCAAATGTCTCTAGAATGAAGGTGAGTTATTTGGAACGTAACGCGGAGTAGAAAACAAATCACTAACATATTACCTATAGTCTATCATCGACCAAAACACCAACAAGCCTGCACATATTGACAAGATCAAGGCCAACCTGCCTCTACCTGATCAACCTCCAGTCGCCAGCGACTGGAATTCCCTCGACCAGCGTATTACTGGCATAGGATCTGGACGTATCGAGTTCCCTCCTGACAACAGTGGCCTGCGTGGAGCCCCGGCCGCCGGCAGTAGTGCTGAAGAACTTGGACTCTAGGTTATTGAAGGAATGGATCACCTTCCCTCTGATACTACGACCGGTCAACTAAGTATATGAACATGAGGATTTAATATGTGTACAATAGCCATTTTGGTAATTCATTACGAGCGAATGAGTGGATTTCAGAACTTCCTCCGGGTTAATTTGTTTTTAGACTCATAATGTAGTCGTAATAGTTCACCATTGCAGATTTGGAGGTGGCTATGATTTTATATACAACAAGAATAGACAGCTAACAAGCAGCCTTGTGTGATGTTTTTAGTAGTCTTCTCAGCGGTCCTCAGGTATTCTTTCCATGCCTTTCTTTTCTATATATATTTTCTCCCCTTTCTATAAAACCGAGAAGGCAGACAGTGTTTCCTGTTGATAACCTGGGAAGTAGGATTGCCAGAATCCGGATGCGTCGCGCCAAAACCTGCTATACAATAAATGTCCCAAAGTATGTAGTTTTGCATGACAATAGATATGCCAACTCATTTATTTTCAAACTTAACGTAAAATCAATTGGAATCATCCAGGGTATACATCGTACGTGAAAATAAAGAAGTTTGAATGGTTTGCATATCATTGCCTAGACCTGACGTCAATTGCCTCTTGCATAGCCAACTTTCGGTCTCGAGATGAATTCAAGACAGGATCCTGGATATGTGGGGCATGAGTTTCCCCTTTTAATGCCTTTTAGAAACATGAATACATCAGAAGGGACCATGTGCTCCACACCCTCCGTTCTATCGGTTTCTCCAGCCACCAAACAGAGTGTCCCAAGTAAACTAGTTAACCTGACGGCGACTAGCCGACCAGATTCTAAGGGTAGATATCTTGTATAAACTCCTGTTGGTCAGTGTAAGTATGACATCAAAGCTCTTTAGTACACGATCAGTTTCTATGAGGGCACCAGATACTTCCAACATTCGGTTCGATTATGGCTCACTGGGTTCCTATATAGACCTGCCACCACAACCGTGTAGCATCCATCTATCATTCAATTATCTCCCATCTCCCTTCTACCAAACACCTCTCCAATAACTCAGATCTACCTCTTTTACTTTTTTTCCATCTACAATCATGGATATTCAAGGCACCCCTCTTCCTCATACCGGCCGCGGCACTAAGGTCACCAACGATCCTCGTTCACAACAGCGCATTGAAGAAACTTCTGGCCCTATTACAAATGACTCGCTTGCCGCAGAGTCCATCCGCCAAGGTGGCGGCTTCTCTGCCAACCGTGGCGCAGAGGCCATGGGCGTCTCAGGAAACCAATCCACAGCAAAGAACACCAACACCTCCGCCTCCATCAAGCTTCCCTCTACTCCATCTGGCTATCAACGCCAGGACCGTCATGAGGAACAGAAGTACCCCGAATGTGTGGTTGGTCAGGGCAACTTTCCTGGCACACACCTAGACAACTCTGGGTACTCCGGTGGCTCAACTGCAGCCAAGAAGGAAATGGGCATCAAGGCTGGCGAATACTCTGCTGCCAGCGGCAGTAGTGGTCGCAGTGATCAGAATGACGTGGCCAGCGTCCAAAATGGTGGCCTTCCCTCCGACAATGCTAAGAATGTTAGCTTCAACTCGAAGGTTGGCTCCAGCGAAGACCCCTCCCGTGAGTCTATCAACCAGTTCCAGCGCAGCAATGCCGGTTCTGCTTATAGTTCTGGCCGCCCTGAACAGAAGCGTGTGGATGATCAGAATCAATACGGGCAATTGGAGAGTGATCAGCACGCTTAAGTCTCCCTGATTTGAGATCTGGCCCAATTTTTTCATATTTTTATTAGAAGAATGCAAGCGAGCGTGCTTTGGTTGGACCCGGCTTAAGCTGGGGTTATGAACTATGGGGTTATGATTCTATACATTTATGTACAATAGCAGCTAAAAAGACATATGATAGTTACACCTTCTTTTGACTCTTTTTTTACTCCATAACAATCCCTTGCACTCACTTCCTTCGACATTGTCATTGTACACGAGCTTTTCTTTCCTACATATTTCCAGCATAGTAGAAATGCATTTTCAAAAATAAACCTCTGATATTTGTCAACTTCGATGGACCATAAGAAGCAAAATACGATTTGATTGATCTACAATCATGTGAATGAGATATATATATTCCAGGCGTATTAAAACATGCGATACTCATCCTCATCAGATTCCGAACCGGAGTCCGACTCATAGTCACTATAAATGGTCTCTAGGAACTCATACTCATGCTCTCCCACCGAGCGTAGCCGGGTGCTTTCCAAAGGAGCAACAATGATTCTCAAGGGGATCTTCATCGTCTCATCCACATGCACATTGCACTCCTCACTTTCCAGAACCCGATCACTTTCTCCAACCGAAGCCTGTCCCCTCCGCCTCCAAAGATAATTTCCCAACTCAAGCAATCCAATAGTGAAAATGGAAACCCAAACCATTACCAGGAGAATGATCACTGTTGGAAAAACTCCCGGAAGAGGATAGTGCGAGAACGTCAAGGTTTTTGATCTCAAAGTTGGGAGAGAGAAGCGATATGTAAAGAAAGAGGACGAATAGCCCAACAAGGAATGGGAGGAATATGCAGACGTGGTGTGTTTGTGTTCCTTGTTTAGGGTGGCTTTTGTGTGGAGGTATTGTAGAATATCGCGGTAGTGATCTTGTCTCTGCGCAGCAAGTGCATCGATGCTCTCGTCTTTTGGAGACTGGTGTTCCTTTTCCCCCGTATGTTGACTGTAGTGCTTGTGCATTGGCTCGGGTATTCCTGGGGATGCTGGTATCAGGATTGAGACTGTTGGCTTCCCCGATTCGGAAGTTCCTGTCGCATAACGATTATTTGGTGTGTCTTGCTCTGTTTGTTCGTTGTTTTGGTTGGTTGGCCATGCTGGGTTCTGTGTATATAGGTAAGTCGCCGAGTCGACAATATAGGATTTGGGACTTACTCCGTTGTATTTGACATGTGGTGGGTCTGGTTTCAGATCGTAGGGTTCTTTCTCAAAGACCTTCCATATTCCACGTGCATTTGGATCTTTGTATTGTTCTGTCTTGACCCATTTGCTGGTTTGGATAGGGTGGGATGTAGTTGATTGGGTAACAGCCAAAATAAGTGCAAGTGTGAAAATGGAGGGGCGGTTGATCTGCATTGTGCAAAGAGGGAATTGGTTAATCTGATGGCCCAGTATATGCAGAAAGAATGAATTGCCTGAAAAACGAGAGCATTGAGTTCCTTATATCTTTTTTTCAAGGACAGGGGAGATATAAACCGCAAGGGCCGTGCCTTGAACACAAGGAAGTAGCTGTGTAGGACAAAGGGAAACCCCTCTCAGGTTCGGTGCCCAATACCAAATCTGTTTCTAAATCTAGGCCAGTGCTAGAAGACCTGTGAGCTTAGTATAGGATTCCTTCAGGGCGCTATGCATGGTGATTGGCTAGATTGACACCTGCTGAACTTGGGATATGCACTTTATCCCTTGTTTAACGCCAAGGGCGAGGGGCCTAGGGATTGATCATATTGATCGGCCTCAACTCAGAACGCCACGGTAATAGTTTATCCTACGATGCAAGGCTAATTATCAAGGATTGACTCTTCATACTATATGTACGGAGTACTCCGTATGAAGTCCATGATTCATCGCTATGTTGACCCCACCTGCCATCTATAATTCTTGAGTTCGCTACGGCGTGTGACTGATTACATCCGCGGGAATTTAGGGTTGACTGTCTTGGACTGAGGACACTATCGAATATTGGAGGGGCTCGAGACCAATTTCATGTGCGGCCCATTGTTTTATCGCACAGGATTATACAGATTATACAGCCAGACCTTTTGAGAATATCAACTCCTACAGCAATCAGACACAACGTGGTTTATGCAGGTGTCATACTGTGGGGCAGTGCAATGAGTGGGATTTGCATGGGATGTCCATTAAAATTAACCGAGACCTTACTTAGAACCGAATCTATGAGGTTGGTGATATCTCACTGGAATTCTTGCCTTTTTCGTACACCATTGAAATAACGCCGAGTTGGAACAAAAGAGCAAATATAGAAAGATACCCATAGGCCGGACCCCATAAGACATGCACCGTCTGAACAGACGGTATCAGAAACCTGTACAACCAGAGAACCCACTCGCAGTGAACAGTGTGGGAAGAGCAAATAACAAAAGGTAAATCAGACAAGTCGAGAACATTTTTAGACTGTCAGCTTCTTCATCTCCTTCTGGGTCAAGCCAGCAAGCTCCTCGAACACCTTGGTGAACTCCTCATCATCCTCCTTCTTGCCCTTGGCAGCCTTGGGGGTAACCATGACCACACTGGTGGGGCGCTTGGTGGCAGCGGAAGCACCGAGCTCAGCGCGGGAGTTGACAAAGACGTAGGGAATACCGTGGTCCTCGCACAGGACGGGAATGTGGGAGATAACATCCATGGGGGAGATATCGGCAGCGAGAATGACAACACCGCTGGGGACACCGATGGGAGCGTTGGCGGCGGGGACGGCAGACTTGCGGAGAGCCTTGACGACCTCCTTAACACCACGCTTGAGAGACTTGTTGACGGCAGCTAGAAGTCAAAATGTCAGTAAGGATGATCTGAAGATAAGAAAAAAAAAGTTGCGCAACGATGCGATCAGTAGACATAGGTGATCCGAGGATCCGATGAAAATCGACCATGTGCACTGATAGTAAAAGAGTGAAGGAAAGATTGATAAGAAATTGTACATACCCTTCTTGACACTCTTCAGGACCTTCTTGGCCTGCTTGTCCTCAACCAATGGGTTGGCGAACGGCACGAGGGCGCCAATGGGGCGGTCGACAGCATCGACCTCAGTCTCGCCCTTGACAGCGACAGCGCTGGTCTGCTCAAGACCCTCCATGGCCTCAGTGTCAATCTCCTTCTCTACTGCATCGACAAGAGCAGTCTTATCCTTCTTCTCTTTCTTCTCCTTCTTGACCTTGTGCACACCGTCCTTCTCCGCACGCTTCTCCTTCTTCTCAGCGCGGTCCTTCTTCTCGACCTTGTCCTTGCCCATAGTGACGGTTGTGGGAAATTAAGCGGAAGAAATTGAGTAAAATCGAACGAGAGACCGAGGTGGATGGAGACGAGTCACGGGTGAGGGTGGTGAACTGAGAATTCGATGCCGAAATCGAAATAATTTTTAAAACGGCGCTAACCCGTTTCGAGCACGGTTTGTTGCTGACATAATACTAAACAAGGCGGCGCCCGCCTTTAACCATCTTCCCTTTGATACAGCTCCAGGACAAGTTGCGCAGTGCTTCTTGCCTCATGTCCCATTAGAGAGGAATTTTCGTGGGGCTTACGATCGGCTGATCCTCACAGTGAGCTTTAATAGGTCTCCATCATATTTTTGCGCAACGACTGACCTCTCCTGGCTTTTAATAGATGGACCATAGCCAGAACAACCGACCGGCTTCCCAGCTCATTGCTGGATTCGGCTCACCCTCGACACCCTCCGGTGCACGGAGTACCATGCGCCGATCTACTGCTATGCGACAATCTGGCCGTTTCACACAATCTCAAGCCCAATCCCATCAACCCATTCATGGTAAGATGATACCCTACTCGGATTGACTCGGGAGGCCTGTGACGGGAAACTGAATAGTTCGTCTAGATGCGGAAAAAGATGAATTACGCGTGCAATTGAATACTCTCAAATACGAGCTCGAGAATATCAAGCAGGAACGAGAGTTGGAGGCTCTTCGACATGAAAAAGAGACCCGCGACTTGCAACTGAAAGCAGACTCGGATTTTAGAAAGGCTCAGGTGAATCGCTACGAAATTTTTGATCTCATGATGCCAAACTAACAATATTTGCTGCAGGTTGCCGAATCTTCGAGTAATCGAGCGACCCATAAGAGCGACGAACTCGCAAAAGAATTGAAAGAAATTCAAGATCAGGCTTTGAATGACAAACTTGCGTTTGAGCGCAAGATTAGAGGCCTTCAGGACGAAAATCAGAACTTGCAGGAAGAGTTTGACGACACTCAAGCTCGACTCTCCGACCAGGAACGGCAATTTAAATACCAGATCAACGAGTTAGAGACAGTCCGCGCTTCCCTACAAAAGACCATCGAAGAATTCCAGAACGATATTCAAAATGCCAGGACATCGCAGGAATCAATGCAGGTGAAATTATCCCAGCGTGAAGCGGAGGTCGCTGAGCTCGAAGCGGAGAATATTCGATTGAAGGCCGAAGGAAACGATGCTGAGGCTTTGACTGTATTAAAGAGAGAACTCTCCGAGCAGGTCAATCATATTCGGGAATTGGAGTCGACAAACCGTGATCAAACAACGGAGCTGCGTCACCTTCGAAAAGTCTCGAAGAACGTTGAGGTTGTCGAAGAACAAAAGAGATCAGTGGAGAACCAGCTGCAGTTGATGAAGGGCTTTGAAGCCGAACTCAACACAGTTCAGATTCAAAAGCAGATCTTGGAAGATGAGCGACAATCTTGGGTCAGCCTTTTACAGGAAAACGACCAGCCTGCAGAGTTCGACTCACCAGATGCTGTCGTGAGGGCTGTAGTTCAAGGTCGAATTGAGATTGCTACGCTCCTTGATCGCCTCGGAACTGTCGATGCCCAATTCCTTGAGAAGGACGAGGCCATCAAGAGCCTCGAAAGTGATAAAAACAACCTGCAACAGGAATTGGAGAAACTCCGCGCTGTTGCCGTTTCTGCGGGAGGACCAAATGCCGCGGAGGGCCGACTTCGAGCTCGACTGGAGCGCCAGCGTGCGCTTGCAGTGAAAGAAGTTGAATACTTGCGCGCCCAACTGAAGACATTTGATGCAGAAGAGGCCACAATGCACGAAGATCCGTCACAGTTTGATGGACAAAAATCCGAGCAAATAACCCAGCTGCAACAACTCGTTGATGAATACCGCAGTGAGCTCCACAAAGTTCATGAAGAGCTCTCCAAGCAGGAAGCGCCGAAAGAAGACCAAGCCGAAGCCAGAGGTGTTAAGCGACCCCTTTCTCCGGCCAACAGCGAAGCCGAAAGCGAGCGTATCGCTGTCCTCAGCCGCAAGAACCGCAAGCTCCAGGAACATCTGACCAAATCAGACCAGGCCGCGACTCTTGCTCGCCGAGAACTGGATGCCGCCAAGTCGCAGATTAAGTCTTTGAAGGCCAAGTCACGAACACGCGTTCTTGAACTGCGTGATAATCCGACTGCCCAAACCGAGCAAATTAAGATGACTACTCTTGCAACTCTCCAGTCTGCGAACAGAGATCTCATGGCACAGCTGCGCGGGGGCCATACTGATATCAAAGTCGTTCCAGTCAGCGCCCTGGAGAGCATCAAGCTCGAAATGCAAGATATGGAGCGCACCGTCGCCGATAAAGAAAAGCGTATGCGCCGGCTAAAGGAAATCTGGACAGCCAAGTCCTCTGAGTTCCGGGAAGCCGTCGCTTCTCTCCTCGGCTTCAAGCTTGACTTCTTGCCGAATGGTAGAGTGCGTGTCACTTCCATGTTCCACCTCTCATCCGCTTACCGGCACGGCGACTCCGATGCACCTTCTGACTCTGGTTCCGGTAGCATGGGCAATGGTGAAGAAAATTCCATCGTGTTCGATGGTGAGAACGGTACGATGAAGATATCGGGCGGGCCGAACAGCCTATTCGCTATGGAACTTAAACCTCTCATCAAATTTTGGGTTGAGGAGCGAAAGGATATTCCATGTTTCTTAGCAGCCATGACCTTGGACTTCTATGACAAGACCACCCGTGCTGCTAGGATGTGATGGATAGGATGAGTATCATATTCGTCAAGCCTGTTTTACCTTTCCATCTCTGTATTTCTGTGATTCCCCGGCACATGTTGATTTGTGCTATGTTGTATGTTCTTATTGATTATCCGCTATTTACTTATGCAGTAATCAAACACTGCATGTCTTCTACTTTCTTTGCATCTAATACTCCTAGAAAGAAGGTCCAGGAGGGGGACATATGTTGGCACTGGAAATTCCGTTTTAGTTCCCAACTTCTTGCCGCTTTTGAGTAAAACCGAGCAGGCCAAGACCAGGGCAACCCTATATATCCTCTACCCAATCTGGAAACACAAAGACAAAATGGACCTAAGCTCCTCTAGTTGGTTCGAGACTTGGACATCCTAGGATGGGGAATTATCGAGCTCGGTCCTCATCGGCGACAGGGTGTCAATGCTTGGATAAGAATTTGCTCAGAGTTTGGGGAGGTTCTCGAAGAAAACTATGACAGAGTTAGCGACATTCAAATATCAGGGAATGTTTCCCTACATCTATATCTTTGAAATCAATATCTGGGCCAAAATCCCATATTGGTTGGATACCTTGGTGCATCTCTGGCTTCGAGATGGTGAGCATGGGTCCCCTTTCCCGCAACCGCAATGCCTGCAAAGCTTGAGATAATGCTTCCTGGTAGTGCGCCCTCAAAGGCATAGTCAAGTTGACGGAAGTATGCCGCAGCCTGATCAAGGAAGGCAACATTACTTTCCGTCTCTGTGTGAGTGGGATTGTAAATCACAAAATCGAAAAGCACGAAGGCTGCTGATGATGGCATGATGCCAGTAATGCTAGGTTGAATTATTAGTATAAAAGCCTCGTCTAATGTCACATAGAACTTGAGAAAAATAGACTTATAAGTCAGGAATATGAGGCTCGATTTCAATGAGCGCGCTGCGTTCATCAATTCCCACCTGCTATCTTCGCGATCCAGCTTTCGATCAGCATCGACGTGAAGGGACAGGCGCTCCACATCAAAAACCAGGTTGCAGTAATGCGTCTGTATAGCGACCATCTTCGTAGGCAGACTTGCACTTTGACTTAGTTGAAGTGGCTCCTTCGGTCGAAATGCCACAGGTACTGATAAGCGCCATTCTTCTAACCCACGTTGTACATGTTTGATAGAAGTTAAGGAATCCTCTGCGGATTTTAGAGAAGACCTTGTTGAAAACAGGGTGGTTTATGCGATCGACGTCAGTCTGCTCAGATGAATGGCGGCCAGGAACCAGTTGTAGTCTTTAAACCTGGATCCTGGGACATAAGGGATCTCACATCCGATATCTTCATGCGCGAAACCCTGATTGATGATTAGTAAAATATCTTTATGACTTGGAAAGAGATCTGAACGCACCGAGCTATTGTTCTCAGAGGAGTCAATCTTTTCCAAGTGGTAAATAGTCCAAACCCCTCTTAAGCGAGTGGGTTTGGCATTGGAAGATTTGCGATACAGTAGACTTTGCGCCATTCTAGCAGCATCGTATACCAACGTCTGGTCTAGCTGAAGACAGCAGGCATTCATTGCAAATATGGACTACAACTTGAATTAGCTAAGGGATTAGAGCCTCACCATGGCCGTCAGAGCCTATGTAATTTTGTCAGCAATGAGACATAGAAAGGTGAAGACATTGAATTACTTAAAGTTTGGTCAAAGAGTATGGAGGAACCAAGATATCCGGAATAATACCTGGACAGAATTGAAAGATAGTCCACATATGAAGCTGCCGCTTTCGTCGTACTGGCTGCCCAAAGCTAGGACAGCGTGATATATTGCGGAACACGCTTTTCTACATTCCGATGTCCCAGTACGGCGGCAGTTAAGATTAGGCGAGGTAAACCCTTGTATATTCAGAAAGGGGTAAATATGATGGACCTGGTCAAAGTAGGCTAGTTCTTTCAGTCCACTTATCCACTATCTAGTATACATTGTTCCTCAACTACCTTCCTCAAAATATACCATGATAACATTTGAATCCCCAGTTGATCCTTGGGATATGTAAATAACTAGGGACAGCGAGAATAGAAATTTTGATAAGCTGTAGTTCTGACAATAGCCTGGTTTGGATCTGGTCAATGAAGTGGGGATTCACAGATCGTGCCAATTTACCATTGGGCCTAGACGCCTGAACCTTTTCTAGCGCAAATATATGCACGCAATTTAATCTACAAGATTACGATATTCGGCTGGCCACGGAGGCGTGTGTCTGATCGAAAACCGCTGAGAATGAGGTCGCAGAGCTGCACGGTGTCAGGACAGGTCTCGTCGTGAACTCATCGGCCATTGTCGATCATGCCATATTTTCTGCTATCCTACTTCCAGGGGACGCCATCATGTACGATGAGCTTATTAATACCAGTGTACTCGATAGGTTCAAGCATAGCGTGGCTCTTTGCTAGCAGTCATTCCGTCACAACGATATCGATTCTTTTGTCGAAACCCTGACAGCTGTGAAGCATTCAGGGCCCTAGATCCGTAATGGAACTCGATCTGTTTTTATTGAGGTCAAATCTTTCTATAGCGTGAATGGTCCATTGCAAAACATTCCTTGCTCAAGAAATAGGCAAGAAGCTATTTGTCTTTTGAAATCGCCGGAGGACCTAGATACGTCTGTTTTCATTTCCCAGCTGGGAATGGACTCCTTAGTTGGCGTCGAGATATCCAGTTGGCGGTGGCAGGCATTCGGATTTGAGATCAGCGTGCTTGAACTGTTAGGTATGGGAAATCTCGATGGACTGGGTAGGCATACGGCGAAAGGAGTCACGAAGACACTGAGTGAGAAGCATGCATAGGTTCTTCTGTAGCCATGTATACTCCTAGAATGACATATTTACTTCGTTGTCAGGCCGTCAATCTTCAACACTGGTCATATAAAATGAGCACCCGCGGTATCTATAGAAGTCTCCAGCAGTGTACCCCGTATTATATATACAATATATCAACTCTTCTACTCCGTAACAAATGCAGTGCTATCCATATTAGCTTTGGCGCTGCTCCATTATTGGCCTAGCGCACAATAGACCCCAAAGGCAGCCGAAAAGGCGTAAGCCGAGAGTAGCATCACCGCTTCTAGCAATCTTCTCGGTTTCCAGTGCAGCCCTCCACGACCCCCCTGCAAGTCTTCGTCGTTTATAATTCAAAGTTGACGATGTCTACACCACGCAAGACCATTCTAGTCACTGGTGCCACCGGCAAGCAAGGCGGCGCTCTCATCCAAAGCTTCCTCTCTGCCCCCGACACAGCCGGATTCAACATCGTCGCTGTAACACGCGATGTCACCACTCCCCGCGCGCTGAAGCTCGGCGCGAATTTCAATGTGTCCGTTGTGGATGGCGACATGGCTCAGCCTGAGGCTATTTTCCAAAAAGTCAGCCCCGTGTGGGGCGTGTACAGCGTGCAGGTTAACTCGGACGATGAAGAGCAGCAAGGCAAGGCCATCGTCGATGCAGCAGTTGCTCACGGTGTGCGCCACTTCGTCTACTCGTCGAGTGACCGTGGTGGCCCTGAGAGGTCGCCTGTTAATCCCACCAAAGTCAAGAACTTCGCTGCCAAGTACCGCATTGAGAATTACTTGATCGAGAGGGCAGCGGCCAGCCCGCAACCGATTACATACACGATCCTGCGGCCTGTGACGTTCTTTGAGAATCTTACTACCGATATACATGGGAAGGGCTTTGCCCGTATGTGGGAACAAATGGGAGACAAGAAGCTGCAGTTCGTGTCAACCAGGGATATTGGTCGGGTTGCGGCTTATAGTTTCATGCGTCCCCATGATTACCGCAATGTTGCCCTGACACTGGTGGGCGATGAGCTAACCCAGAAGGAGGCCGAGCCCGTGTTCAAGGCTGTCGTGGGATCATCTATGCCCTTGGCCCCGTGCCCTGTGGCTTCTACCGTCAAGTTTGTCTTGAAGGGCACTGTGGGCGATATGTTTCGTTGGTTTGAACGTGAAGGATATGGAGGCGATGTGGCCGCATGCCACCAACTCTACCCTGGGATGAAAGACTTCAAAACCTGGATCGAGGAGAACAAAGGGCAGTGGCTGTGAGGAACTTGACGATCTAGATATATGACTATGCCACACGACGTCAATACAGGCTTTCTGTGGATTATAGACGTTTCTCCTCCACACTAGTTTTATGTATGTAGATTGCTTTTATTTTGTGCATATATGGTTAGACTTTCCTAAAATATTGATATTTTCCCACCATCAATGTAACTGTGATCTCTATGCAGGCGTTCGAATGTAGTCGGTGCAAACTGCAACGATGGTCTTCTTTAGAACCCTTGAATATTGATTCAAAGTTGCGGTATTCAAAGGTATGGACTCTTTGTCAAAACTCATTATACAGTCGGTTCCACCAAATTGATTTCCAGAAGAAAGACTCCATCCAATGGATTGCTTGCCAAATGATCATCTGGCCCTGGGTTCGTATTATGACGACGGCGTTTTGGTGACGATGTTTCCCTCTTTGATGTTCTTTCTTTTTGTCGGTTGTGCTTCTTCATATTCAGTAGACACCGAAGAAAGATTCCCGATATAAACATAGAGAGCCAAGTACTTTATTAGGGCGGTATCGTGGAGTGAGTGTCCATCGACTCACAAGTTCCCACCACCTAGGAATCGTCAGAAAATTGACATAGAACTCTCTTTATTGGTGACCTACGGAGAAAGAACTCCATCCCAGTCTCCGAGTAATAAAAGAGCGCCGGGTCCGAACCGCTGACAGATGGAAACATAATGAGACCGTCGTTTGTTTTTATCTAAAATGTATTGTTATCGAGATGGAGATGCTTAGCCAATGTGCTGACAGCAACGGATCGCAAGGAAACCTAACATAGCCTCTACAATAGCGAGAACGATGAGAAGTGACATCATAAAAAGTCCATTAATATATAATATATCGTTTTCAATAGCCTGTGTAATTGAGCAAACAGCCAATACATACAAGGATATCGTTAAATGACCTGCCATATTAATATAGCTACGCCTATAGCCCATGGATTAGTGAGCGAGAGACCAGCAGGCGCAGAATTCCCGCTGCTAGTGGTTGAGCCCGTAGCAGCGCTAGTAGTGGAGTCCGGAGTAGTGCCTGTAGTGGAGTCCGGAGCAGTGCCTGCAGTTCCAGTGCCACTAGAGCTTTCCGTAGCAGATGACGAACGGGAGGACGATGAAGGTGATGGCTTGGGACACACGTTATCATACACAAACAGCTCAGGACCGTCACTACAAGTGGTCGTAGACCCAGCGTCGAATGTGCCGTTCGGATAGATCCAGCATGTTCCCGAGGCATACGGCGATTTGCTTGAACCCCCCGGGTTAAAGACGACATAGCTGCAGGAATCGGCCTTTGCACATTGACTCAAGCAGTCCGATGCACCCGAACTAGCATGACAATCTTGAAAGCAGGTTTCAGGCGGCGGGTACCCGCAGACCGAGGCAACAGCAGAGGGAGTCGCGGTGGCGGCGCAGCCGCCAGCAGTGGTGGTTGCGCTCCCACCAGCACACACGGGCTGACTGTAGGCAAACAGATAGGGATTTGCGCAATCCGAACTACCTTTGCTCTCATCGAAGCTTTCACCCGGGTACAGCCAGCACGTGCCGGTGCCCGTGTAAGGGTTGCCGGCATGGAAGAGAACAAAGTTACAGGGAGGGTGGTCGTTACAGTAGTCCCAGCAGGAGGCCCTGCTGCCGGCGGCGACGGCAAAGTCGGAGTCGGGTTTCGTGTAGCCGCAGAGACTGGCGATGAGGGAAGATGTACAGGTTGGTGCCGCGGCAGTAGAGGTAGTGGACGTAGCAGATGTCGCTATGGATTCTGCTAGAGCCCGTGGAACCAATAGGGCGATAGCGGCCCAGAAAGGAGCGATCTTCATGGTAACGAGCGTAAGGACACAAGCTTGTCCAAAAGTGAGAGTAGTATTATTAATTCATCAGGAGCGGTCACTACGGTCCTGCCTATTTATATCATAGAAAAGGGGTCACAAGCCCTCTCGAATTTAATTATCACGTGGTAAGCACTAGAGACAGAAACATGTTACTAGTACTAGTAGGAAGGCCGTAGCCCCTATGGTAAACGAGATTTTAGCGTGTTTTCTGGGTCCCCATCCTAGATCCCCAAGATGCGAGTAATTAATACTTTACTATCTTAGGAATAGCTTGTACACCCCAATACAAAATTATATACAAAGATACATTAATAATTAAGAAGTACAATGGGTCGGAGCTCATGCTCGTCAACCATTCTTGTCTTTTATAACCCAAGGGGCTCAATGGGGACAGTAAACTTGATTACACACTAAGTAAGAGACCTGGTTCTGCAGACATATGTACGCAAAAATAAATGTCTAACTACACAAAACGATATCCCAAACGAACGAACAAAATTCATAAATAACAAAATCGTTATTTGCACAAGAGAAGAGTCAGAACACGACAGACGAGGAGGGGAAGACACAAGGGGGAAAAGGGGAGGAAAGAGGAAAAAAAAAAAGTAATGGCATGAACCTCCGTTTGGAGCGCTATTTGTAGGTATGCCTATCCTGACATACATAATCCAAACAGTGAACATATAACAGGAGAAGTATTGAATGGAAAAAGGGAATATATACGACCAAGTGCGGGTAGCTCGAACCCACTTTGCGCAAGAAATATCTAGGAAGAGACATACTTTCCACTGATCAGCTTGCGTGTGGTCGGGACGCCCAGCCATGAAGCCGCCGACGGCTGGGACTCACGACCCTCGTCGGCGAAGGGGTCGGCTTCTATCTGCTCTGCCTCTGAGGCAGCACGGCTAACACCCAGCTGAGAAGTAGACCCGGCGTTGCGGAGCTCGAACTTTGCTTCGACAATACCCTTGCGAGGTCCGGGGGTAGACGTCACGAAGCGGACGAGGAACTTGCCTTCTGCACCTGGGGTGGTGGGGGCCTTGACTTCCAGCTCGGGGATTCTCCATGTGACGGTGGAAGTCTTGCGGCGGAAGACGGCGCCGGTATTGGGGTACATGGCAGCACTGGTGGCGTGGGCGACTGACTCGCGCGGCTGCCCGGTAGCTGTGTCCTCGGTGGCCGTGTCCAAATTAATGGTCAAGACCAGGTTCTTGAGGGTAATTGGCTCCGCTGTGTGGGAGATGAAGGAGGGGTTGAGCGTATAATAGATGATGGCGCTGGCCTGTAACTCTTCTAGATTCCACACTGGCTTGAATATCACGGGGCAGTAGGCTGAGGGGTTGGTTGGGTCGATATGCAGCTGATACTTGAATGCCACTGTCGGCATGGGTCGCGAGATGCTGCCCAGCTGGATATCATATTCGCCTCTCTTGTCGTCGCCAGCGTCTTTGGTAACCTCTTGGACAAAGTGGGGATTGGCCGCTACCTTTTCCAGCACTTGGAAGTTGTCGAGTCGGATGCGCGTATGGTCTACCGCAGTACCAGGTATGGAGTTGTTTGCGAGAGCAAGCTCACCAATGATGTAGGACTTGGTGACATTACCCTCTGAGAACCATGCATTGACGGTTTCAATGACTGAAGCATTCAGGCCCGTTTCATATAGATCAGGATGGACCGAAGGTCCTGGGCCATGCATAGTGTGCCCAGAGCGAACAGACGTAGTATCTGACATAGCGTGATCATCCGTACCAGTGCTGGCGGCAATGCTAGGGGAGGTCATTTGCCTGATTGGGGAGGTTGGTTGCTGGGACTCCGATCCTGCCGACGACGGGGGAAGCTCGTTGCTAGGCGAAGCAATAAACACCGTATTGCGAACATCACGGCGTCCGCGAATGGTGCCAGCATTGCGTCTCATTCCTGTCTGCGGAGCGCGCATTCGGAGAGTATTTGCCATATCATCCATGGCCCGCTTCGCCTGACTCTCATCCTCGAAGATGGGCTGGTCTCGAATTGTCAAATTCATACCAGACTCATCTAGGCCCGCTGCCTCATTCTGGGCGCGTGTGATCTCGTCGATTGTTGCAGGACGTTGAGTGAACCCTTCTGAATCAACCTGTGGCGGATTGACATGGTCATTGGTTAACCCAAGACCTTCTGGGGCAACTCCATTTCTGGAGTTCTCCGGATGCTCTTCAGGTATAGGTGCAGCAGTATCTAATCCGTTGCGATCCTGCGACACACTAGGGTTCCGCAAGGATGATTGATCGGTGAAAGATGTCCCTGGACGGTCAGTGGCGGTCGCCGGGGGGATTCAGGTATTTGCAAATCGCGAGAGGAGTCTGCTCGCTTGAAGGCAGCAAAAGGACTACGCTTCTTCTCTGCCTTTCGGTCAAACGATCCAGTCGAGGGTAAGGCAACGCTCTTTCTCCTGTTCATGACAGTGCCAAGACGTCTCAATCCCCCCAGGGGAGTATGTCGTGGCTGTGCTTCCGGTACTAGATAACCGGTGAGAACTTGCATCTAGGGTGAGACCATAAGTAGACTGTAAAACTCACCTGGCGTTGCCTGAGCGATAGTGTGTTGTCTATCAGATGCCTCTGATAGTTGGCTTGCCGCATCATCCTGGATGCGTGGAGGGGGCGGAAGCGGTGCTTCTGATCGCGGCGTGGAGAACTGGCGCTCGATTGGCGCAGTCGGTGTCCGCTCAGATACCGGTTCAATTGTGGAAGGAGTCTCTACCGGTTCGGTCTGTCTTCTGGGGACAGCCTGCGTCACAGGGACCCGGGGGCCCACCATTCTAGCAGCAAATGTCTTGATCTCATCTGCCGTTTCCACATTGAGAAGAACGTTCAAGCAGCTTTCAGCGGCCTGGCGACCGCGCTCGACTTGATCGACCTCGTGGGTCTCCAATTGTGTTAGCACGTCCCGAAGGTGGTTGAGCCGGGTCTCATCGGCGGCCTGAAGTTGCTCGTAGACAAAGGGAGCCCGCGATTCCCATTGCTGATGGACTTCCTCAGCATTGGCAATCTCGCTAGCAAGTTTGTCTGCACCTTTGGCACCTTTCGCCCTGGCTTTGTCCACCTTCTTCTGCGCAGCCTCCACATTCTTTGCCAGCCCCGCCAAACTACTCTGGATACCGGGCAACGACTTCATCTCGGAATTCTTGTTGCTGAATTCCCTTAGAGGTTTTTCGACATCCTCCTCGATCTTGTTCGCAAGGGTCTCATGCGACACGGCGAGCGTTTCGGTGGCACTGATGATGCGTTGCCAGGGGATTTGGAAAATGCTAGTGTCATAGGTCAGAATCATTATCGGGCGCAGAATAACTTCAATCTTCCAGGGAATGGCCAATTTACCCAAGAGCAGCTCCATTGTCCAACTGTGGCCGATGCGCCAGCTTCCGCAACCCTTGGGCGTATGCTTCTTCAACGCGACGTCGTTCCTACCGCCAAATTTGTCAACACCAATGTCGCTCCTCGTTGCAGATCCCATTCTAGGAATCTGATCGAATCGGGTCACAGGCTGTCATACCTGCAAGTAATCCGCGATATCCACGTTGATCTTATTTATGAGTTTAATGCGATCGCTTAGGACGGTTGTAGCTTGGCCGGGATGCAGGGTGGCCTAAATGAAAGAAATATCACCAATGGTCAGTAACTAGATGCGGTGCTAGCTGGCCATAAAGCTCGCATTGCTCAATCTTACCAGCAGCGTTGGGTACTCTTGCCGTGAGACGTCCATGATTCAGATTCCGGGGTATTGAACAAGGTAGCGCACGAAGCGCATAACATGAAAGAGAAAACCAAGAAATTCCTGCGATCCTCGCGGCGAGAACAGCCCAATCAAGTCAGTGAAATTAATGTGGGATCGGGACCGAATGCCAGTGTCAGTTGGTAGCGTGTCATTGGAGTTGGCCGGGGACGGAATGGGGATGGAATGACGGAGGGTGTTATTGTAATACAGTATTTGGCGTATCAACTCAGTCGCACTGCCTAAACGGCCGTTATTTACGTCACAGAGCTGTAACCATCCCTTCATTGGTCACATGACATCATCCACGCTGTTGATGTTGGCGCCTTGTTGCCTCAGGTTGACATCTGATAGCAAGTCTCCATGATAGAATAGATCTCCCCCTATATTTACTGTGCTTTGATTATTGGCTATACACTAGTATAGTAACTGCAAGGTAGTATAGATTAGAAGTCATACTACCTCAGTTGGCAGTGGCTTTTGTCCATTATGTCCTGGAAAGACAATTTTGGGTTCACAGACCGGCTGCGAGCCATACAGTCTCTGTGAGTGACCTTTCCCGTATAAGTGAACTTGAGCACTCGGTTAATTCGCATGTAGCACAGCGGCCTACCAGCAGGCTTCCTCTTCATCTGCATCCGCATTTGCAGAAGCTATGGCCCAGGCGAAGCGGCTTGAAACTGAGACGTATGACAAGGCGACCTCAAGGGTGAGTTTTGCGCCTTCTAAAAATGGAAATAAAAAAGACTTCAACTGAGATTGTTCCATCCAGGATGAATATGATTCCATCTGCCAACAGGCAATTGATGAAGCTGAATTGGCAGCGTCCACCGAGCTGATCACTAGCAACCCGCAGCATGTCAAGGATGACTATGAAGAACCAGAGACCTCAACTGGGGAGGTGATCGGCCAATATCGGTCTTGCTTCGATCATTATGGTGGTCTCCACTCCTCCATCTACAGATCCAGGTTGGAAGATGGGACTGTTCGAGCAGTGAAAGTCACTATTCCCCATATGATGACAGCCCCGCATGATGCTCACCGTGAAGCACGGTTGCTGCGCGAGGCTGCTCACCCCAATATAATTCCGCTGATCGAGACTTTCAATCTTGATGGTGGCCGATTTGTCTTGGTCTTTCCTTTTGTGCGATATGACTTCGAGAAGTTGCTCCGGCGAGACATGGTAACTGCTGCTCAAACACGATCGATTCTGCGAGACCTATTCAATGCCCTTGTCCATCTCCACGGCATGGGTATACTTCATCGAGACATCAAGCCTTCCAATATTCTAATGGACTCTCCCAATGGACCAGCCTACTTGGCAGACTTTGGCGTTTCCTGGAAAGAGGGCGATCCGGGATCTGAGCCACCCACGCAGAAAATCACGGATGTGGGCACGACCTGCTATCGGCCCCCGGAGATTCTCTTTGGGTTCAAAGAGTATGGAACGTCCCTCGACATGTGGGCTGCCGGCTGTGTAGTGGCAGAAGCCATTGCCGTCGGCCACCACCAGCTCTTCGACTCGGGGCCTGTGGGCAGCGATCTATCGCTGATTTTCTCCATCTTCAAACTACTAGGCACTCCAGATGAACAGCGATGGCCGGTAAGCTTCACACCTACCGCAAATAGTAATGTCATTAACAACCATTGAACAGGAAGTCAAGGTTTTACCAGACTGGGGGAAAGTGGAATTTCACTCGTTCCCCACGCAGACCTGGGAGAATATCCTCCCGGGTGCATCTTCAAATGGACGTGATTTAGTCAGCCACCTATTGTGTTACGAGAGCAGCGAAAGACTCTCGGCAGCAGAGGTATGTGACCTAACCTAATGTCTTACGATAGCCTCTAACAATAGACTTAGGCCCTTGCCCATCCATATTTTGTTCAGACTTGAAGTAAATGGTATGACATGGGAAGGGTGCTACGCCACACTTTTTTTGCGCCTCGGGTTATACCGTACAGTGGGTCGGGGAGTCACAGGCGTAAAAAGTGGACCACTGAATTACTTAACGATGCATCAAGTTTATGCATACGGGGTACCGGATATGGATTATAGGCATGGTGCCTTACATGCACGGAGCAAAATAGTAAAATGTTTCCGAGGTGTAACCCCTTGAGACCTGCATAACAACATTGGCACACAATTATTATCCCAAATCTGGATTGATTAAAATTGGATTCTCGGCAACCCCGGAGATTACGGGCTCAGTGAATGATCAATTAAATATGACGGTTCTGGTTAGGGTGAAACAACCGTATAGTAGTCTGTGCCCCCGGGGCCCGCGTGCAGGGCTATACTTTAGCGAATGTGCCGCTTGGGGGCGGGCAAATGGGGCTGGCAGGAGCCGGACGAGATTTGTTTTCCCGTGCCAAGTGCTCGCAAATTAGACACTGTATCAGGAATATTTTTAGCAGAACTACTCCGTACACTATACGTACTTCATCAGTATGTAGAGAGAAAATGCAAGTTCGTAAAAGGCCAAAGGCCAATTAAAGTAAAGAGGATCACGGTTCTCGGCCGTGGGGATTAGTATCTCCTTCGGGTCAGGTACCGTTGACTAGCCAATCAGAGTGAAGGAAACACTGTGAATCGTTGCCTATTTGGGTTAGCATGTTGTCTATACACACAGGGTCCCAAGATCTCATTTCCTAGGGACTCTCTCTCTCTCTCTCTATCGAATTTCTCTTTTACTCTTTTTCATCCATTCTTTTTGTACGACCTGGAAGTCGACGTCCTTTCTTTTATTCTCGACTTGACAATCGGCGGTGCTCGATATCAGTCGTCCATTCTTTCTATCATTCCACGGAGCCCAGCGACGCGGATTCTCGGGAATTACTCGCGTTGGAATCTTGAGTTATCCCTCTCTTTTAGGATACTTTAGATCTCCCTAGCCTTCATCATCCCTTCACAATATCCTGGGATACTGGAGTCGACAACATGCACGGGCATGCGCACCACCATGCACGCAATGTGGAGGAACTAGAGACGCGAGGAAATGTTGAGGAACGAGGAGTCCTCGAGGAGCGAGGCGATGTCGTGATTGTTTACAAGACCATGGAACCAGACTTTGAAGGGGACATAGGAGGTTATGTAACCGGCAACCAACACGACACTGCGACGAAAGTAAACGCTGGTCTCGGTGATCCTGTCAGTGCGCCTTCAAAGCCCAAGGAACACACTACCGAGTCGGATGAGGAGACATCAACCAAGACGAAGGCAGAGCCGACTACCACCAAAGAGACGGTGGCCCACACCACTCATGAAACTAAAGAGGAGACCACCGAGACTAGTGCTGAAACGACCCGCAAGAAAGCAACTACGACCAGTGAATCGGAGGCTCCTATCACAACAACCTCTTTTGTGACTTCAGCATCGTCCACCTCGGAATCCTCCCAGGATGTCAACACTCTCCTCGCAACCTCCACCGGATCGGCCAAGGACTCTAACGCATCGGCTTCGACCACTGCTATTCCAACTACTGCTTCTGGGGGTATGACTGGTGGCGCCAAGGCTGGTGTGGCCATTGGTGTCATCTTCGGTATTGGTTTGATCGCTGCCTTGATTTTCTTCTTTGTGCGCAAGAAGAAAAGAAGTCAGGAGGGATATCAGAAGGAGAATGAGAAGACCTTCGGTGGTGAAGGCCTGCCAGAGGGCGCTACTTCCTTCCCACCTCCTCCTCCTTCCAAGTCCCAGACTTCGACTCCCCCACAGCTTAATGTTCGTCCCGTCACTCAATTCGCGCCTGATCTGAGCAGCAGCGGTGCCTTGAACCCGGCCACTACTGGTGCTTCTGCGGGTTTGAGCCCGGCCACCGCTGCTGTTGCAGGTGCTGCAGTTGGAGCTGGAGTTGGAGCTGGCTCGGCCGCAGTCGCCTCTCGTAATCTCACTGGTGAATCACCGCCTCCTACTCCGCCAAAGTCCGCTTCAAGCAACACCAACCCGTTCAGTGATCCTGTGAATCCTTTCAACGCAACCACCAGCCCTGTGGCCCAGAACCCGCCTTCGGTTCCCGAACCAGCCACTGGACCTTCTGGACCGACCGTCGCAGCTGCGGCAGTCGGTGCCGCGGCCGTGGGTGTTGTAGCAGGCGCTGCTGCTTCATCTCGGGCATCCAATGATTCTTACCACTCCGCTCAATCACACGGCCATTCCCCCACTGGCTCGACCCAATCTGCGACAATGCCTGGCGATGCTGCCGCTGGCTCGGCTGCTGCTGCCGGCGCCGGCCTCGCAGGAGCTGCTGGCCCACCACCCCCTACCAATGTTTACCGTGTGCAACTGGATTTCAACCCTTCTATGGAGGATGAGCTTGGCCTTCGCACAGGAGCGCTTGTGCGCTTGGTTCATGAGTACGACGATGGATGGGCTCTCTGTATGCGCCTCAACGGCTCCCAGCAAGGTGTTGCCCCACGTTCTTGCCTCTCGGCTCGCCCTGTGATGCCTCGCGCCCGCCCACCCCCCGGCGCTCCTGGCCCTCGTGGCCCGCCCATCATGGGCCCTGACGGTCGTCCAATGATGCCCGGCGGTCCTCCCGGCCCAAGATTCTACCCTCAGGATTCCCGTCCGAGATCCGCTGGTAATACTGGCGTCTCTGGACCTCCACCTTCTCGCCCTTACCCCGGCCCCGGATCTGCTGTCCAGTTCCCGCCAGTTCCCCGCTCTATGTCGCCCGGACCGGGAGGAATGCCTCGCTCCATGTCTCCTGGGCCAGGAGGACGACCTGGCCCTCGCTCAATGTCCCCCGGACCTGGAGGTATGCCTGGCCCTCGCTCAATGTCCCCCGGACCAGGAGGACGACCTGGCCCGCGCTCGATGTCTCCCGGGCCTCGCGGAATGCCTGGTCCTCGCTCAATGTCCCCCGGCCCCGGAGGAATGCCCGGCCCCCGCTCGATGAGCCCTGGTCCTCACGGAGCTCCTGGAATGCAGCGCCCTCTGATGCCTGTCAACCAGCGCCAACGGAGCAATAGTGCAGGCGGCAACGCCGGTCCTCCCGTGGCACCACCAGCTGCGCCTTCCGTTTCCAGTCCACTAGCCGCTCCCGCTCCTGCTGCGCCACAAGTTTCGAGTCCATTAGCCGCTTCCGATTCTGCCCCTGTCGCTCCTGCTCCCGCTGCGCCACAAGTTTCAAGTCCCTCGGCTGCTCCTGCTCCTGCTTCTGCCCCAGCTCCGGCTCCGGCTCCGGCTGCGGCCCCAGCCCCCGCTGCGCCGGAAATTCCAAGTCCCCCAGCCGCACCTGCGCCTGCTCCTGCTCCTGCTGCGGTGCCAGTTCCAAGCCCCCAAGCCGCTCCTACTCCTGCTCCCACCAGCGAGCTTCCAGCCCTTCCGGGTTCCATGCCAACTTCCCCGTCAGGCTCGATCTCGCGAAAGCCCGTCCCCACTCGGGACGCTTAATCTGAATGACCCTCACATCTGCATAGAGCCTCAGTCTTATGCGGAACATAGGCATTCCTGCTGACGTGTCAGTGCCGCCGCTGGACGGAAATGAGCTTGCCTAATATGACCACACTGTTCGCCTCGATCTTGATATCCCCCTACACCCCTGCGTCCGTGACGAACGAACCCTCCTTGAATCTATGCTTTGCGCTGGATGCACATCTCCGCATCTGAATCATTTCATCAGTCTTTTTGTTTTCATCTTCTGGATATTTCATCCGTGTCCAGGATGCCGTCTTGTCTGTGTTCCCACTGGCATCCATGTAATGTTAACAAAAGGCCGGCCGTATTTTCATACCTACTTTTCTTTCTTATGCCTCTTTTTTTATTTGGGTTGTTTCACATCCCTTTTTTTTTCTTTTTGTTTCTCTTCGACTGGAAGTTGCAAGCACCTTCTTCGATTTCCTTTCTTGATTGGCATCGATCTCGAATAATATGCGTGTCACGCTGAGATGAGCTGGAATACCCGGATCCTTCGACTTGTTCCAACCAGATAGTTTACATTCATAGCTATGTAGAAATCTACTGAATTTTACCAACTACATGTTCTTCTGTTGTTACATTACTAGCGTGCACTGTATTCAATAGAAGAGAGAATAACATATCCACTTTAGAAGAAATAATTGCCGGATATCACGAAAAGTCAAGTTCATCTGCAACCACCTAGATACATATATTTCAACCTCTATGATCATTCAATCGAAATCTGACGCAAAAAGTATGTTGTTACTCTCCTTTACATCTAAAAGCCATACATATAAAAACAGTCTTGGTGAAAAGATATAATCAAATCACACTGGCACCACGGGTATAAACGAAATCCACCATACACGAAATCCACCATACACAACCACCCTCATCTTTCAACCACTCAACCCTTAACCTCACTCTCATCGCTATCGAACTTTGTGTTCGCGTTGTGCACACTCGTACGACGGACAGCATCCTCAAGGTACTCGGGCTTGAGCTCGCCATGCTTATCATAGCGGTATGGCGTCTTGATAGAGAGGGTAACAGCATCGAAGACGTTAGTGGACTTCTTGAAGATGGCGTCCATCTCTTCCAGGGAGCGGTAGCGAGTCTCAGGGAAGAAGAAGTATACACATGGGAACATGAATGCGTTACTGTGGTTGTTAGTTGAAGTTCTCGGTTAATGCGGGGGTTTAAGGATCTTACATGACAGCGAAGATGATATAGGTCTTGTATCCGATACTGTCGAATGCAACAGGGGTAATCATCACGACCATGAAGTTGAAGATCCAGTTGGCGCTGGTGGCCAATGCGTTTGTCGGAGCACGGATTCGAAGCGGCACGATTTCGGCGGGGTACAACCAGGTCATTCCGAGCCAGCCGATGGCGAAGAAGGTGTTGAAGACGAAAAGGAAGACAGCTTGGCCGATACCGGCTTGGCTATCCTTTAGATAGACCAAGCGGTAGTTGGTACCGGCTAGGATAGCCATTGAAATTGACATGCCGGCGGCCTAGTTTTATAAGTCTTGGTTAGCTGGGATATCGAAGAGTGGGAGAGAGAGTGGGAGAGAGTGACATACGCCGAACAGCATCAGTGGGCGACGTCCAACTTTCTCAATGATGTAAATAGGAATGAATGCAGCCATCAGATACTCCGTGCCGTTGCAAGCGGCTAGCAACTTTGGAAGGTTGCCCTTTGCAAGACCAATCTGAGCGTACAGTTGAGGTGCCTAAGGGAATTGATTAGCATAAGGTTAAAAATCTCAAGGGGGGGAGATGGATCTCACATAGTAGGTGATGAGGTTGATTCCGGAAATCTGCTGGAACATCTGGTTGACGTAGGCAAGTGCCACGCGATGGAATTCTCGATACTCGCTCATCTTGAACAGACTCTTATAACTGCCCTTGTTCATCTCAGTGACAGTTTCCTGGATGGAGAGGAGCTCGTTCTTGATATAAGGGTCATCCCGAGATTTCTCATTCAGACACTCGAGAATATCCAAAGCCTCCTCGTTACGGCCTTGCATGACAAGCCATCTGGGGGACTCGGGCAGGTTGAGAATCGAGCAGAAGATAATGACAGCGAAGACAATCTGGAAGGCTAGAGGGAAGCGCCAGGCAACCTCTTTTTCTCCGATGAACGACATGCCTAAATTCAGGACTATATCAGTAATTGCAACTTCCGCGTATATCACATGATGTTTCAACTCACCATAGTTAATCCAGTAGCTCAGCGTGATACCTCCCGTGATCAGCATACCCTCTATCATCACCATCTTTCCTCGATCGTGGGCCTTTGCTGATTCGGATTGCCATGTCGGTACGGTACTTGTATTCATGCCGTTGCCAACACCTGTGACAATTCGGCCGATAATGAAGTGAGGTAGAGAATAAGCGGTGCATTGCAGTAGAGCGCCAGTAGTCATGATCACACAGCCACAGAAAATGGTGCGTCGTCGACCGAGCGGATTACCGATGAAGATAGTCGCGACTGCGCCTATGAAACATCCCAGGTTGTACGATGCGACTGCAATGCCTTGGTTCAGAGCGCGCTGCGATTTGATGGACCTGTGCATCTCATCCTGGATGCTTGGGTCTAGGGGATTGATCTCGGGGAAGTATTTGGTGAAGGAGGGCAAGTCTAGTAGACCACCCGTGATACCTTGATCATAGCCAAAAAGCCTTGTAGCAGTTAGTTTTCAGTTTTTCTTTTTTTTTTCTCTCGATAGTGAAAATAGTATCATACAAGAAATCAAGACTTCCCAGAGAACTGATGGCCAAGTTGAGAGACCGGCCTCTCCAGCCAAAGTACCTCGGAATGCCGAACATGATGTCCTATGCAAAGAAAGCGAAAAACGGACATGATGAAAATGCCGATCGGTGGGTTATATAGCCCACTTTCACTCCTCCGGATTGACAAAAAGGGTAACCCGAGATGACCGGGGTGTTCTCCAGCGTTCGGGGGTGTGTCTGGGGCTGGCCAAAATACGGGGGAAGGCGTCGGGCGACGCGGGGATGGGTGAATTTCCATGGGGGGTATTTGGGGGCGGTTTGTATGGATTGTGACTGGTTGAATGGATTTTAACGCTAACTGCATTTATATCGTCCAATGTAATTTACCGCTTCAAGTCAATAAATACGCGATAGTAGCTTGTGCTTGGCTTGGACATGGCGCAAGCCAAAGGAACGTGCTGATATTGGCATGCCCAGATACAAGCCCTAGGTTCCTTTTACATTCTGTTTTTAGTGGTAATTAGTTGGAATTGACACTGTCCACAATAGATGAAATATAGAACAGGATAGCAACAGATATGGCCCCAGCCAAGACCCAGGCAAATGAGACGGGATACAAAGTGACTAACACCCGTTTGTTTCACTGTCCATGACATGCGCCAACTACGCCAACTACGCTAAATACGCTAGATACGCCACAGGGACCTGAGCGAATGCAAGTCCTTTGGTAAATGTACGCAAAGGCAAAACCTTTATTTCACATGTTGAGGCTACAATAAATATTCCGACAGTCCTTTTCCTTTTCTGTGATGGAAATTAATATCCCAAAATCTCCCGGCCCCTCGGATACCGGCTGAGCCATTAATATAATGTGGACGTCAGCGGCACACATGCGGCTTGCCCAGACATTGGGATACTCAAATCATTATGTATGCACCCGGGCTAAACTCTCTGTGCCTTTTCAGGGCATTTTTAGGGCCAGATTTCTCAGATTTCTAATCTGACCTTGTATCCGACCTAATTTGAATTAGCCCCCTGTAGCGAGTATATCCATATCTTTATGACAGGTACATTGAGCTTTGATTTAGTACATTTATTTCTCTTCCGCTTAATCTCGATGTCTTGGGACTTCATATAGATTTGGACACGAGCGTAAGGTTATGCTGGAAAGGCAGGTGTCTTCCAACACATCAGAACAGCGTTATCTCCATGGATATCTGGAAGATCTCCAGAAAGATTGCTTTTTGACGATATCTCGAATTCCCAGCTCATTTTTATTTGCCCTTGCAGCAATTGAATATGAGCTGTTGCTTGTTCAACAATGCACTGGTGTTCGTTACTTACACACTCGAAAACAGGCTACTTCGTTACTTGACAGCCTCGGAGGAACTGGATAGACGTTTCAGCCCTTTCTTTGAAGCTTGATTTCAAGTTTGTAGGTGTACTTGAACGAATTTTGTTACACTTCTCTTTGTTGAGTCTCTTTATCCTGCCTTTGAGCCTCTTCTCTATGCGCTTGTCTCCATTGTTCGTCTCGCCTTTTTTTTTTGTTTAACTTGGTCTTATTTTAGGTGGCCTATTTTCGTGATATCTCGTCCTAAGGACTAGGGGCCCGGCCTATGTTAAGCAGAAACAGGACATTCAAAAGGTATATAGCTGCGCTTGTTTCCGTCCTTTTCTCTCCATTCCAACATCATCATTCAACAAACACAATACAACAGATCTGATCAACGTTCTATTCTATTTCAACCACTTCCATCAGTCCAATTTTCTGAAGTATACCCCAAGTACAACAATGAAGGCTTTCTGTATGAATTTCAGTTGCTTCAGGCGCCGCCGCTGCGACTGCAGCAGCGATGAAGAAGAGGACTCCTCCTCCCAATCAGCCATTTCCCTAGTTGACGTGCAACCCAAGGTCGGGACGAAAGCACCTCCCATACCCACTTATCCTGAGAAGGCGGCAGACAAAGCCCCAAAGCCACCTAAAGGAAAGCCACTCAAAGTGCTAAAACCATTGAAGCCAGGTAAAGTCCAGAAGTCATCTTCACCCAAAAAGAATATTAAATTTACGACGCCCAAAAAGGTCCCTGACAGCAGCAGCGATGAGCAATTCACCCCACGCCCATCGCCACTATTTCATTCTCAGACGGGCATCACACCTGAAATGAGTGATGTCGACATTGGCAGTTCTGAAAAGAGTGATACTGACTTGCAAGAGACCGAGCATCGCTATTCGGCCTTCTCTTCAGAGGATTTGTTGGACCAGTCTCTAGAGGATATCCTGGCCTACTCTGCGGGCCTTGTCAACCCTATGCACCCTATCCCACGAAAGAAGACTAACACCAAGACCCTCAACCCTGAAAGTGAGTCCGAGTCCTCATCGGATGATGTTCACTTGTACTTGGATTCTTCGAGGCACCCTCATGCTTCCGATCCCTCGGCGGACAGCCAGCCCTCTAATAGCAGGAAGCGGGCAAATGTCGAGGAGTCTGAGTCTCCAGCTAAGCGTGTGCGTCTCTTGGAGAAAGGACATACAGGAAATCTGACGGATGAGGAGATGATGGAGTTGGGTAAGAGCTGGCCGAGTCCCCCTTGGGGGCTACTACCCTGGGGAACAAGAAGAAGAGGACCTGTGCTACCACGAGGTCAATCACCAGAAGGAGATTGGGGATCATGGCCATGTCTGAGATCTTCGAGCCCAGGGGTACCTTTCGGACCAAAACTATCTTCTCCGAGACTACTACCTTCTCCGATGTCAATATCCAGTAACGATGGCTCCTTCCTGACACTCGACGGCTTGTATAGCATGCCTGATGAAGCAACCGTCGCCGCGTACCGACGAAAAGGTGCTCAACTGATAGCTTGGTTAGAACACCCAAACGAACCAAACTGCAATATTGCCCCAGCAACGGCCTCCCTACAAGACCTGTTCAACGCCACACCACCAGATCATTTCGAACTCGGCAACACTCATTTCACAGATCCAGGCGACGTTATGGTCGGAGGCGAACCGGAGACGGTGGGGCTCATTCCCTTTGGTTCCCATTACCGCCGTGTAGCGATTTCAAACAAGGTCACGGACCCGGTAGTCCTCGCGGAAATTGGTCGTGATCACGCAAGTAATGGTTACAGTCAACTAATTGGACCGGGACTTCTTATAGCCTATGCTATCTTTAGGTACGATAACATTCAGTGGAATGTGGCCGCCAGGGCTGTATACATGATAGACCATGATATGGAAACTTTGAAGTATATTATGTTTCACCATGTCGTCAATGAGGAGACCCAACCATATATCCTCCGGATACTCTACCCCGAACGTGGACTTGAGTTTGATCAGATGGACGGGGGGCCATGTGTGAAAGTCGAACGTGGCACCCGTGAATTTGAGGAACTGATCGGCACAAAGTTGGGTAAAGCAGCTGCCATCCTTCTCATATCATCTCTCCCAAGAGGTACGAGACGTATCGCTCGAGCAGTCATTTGGAATTCTGCTTACAAAGTTCAGGTAAGATTCGAGATTGAGTCCACTAATCCAGATGAGGAAATACCTAGAGCTGAGCTACGACCGGGATTCGAATTTGGACGTGAAATACCTGCAGAGCTTGCAGCTTTTGAAGAAGAAATTGATGATAATGGATCATCTAGAGCTCTCAGATCATCAGAGTCTGATGAATATGTAGGAAGCGAATGTTGGGATGAATGATTTACAAACACTTTTAGGCACTTGTCCCATGTTGGGTCTTTTAGTGTTATTCTAGAGTTTTAAATGGAGCAAACAACTACATATATAGAGTATACAATGGATTGGTTTTGGACACAAGACAATACAATAACATAGTTCAGGATAGGGGTAACTAGAATACCATCTATTCTCAGTTCACATCAAAAGGGTACACTGATTCTCTTTCTATGAAACTATATGTATATAATGAGAGACTTACCTTCCTGATAGCTGTAGTATTCGAATAGAACAATCAACAACCCTAGGAATCCTCAGGCGCAAGCTTTGATAATCCGCGCAGCTTTGGGCCATACTTCATAAACAAGAAGGGTACTGGCAATAGAACCATAGCCACAGCTCCAACAATCGAAACAGCAGGCCCTATCCCCAAACCTTTGATCATCGGTTTGGCCGCCAAGGGAAGCCCGGCAGCCAGCAAACTTCGAAGAAAGGTAACAGCCGCCGTTGAGCTAGCAGCGTAGATCTTATATACATCAATCAAAAAGTTCAAACACTGTTGGAAAATGCAGTTGAATCCAAACCCTATAAAGACAGCGGCCAGACATGGCAGGATCCAGTGGTGGGGTGGTTCAGCGGTCCAAGCAAACCAGAAGAGCCCTACAACAAAAAATACCGCCCCGAATGCCATAGGCGGAAGTCGTGCTTCGGGCACTGCTTTCCCATTTGCGTCTTTGGATATTTGGTTATAGCGGTATTGGTTCCAGATATTGAGACCAACCGAGGATATGACACCAATCAACAATCCCAAGAACGGTAAAGAGCCGACAAGACGGTTCCAACCTCGCGATTGCTGGAATGCAATTGGAAATACCTCCAGAGTTAGGTACATGACACCGTAGACAAAGGAGGCATAGAAGGCAATACATGTGACAATCGGCTCCGTGAACAGCATTCTCAATGGACGGGCGAGCTGCTTCGTGAGAACGGATTGGACATCCAGCTTCAAATGTTCATGAGGATGATAAAATCTTGAATCATTAGTGTCTTTCCGAAGCTGCTGCGCTTTCCGCTTGAGCAGAACCAGCGGGTATACCTCTGGCAAGCAGAAGAAGGTCAAGATGAAAATGACAAAGACCCAGATGGCGTGGATGTATGCAGTCCAGCGCCAGCCTATATTAGGATTCAACATGAGCGCTGCGCCAATCACTGGACCTAATGCCGGACCGCCATTTACCGCCACTGAATAGAGGCTGACTGCGGTCCCGCGTGTCTCTTTGTTCCATATATCACCTAGAGCGGCGGTAACATTGCTAATGGGAGCAGAGCCGAAAAAGCCCGCGAAAAAGCGCATGACGAACACCGAAGTTGCATTTGTGCTTACGCCAGTGCCGATGGAGAATAACGCTAGACAGAAGACGGCGGGGAGTATGCTGATTCTTCGGCCGCAGATTTCTGACAGAGGGGCCCAGATGATAGGTCCGAAGACAAAGCCAAGACTGGGATTACTATCAGTATTGTCGCTATTGTTTTGCGCAAAGTCTCACTCACATATACAGGGACACATCCAACACGGCAACCTCGCTGCTCACGCCAATATACTTCGCGATGGTGTCATCGGCCGGCGTGGTGATGCTTGACCCTAGACTACCGGCCAATGCAAGCATGCCCAATTGGAATGTTACCCACCATTTGTACCTGGGATTCCAATTCTGGGGATTCAGTGCATCGTCTTGATCCCACTTGACGAGATATGCCGGGTCAAGAGACGCAGGATCCTTTTCGGCCTCGACTTGCACATTTATAAGACTGCTCTTCGGCCATGTGCGAGCCATAGTTGGGATAAATACCGTGAAGAAATTACTACCCTCATAGACAGTAGTCCATATGTTGCGGTATGTTTCTTCGGCAAATCAATATTGATGCCGATCCCGATGTCGGAGCAAGCCTCAGATCGCTTCAAAACATGGTTGACAATATTTCCGATGGTGAACGGGGTCCATTTGAAACTTTAGTGTCTTTCAACATCTCGGAGATAGTGGATTCTGCTTGGTAATCCCGAATGGGTGCAGGGAAGTGAAGCTACCAACCATTATCGGAATTTCGGGCTTTGATTATCGGCCGGAGCCGGCCTAGATAGGGTGCAAGCATGCTTACCAGGGCCCTTCTAATTTAGTATTGAAAGGAACGAAGAGATCCACTTAAAGATAAAGTGTAAAGGGTACCGAGCCGTGACATGGCGGTTGTGTTAGCACGGGCCTCTGCTATATTCCTTAACTATACTAGTAGGGTACAACCTTCTAAAAAAAAAAGACTTGGATATGTGGAATATATAGGATCAATATGAAGCCAGCAATTATACGATGCAGGCCATACTGAGGAAGTGGCAACGTATGTGAAATGATAAAATCTCCGAAAAGAAAGTCCCGAAATCCAATTAAGATCATCCAAAGGCATCATCTCTAAATATAATACGCACTTATAGTCATAAAAAGTGCAGAGTATACACGGCGCTGAGAGCATTAGCTCATTCCTTTCCTGATCCGAGATGTGGAACGCGTGCACTTGCAAGAAGAAGATTCACAATGCTCATGATACCTTCACCCAAAATGAGGCCAGATGCAAGGACAACGATAGTCGATGAGGTGGCATCTTCTTTTTCAGATGTCTGCTCAGTTGTTGTTGATACTCTCTGCTCAACAGGCAGTTCAGCGTCTGTTGGAGATCCCATGCTAGTGGAATCTCCAATGGGGACTTCGTGATTGGCCCTTGATTTGGAGTGCTTGCGAGACCACCACCATGCAATAATACCACCGATAGCTCTCGCTAGGGTAAATGAAGGCTCGTTAAAGATACCAACCGCAACAGCGATACCGCCGGGAATCCAAGCTCTCCAAGCAGGGGGTTTCCCGTTGCGCGCAAAGGAAGGGGACGCAGCTGCAATCCTCAGTGCGGTCAGGAATGCCCACACGATACCAGCAATGAAAGAAGCTTGTCCAGCCATTGTCGGCAGCCCTTGACCAGTCACAAGACGAGCAGTGAAAATCCAGACATACGCGGTAGGTGTCTGGAACATTTCGCCCGGTACCTCGTAGACGTTCACATACAATTTGTAAACAGCAGTTGATAGAACTGCGCCCACAATACTACCGATTATCTGGCCATAGAACTGGGCCTTGGGGCTTGCACCGAGTAGATGACCGGTCTTTAAATCTTGCATCATATCACCGGCTTGCAGAGCTCCCGACTCAGAGACCGCACCTGCGAGCAGGTTGGTCACTAGCGCAGTGCGTCTGGAGAAATGGGACGCCGGCGTGGCGAGTGAAAAGAGAAGCTGTGTCAGCTTGCTGATACCCGAGACTGGATTGAGGTCAGTCTCGCCAAGAGCCCGGACACCCATAATGGACAGGAGCACTGCCAGCAAAGTCGCTAATGTCGATAGAATGGGAGAAATGATGTCACCGAAGGCAAAGTGCATGCATACAACATTCAGAAGAAGGGTCAGAGGAAGCAAAATCACTACTGTGCGAGTTGAGATGAGTTGAGATGGCGGTGCATCTTTCTCTTCTTCTTCGCTTGCAGTTATTTGTGTGTTGTGGGCGTCATCGTTTTCATGAGATAAAAGATGAGACTCTGACTCCAAAGGGGAGTAGTTGATATAAGAGTGCTGAGAAGATTGGAGTCGAAGTGCAATCCACTCACCAGCGCGAGTGGATCGGACCCACGCTATCCATCTTGGAGAGTTATTCATGATGGGCTTGACCACCAGCCACCCAAGACTAACAAGCGAATCGGCAAGCATAATAGCTAGCGAGATCCAGACAATCCATGCTTTGCTGCCCTCTTCCTCCCAGCTATTCACCGGACCGGGAGCCCAGCCGCGGGTCTTGGCCAGCGGGGATAGGACGCCCCACCCTAAAACTGCCCCGAAAAGCATGTGCATGCACGTTGATGGGCCCATGATGATACCTTGCCCGATGTATGCGGGTGACGGGTTAAGAGTCCACAGCCAGTCGCGCTTCATGCTCGCACCAAACAGAGGAACTTCACGGACTATGGGGACGAAGTAGGAGAAAAGAGTCTACTTTTGTTAGCATGAATTTTGTAAAGTCCAATTTGGGGATATTCACATATGCACCCGACAATGTAAACGCTCCAACTAAGATGCGCATCTTCGAGCGCCAATCTTGTTCCTTGGAAGCTTGATCTTCAGCATCACCGTCTTTCAAGAGGCGTGTATCTTCTTGCCATTGACTGGCAGGTTCGGTCTCTGTACTCAAAATCCCCGCACGGGGACTCTCTGGTGCTATGATCTTCTCTTTACTCCCAGAACCATGCAAGACCTTGAGCATCAATGCCGAGGCGGTACCACTCGGAAACCGCAACTTCTCTCGAACGATGACCTCTTTTCGTAGTGGGACCGCAAATACCACACCAAACAGGCAGACCCCCAGACTCCAGATAACCAACTTCCAGAAGCCGAGTTTCAGAGGACCTCCTTCGCCTTCTCCGCCATCGCCTTCGGGTCCATCTTCGCCCGGCTTCAACAGAAACTCCAGAGCAGGAATGACGCCAACAAATCCGCATCCAAGTGGCATCGTTCCCACTGCACCGGCAACCGTTTGTATCAAAACATTCTCGATCGGTGTGAAGGGGAAGGACAGGTACTTGGATAGAACCTTGAAGACTGAAAAGCCAATCAAGGCTGAGGGCATGGCCATCGTGCTAATCCATCCTGTCTGCAAACCGAAGTAGGTGTTCGAGAATGTGATGAGGGCACCAATAATAAGACCGACGAGAAGTGAGCGCGGAGTGAAGCTCTGAGGAGGTGTGGCGGGAGCTTGGTGGTTTATTGTGAAATCATCGATGGGATCTATAGGTGGATGGTCCAAGGATGGCCTTTCTACAGTGCGGTGGCGCTGTTCGGACGCATTGCCATCCATGCTGATGGCCTGGTAATTCATGAGACCGAGCGATCAGTCATAGTGTAGGTGAATGTTTGGGGGGAAGTCCTACCTCGGGGGACTTGGTGGATTGATAAGCGCTCGCTGATTAATGCGATTTCTCGATAAGATCACCTGACGTCACATTTATTATTCGTAATTTGCCCTTAGTGTTTCCTGTCGTTCTCTCGAACTAGGTTTAGATGTTAAGCGAATAGAATCTGAAGATCTTGAGAACATTTTTAGTGATTCGAAGTGTCTGCTCCATCAGTATAAAGCAATCTACAAGGCAAAAAGCTGGCAACGACCAACTCTATACTCAACCAAGCAAAAAATTACCAAGCTCCAGTGAGATCTATATTCTGTACGGAGTACTGCAGACCAATTTCAGAGTGCTTTTTTTCCGTTGCGCGATGATCCAATCTATGAAATAAATAAGAGCAAATGCCAAGGATACAAGTTATCAGGCAGTAGCGGGGTCTAAACCTAATAAGGATCAAGGCCACGGGGTCTAAACCCAAACAGGAACTATATCATTGGCTCCTTCCAAGGTAATATTTACTCCGAGGTCGCGTACAACCTTTACTCCTTCCTACATTATATTCCTCTTCCTCTCCTTTCTTTTTCCTTTTCTCTTTTCATTTTCCTTTCATCCTTCATTCCTTTTGCCCTCTCTATCGGTTGTCACTATTATTTGATCGTAAGTGTACATTTTTGGTGTCCATTCCTTGGTTTTCCAACTCAATTAATATCATATTTCCAGTTCTCAAAATGGACGATCAAGTCAAGTGTCGCCGCAAGCATGAAAACCCAGCAGTTGTCGGTCACGCAAACTCCCGTGCGGACTTCAAGAAGGTGCAAGTTGCTGGTGGATGGATACCCGGCATGGATATCAAAGTGGAATATTCAGATGAGTTCGAATTCGGTGGTTCACTCGGAAACCTGGCACTCATGATTGGCTTCCCGTTGCTCATGTGGTACATGTGGATCGGCGCTACCTACTATGATGGGAAGCTACCTCTGCCAAAAAACGGAGAGACCTGGACGGACTTTGGAAAGCATCTTTGTTCCCTTGTTTATACCGGTGCATTCCCACACTTCAGGGCGTGGCGTATCTACTGGACATACTACATCTTCGAGGCAGCATGCTACCTCTTCATGCCTGGATACACATGCTATGGGAAGCCTCTTCGCCATCTGGAAGGCAAGCAGCTGAAGTATCATTGCTCAGCCTACACCAGCTTGTACTTCACAATTCTCGTCATGGTCGTTCTACACTGCACTGGACTTTTCCCAATCTATACTATCTTAGATGAGTTCGGTCCTCTGATGTCTGTCGCAATTCTTTCTGGGTTCCTCGTCAGCTTTTTCGCTTATTTTTCTGCATTTGCTCGCGGTGCCGAGCATCGCATCACTGGTTACCCAATCTATGATTTCTTCATGGGAGCCGAACTGAACCCGCGTTTGTTCGGGATCCTGGACTTTAAGATGTTCTATGAAGTCCGTATCCCATGGTTCATGCTCTTGGGTTTCAGCTGCGCGGCTGCCACTCGCCAATATGAACTCTACGGATACGTCTCTGGTGAGGTTCTGTTCCTTCTTGTGGCGCATTTCCTCTACGCCAACGCCTGCGCCAAGGCAGAACACCTCATCACCACAACATGGGACATGTACCAGGAAAAACTAGGGTTCTTGTTGATCTTCTGGAACATGGCTGGTGTCCCTATGTCTTACTGTCACTGCGTTCTGTACCTGGCTAATCGCCACCCGTCGACGTATGCGTGGAATAAAGAGGTATTGACCCTATTTTTTGTGTCATATCTTTGCGTCTACTGGGTCTGGGACACTGCAAACAGCCAGAAGAACGCCTTTCGCATGGCGGAACAAGGCAAATCCGCAGAGCGCAACACATTCCCCCAGCTGCCTTGGCGACATGTCGACAACCCGAAGACACTGGTGTCGGAGGAAGGCGATACTATCTTTGTTGATGGGTGGTATGCATTGGCTCGCAAGGTCCATTACAGCTGCGATATGTTTTTCGCTTTGTCGTGGGCACTGATTACTGGGTTCGACAGTCCCTTTCCTTGGTTCTATCCGATCTTCTTCGCGGTCATGATCGGCCACCGTGCCATGAGAGATATCAAAAAATGCAAAAACAAGTATGGGAAGACGTGGGATGAGTACGAAAAGCAGGTTCCATACCTCTTCATTCCGGTTAGTTCTTAGTGCAACCTTTCTTTTGAAACCATATACTCACTCCTGACAGTATGTGCTCTAGGTTGCTCTGATTTACGAACCCCCATGACTGTGGGTCGTTTCGAGTACACTGCTGCCCCTTGTCTACAAGAGCGAATTCTCTATCACTGCCTACAGAGCAAGTAGCTAAAGAAATCATCTTTACTTTCAAATTTTTCAGTTCAAAGGAAATTGGGTACACTGGCCGAGTGTTACATAAGACCATCAACTAACTAACTAGCCCTAACCCAAGAAATGTAATCAGTAGCTGATGATTTCTGTCGTTCGCCTGCCTACTTAACCGACAGACAGTTTGAAAATGTGGCTCAGCCAAAGAGAACTGCTTGTCCGTATGAAAGCAGGTAGATTTTATTCACTGTGGTTATTATATTGGCATTGCACAGCCCGGTGTTATGTATCGATCCTTATATTTATTCAGTACATACTATGTAGTCTTCATTGTTGTACTCTAAACACGTACAACTTTTCCCCGCGGTTGAACTATATTTGTCCCGAGTATATAGATCCTTGAATCGCAATCAGTCTCATTCCTTTTTCCCCCGTCTCCGCAGACTTGTTTTGGAAGATGATGGTACTCTCCATGCTTCAGCAAATGAGTATGAGAAATTCTAGCCACTGGTATTAGTTAGGCGTAATAGAGTAGGTAGGTAAGCCCGAGTGGTCCCCTTAACTGAGGAGCTATCTCCCCAAGCGGAAAAGTATAAACTATAAGAGGTTCAACAGGCTCAACAATCTTCTCGCGAATCTCGAATCACAGGGCTATCAGTGTGGCGGGATGAACGCCAAGATATATATTTGGGTGAATTCATAATCATTCGACCGATAAGCAGCTGGAATGCTTTTGTGCCCTATTCAAACATCGAGTACTTCGTGTCACCGAAGAAATATTTTTAGACCAGAAGGGTCCTTGATCAGCATTGAAATCCATAGATCCAACCATTTAGGGCAGGTGGACCTACCGAGGTCGGGCTCGGAGTTCGGGGGCCTTGACTAATCCCGATCTCACGTGCTCCGATGTTGGCCTCGGCCCCCATTTAAATGAGGTTGACCATGTCTGCCTGATTCCAATTCATCTCACTACTGAGACACCTATAGATGAAGCCGAGTATAGCCTAGCCAAACCGTGTCAGTCTATCTGTACGAACTCCCCGGACGCTCTTTCCTGTGCTTGTTTTCCTGTGCCTGTTTTCCTGTGGTCAAATTTCCGAGGGTTCTACTATGGAGAATACACGCGAGATACTAGCAGGCGTAGTGTCGCTCGCTTCATGGAGGAACCTCGCCTTGCTTTTGGCAGTGATTAACTTGAAAAGTCTCCCATTTGTCTGGCATGTAAGTGTTCCTTGGCCCCTTGTTTAGTCGTCAGGATCGGCTTCCTCTCCAAGATATGCTACACTACTGACCGAGTCAACAGTTCCGCCTGCTATATCACTTCTTTGGCAATCTGCGTTTGAAACCCAGTGTGCCACTTCTTCCCAAGGGGAGAGTTATCGTGGATTCCCGAGGCAAACCAACACATCCCCTCTTCGTGCCATGCATGGTCACATCTCGCACGCCGCTGCTAGAGACCGATTACAATCTGCACAAATCTAACAGCACTTACTTCACGGATCTGGACGTTTCGCGCACAGCGCTCGTGAGCCGAATTTTCAGTCCTGGGGTCGGCAATGTGAGCAAGGAGCTAGACCAGGAGTTCCTGGTCGCAAGCAAGAAAGAGGGAAAGCCGGCCCCCAGGCGCAAGCCGATTTTGATTGTGCTCGGATCTGTTTACTGCACATTCAAGCGCGAAATTAAGCCATACGAACTATATGAGATGCACTCCAAGGTGCTCTCTTGGGATGCGAAGTGGCTGTACGTCTTGACCTGCTTCATGCGACCTGCACGCCACAGTGGCGGCGAAAAGGTGATCCTTGCTGTGGGCGTTAGCAAGTATGTTGTTAAAAAGGGCCGGCTCACTGTTCCCCCGGCGCGGATTTTGCGCGCTAGCGGGTTCCTCCCCGCACCGCCCCCGGAAAGCGAAGCCAAGACCGCACTAGCCGACGTCGACTCGGCTGAGGCTTCCGGCGTTGATACACCTGGTAATGGCGAAGGTATCACGGCTACGGGAGCTGTGGATGGATCATTGGCACGGGAGGTATTGAAGATGAACGATGACCAGATTCCTGCCCAGGAGACACTGGATGAGCAACAAAAGGAGAATACTGACTCGTGGAACGTCGAAGAGTGGACCTGGGAGCGCATTGAACAGGAACGCCTGCGGGGACTGGAGGTTGTCGCTGGATATACTAATGTGGATGCCAAGCTGTTTGATGAATGGGTGCTATAATTTTGATGAACAACATAGATAGGCAGTGATCATATAGAGGGTGATCTAAGCGCCTTGATGACCTCAATGTTCTAACTAATATTAGATCTTAGAGATCCAAAACAACCGTCATCCATCCACAGATCTGCAATTTAATTTCCAGAAATTACCGATGTGGTCCACTCATGTATTTTTCTTTACGTCTGCTTTAACTAGATACGTTGTACAAAATAACTATATTTGTTCGAAGTTGTGAATTGTATACTTTTGCGTATCCGTTATATGTCACTTCTCTGTAGGCACATCGATGCGCTATGAGTACATACTTACATACATGATGTATGTACGATGTACATATCCTGTGCAACGCCAGAGAATCTGAACGAACTGGCTCACCAATTGCAGAGCCTCATCGGACCCGGAACTTTATTTTCCCGGGCTGCTATCGGAAGACGATGGGGAGAAGCCCTGGGGACTAAAAATAATGAAGGTACGGAATTAGAGCCTATATTGCACTTATGTTGTAGGATATAAATCCGTGGTTGAACCGAAACACGCAGTTTTGAATGTTGATCACTGATCTCATCAAGGGGGTCCGATACTATCCGAGATAGCCTGAGCATTGTATGACTTGTAACAATACTAGACGTATTTCAGCTTAGGGTGGATGCGGAATTTAGTAAATAACGGTAAATTATGTAACTAAGTGACATGGGGAAATCACATAATCTTAAATTACATGTCATGTGACCCAGCGAAAGCTTCAAGGTGCTTTGACCAAGCTCTATCTGAACCATCGTGATACCACCTTTCCTTCTTTTCGTTTATGGTTTCATTGGCGTTAACCAGTGATTTGGTAAGTTTATACTTGTTTGCGATCCATTCCCTTAGCAAGCCTTTAACCCGAAACCGGATACGGTACAAATCATTTCGCGGCTCCCTAGGCGCCCAGGCCAAAGTCGCCAGTCCACTTTACTCTCTGATCGGACGATTCCCACCCTTCCCATCTTAGCGTTCTGATTTGTCCAATTTCAAGCCCATCATTCCTCACCCTGTGCCCACCTGCCCCTGCCTTTCCTTTCGGTATCAGCCCATTGTTGAACTCCACCTTCGAGCGTCGCTGGCATCTGCATGATTGGTCTATTTCTGGTACTGCTGCACTCTACCTTTTCCATGGAGCAACTTAGCGTTGCTTTTGCAGTTTTATGGGATCTTTTGTTTTATGGGTTCCCTCTAATTATACCAAGTTCTTGTTCTCATCTTTTGCCTCACAAATCCTTGTTTTTGCTGGTGACTTGACTAAGACATTTTTGCTTTTTCCGTTCAATTTAGGCAAAAACAATCATCCGAAAGAGCTTATCGCAATCGTTTCAACTACCTTCGTTGTACACTCCTTAAGTGTACCGACGACCCTTTCACCACCAATACTGGTCCCCTTTGACCTCAACAATATCGCACTTCCTTTCGCTCGGTCGCAGCTCTTGTTCCCAATTTCCCCGACCGCTGGGAAATACTCCCTTCTCGCCGTCGATCAGCGGTCGCACTATCCGACGACGGCAACTACCATCTACTGAACCCTTTCCCCAACCATCCTCTGTCGCCCTCGATCATGGCGACAGTACTTGACCAGTCGCAGCGCGGCTCCCTTGGAGGCGAGCCCGTCGTCGGATCCGTCTCCATCACTCCGCCGCAGAGTGCCAACGGCAAGAAGGAAGCGCCCGAGGGCGTGCCTTCCGAGTTATCTGACCTCGAGCTCGACCACCAATCTGCACCAGCACCCGATACAACCACGATTAAGCAAGAGGAAATGGAGGAGAAAGTCGAGGAAATCGAAGAAATTGAACCCGATCATTACTATGGCGGCGGCAAGGTTCCTGTTTTTAAGCCGGTGAGTACAAACTGAATGCCCCGGCTGCTCGATAACCCGGGGCTGGAGATTTCACGTCTTCCATCAGACTGGGCACCAAAGCCTACACCTTAGAGAGCTAGGCTGACTGTTCTTTGTTTTAGACAATGGATCAATTCCAGGACTTCCAAGGCTTCATCACCAGAATCAATAGATATGGAATGCAGGCAGGCATCGTGAAAGTTATTCCTCCAAAAGAATGGTGAGTCGATCAACTTACGGCTAGTTAGGATGGCTGTGCTCATGACGTTGTTCTTTTCAAAGGTCCGAGTCTCTTCCACCACTGGATGAGGCCGTTAAGAAAATTCGAGTGAAGAACCCCATTATGCAAGAATTCCACGGATCCCACGGTACATACACTCAAGCCAACATCGAACGACAACGCTCGTATAACCTCCCTCAGTGGAAGGGTCTATGTGAAGAAAGCAGCCACCAACCCCCGGCTCGCCGAGGAGAGAGACGCCGAAACCAAGAACGCGTGAACCGTGCAGCCCCGACACCGCGCCCCCCGTCTGCCCGTCCCGAGGGTCAGAAGCGCCGTCCTGGCCGTCCACCTAAGCGGACCAATAAAGTCAAAGAGGAGCCCCCTGCAGATGACGCTGAAAAGTCTAGATTGGAGGGTCCTCCGACGCCTGTATCACCCGAGACCAACCCTGTGCAGCCAAAAACCGAGGATTTAAGTGACGGCGAGTCCTTACCTACCACAAAACCAAAGGGACGACAGCCCAAGTCCGTGACCTCACGCCGAAAGAACAACCGAGGCGATGCTATGGATCAAGTTGATGAGGAGGCCTATACGGGATTTGATTACCGGATCCATGATCACGAGGAATACACCGCGGAACGATGCGAGGAGCTTGAGACTAATTACTGGAAGTCGCTTATGTACAACAACCCCATGTACGGTGCTGATATGCCCGGTTCGCTCTTCGAGGATTCTACAGAAACCTGGAATGTGGCCAAATTGCCGAATCTGCTTGACGTTCTCGGACAGAAGGTTCCTGGAGTCAATACTGCTTATCTCTACATGGGCATGTGGAAGGCTACCTTTGCTTGGCATCTTGAGGATGTAGATCTGTACAGCATCAACTACATCCACTTTGGCGCCCCCAAGCAGTGGTACAGCATCTCCCAAGAAGATGCACCTCGCTTTGAACAGGCCATGCGCAGTATCTGGTCCAGTGATGCGAAGAACTGCGATCAATTTCTTCGCCACAAAACCTATCTCGTCTCACCTAGCCTTCTCAAATCGCAATATGGGATCACCGTCAACCGATTGGTTCATTACGAAGGGGAGTTTGTCATCACATTCCCTTATGGGTACCACTCTGGATATAACATCGGATACAATTGCGCCGAGTCAGTCAACTTCGCGACCGAGCAATGGTTAGACTATGCTCGCATCGCTAAGAAGTGCCACTGCGAAGCAGATAGTGTCTGGATCGACGTGGAAGAGATCGAGCGCAAATTACGTGGCGAGAGCACACCCGAGTACTATGGTGAATTTGAAAGCGAATTTGATGGATTTGAAGGTGCTTCCGATCTTCTTACACCGCCACGTAGTGTGCCTGAGAAGACATCCACTCGTGGCCGAAAGCGGAAGAACCCGGGCGACGGGCCGAACAGCAAACGACCCAAACTCCACCCCGAAGGACCACGGAAGCTTCCATGTTTGTTGTGCCCTAACAATCTGGACTATGAGGATCTTCTTCCGACAGAAGATGGTAAAGGGCAGGCACATAGACGGTGCGCGGCATTCATTGAAGAGACCACAATTCTCCGTGACGCATCTGGTACGGAAGTTGTGTGTGATATTGACAAGATCCCTAAGGCTCGCCTGGGCCTCAAATGTCTCTTTTGCCGCGAAGTCCGCGGTGCCTGCTTCCAGTGTAACTTTGGCAAATGTACGCGCGCTTACCATGCAACCTGTGCTCTTTTGGCAGGTGTTCAGGTCGAGCACGGTGCGATTGCTGTGATTGCGGATGATGGTACTCAATACTCCATTCCGAGTGTTGATCTGAAGTGCAAATTCCATCGTCAGAAGCGACCCAATGGAGTCCTGGGCGAATCGTCCGATGTGGATCGTCGGGTGATCGAATCGGCTCGTCGTTTGGTACAAGGAAATTTGATCCAATTTCAAGCCGACAAGGAGATTAATGGCGCCATTGTTCTTGAAAACCGTCCTTCCGAGCGAAGTCTTTTGCTCAAGGTTCTTCCAAGAGGGTATGTTTATTGTTTAATTTTTTCTTTCTGTTACTAATAAGTCTACAGAGATGTGATTGAAATGCCCTATCGATGGATGCTCGTTGTTCGTAAGAGCAATTTCACACCCCTCGCATTAGGAATTCAACCCCTCCCAGCCCACCTAGCGCGAAAACCCGAACGCAAAGAGTTAGAATCTGCGGTACCGGCGGCAGGCAGTGCATTTGGCGATTCACGATCTCCCTATCAGTGGGCCGAATTTGAGACGGTGGATGGCACTAGAAACCAATTCGCCCCACTCCGTACGGTCAACCTTCAGGGAGAACAAATGTGGTATTATTTGGGCATGCAGTCCACCGAAAGTAGGGCACAGTATACACACAACCCTAGCGTGGCCATCCACAACCCTCGGGCCAATTTCCTGGACAGCGTTAAGTCGCTTGGCGTGGATGTCAGCGCTCGTGCATCGAAGATCTCACCCCACCACTTTCATTATGCTGCCACCGCCCCTGCCCCTCCCTACCGAAACTTGAACCAGCAAAATATTTACTCGAATGTCAACGCTCTACAATCCCGACCGCCCTCTTCTGCCTTGCAGAACGCCCCTCCCCCTCCTTTTATCCCTGCTACCGGTGCTGCTGCTGGAACTGCGATGCCGTCGGCCTTTCGAACTTTACCCCAGTCTGCCCGTTATGCCCCCTATCCTTCGGCCAAGCACGCTCAGCAGCAGCATCACCTCCAATCCACCAATACTTTTGCCAACGTCCGAGAACTTATTGCTCGCCGTCGCCTAGCCCAGATTACCGACCACGCCAATGTTTTTGCCGGATACACCATCGTTAGCCCCGAATTGGTGGTGGAGACTCTGCTGGGTCCTATGGGCTCAATACCGCCGGCCAATGGCCTCGAGAAACTGGAGCTGGCCATGGCCCAGCAACGGGTTCAGCCACGGGCTGCGGATGGGACTCTGTTGCCGCCTCAAACTCTGAACATGCGGTCAGAGGAAGTCACTCGGCTCCTTCAAATGCTCCGGTTCTCGCTGGTCAGCCACCGCGAGCGACTGGATGTTATTCAGAAGAAGGAATCGGAGGGAATCAAACAGGAGACCGTGGACCGAGGCAGCGTGGCCGCTGCCAAGATGCCTGGAAAATATGCCTACCTGGATCAGCAGCGGTCGCTGGCACCCAATGTCTATCAGTCTCCCTACAACATGCCGTCGGGTCTCTCAGAATATGCCAAGACTACCTATGGATTGGTTCCTGCGGCAGACGACCCGCCCAAGCCCTCGCTGTCGAACGATTACTTCAACAATCTGCCACAAGAGCACCAGGAAAAAATCTTGAAGGCCTGTGGTAGCTTCGTGCAGCGTGCAATTGAGCGGTCGGCTAGTCACAGCCGGCAGAGTTCATCCTCAAATCTTCGGTTGTCGGCGGCACTGGCACAGCAAACGGACAACCCGACCATTGACATCACCCCGGTGGAGGATCCTCCCCTTCTCTCGGGTCTCGATATGCCCCTCCACGCAGATTCTCCATGCTCCAGTTTCGGTCGGTCGCATCTACGATACCAGTCGCCAAATGAGTTCCCCATCCATGGTCCAGACCCTCATCCAGACCACCACGATTTGTTCGGAGATCAGCAAGCAAATACACGCTTCTGGCAGAACGGGCCGTGGGTTGGTGGAGATGGCAACACTCCCAATGACGAGAACCGACCGTTCTTCGGACCACATATCTTCGGGCCGCATGAACGACTCAAACATGACTATGCATCCTCCGACATCTCCCTGGGCAAAGGACCTGGATCATTGCACTCCGTCGATATGGCAGGCTTTGGCCCGGACTTGAATGATGATCTCGGACTAAGTCCGTAGATGTCGGTCTCGTCACTGGCCTCACCTTTTCCCTTTTTAAAACTCGCGTTTGCCTCTGCGGCTGTATTTGCATCTTCATGTAACGACTTCACCGGACTGACGACTCTGCATGAATGGGCGTTTTCTTGTTATTTCATCCGACCTTCGACTGACGTTCACGGGTCTTGTTTCTTTTACGATTTTGGAGTTGGCACTAGCTGGCTGGTCACGACTCAGCGCATTTTCATTTCATTCGATCATTTATTCTTCAAGGCGCGACTCTCGGAAAAGGCGGCCCGACTGACCTACTTGACTATGGTCACATAGACGGAGTTTCAACTTGCACGGTTCCTTTGCGGCCGAAAAATGCCTTTTTCCCGTTCCTCGTCCCCTTTCAACAACTCAGGGCCTACTTCCGCCCTCCACTGATCTCCCTCTTTGTTCTATTAGATATCTCATCAAACAAGAAAAAAATTTCTTTTCTTCCCCCGAGATCACTTTTGTGCTTTACCCTTTGATACCCCCCTTTACCCCCATCCGAAGGGCGTGGATCTGGATTTAACTTTTGATCTAATTCCCCCCTTGTGTTGATATATCCATCCTGGCGCTCATCAATTGCTGGGACTCCCTAAACTCTTCCATGGAGAGTTTGCAGCCTGTTGTTGTGGCAGCCGTCACCTCGCGTGACCTTGATGTATGTGTGCAATGAATCATTCAAAAACATTCCATTTCCGAGTGTAGACTGTGGAGTACTAGCCTATCCATTCTCAGTATCTTCTACTTGGCTTAGCGCCCAGCCCCCAATTTCCGTTAAATCAAGTGTCCACCCTCTGGAGACCCCACAACACAGACCGGTATGATTCCAGCCTCCGCAATATAAACAACTTTGCTATGTTGGTAGGTTCCGGGTTGTAGGTTCTAGGTTGTATAGTCCGTCAGCTGCCGTTTGTGCATGGGTAGAATCACTGGTTATCCGGTAGATGTATCCTCTTTCGGGCTTGATCTTGCCGCGCTCATGACTAACGTGTATAATATACCCGTGGACTATAATTTGGCACGGCACCCCGCTGCAGATCTTATGATGTCAAACGTGTTCTGTGGATCTCCGACTTGTGGTGCATTCCGTATCTCGCTTAGCTGTAAGTCCCAGAGTCCAGGGCTTTGCTAATGGAGTTAATATACTCCGTAGTTTGGGCTAGGTGCGTGTGATTGGAGAGGTACTTATGTCTTCCAGTGCTTCGTATCCAAAGTCAGATATATCACTTAGTGGATTCCGTACTCTGTATGGTCTATAGCGAAAGGGAGAGTCTTGAACTTAATGGAGAAACAGGGGGATTCCACGTGATATAGACCGTTATCTGATATCGTGATAGAAATAGGGGAATTAAGTGGGTCGAACTGCCTTATCGTATATAGTATTAGGTCACAAAACGTGTGCTTTAACCAGTTTACTATACGAGAATATCATGATAAGCCTAGGGAAATCCCTGTCATTCGTTCGATTGATATCTTTTGCCTCAATCTCCAAACTTTGTTAGTGCGCGGTCCCGGACCGCGCCATCTTTTTCCATGCGGGGTTTCTTGTTCCTTAAATGTCTTGGATATAACCTTGAAATATCAAATGCCCCCTTTCCAAACACACCATGCGAAGTTCATCCGATGATGCCGCCAATGAGGCATTGGCCCGTATGGGCTACAAGAGTGAATTACCACGAAACCTGAGTATGCTGAGCATCCTCGGCCTATCCTTTGCTATCATGGCAGCCCCCTTCGGACTGAGCACAACCCTCTACATCACCCTCGCCGATGGTCAGTCCGTCACCATTCTCTGGGGGTGGGTCTTTGTCTCCCTGATCTCAATCGCTATCGCTGCCTCTCTCGCCGAGATCTGCGCCGTCTACCCCACAGCGGGAGGCGTCTACTACTGGAGCGCGATGCTCTCCACGCGCCGCTGGGCACCATTGATGTCCTTCATCGACGGCTGGCTAACCCTTGTTGGCAATTGGACCGTCACACTGAGCATCATCTTCTCCGGTGGCCAGCTGATTCTCAGCGCCATCTCCATCTTCGATGAATCCTTCGTCGCCAACGCCTGGCAGACTGTATTGATGTTCTGGGCGGTCATGCTTTTCTGCGCCCTAGTCAACATCTTTTTCTCGCGCTATCTCGATCTCATCAACAAAGTCTGCATCTTCTGGACGGCAGCCAGCGTCATCGTCATCCTCATCACGCTCTTGACAATGGCCGACGACCGTCGCGACGCGGAATATGTCTTCGCTCATTATGACGCCTCCCAGAGTGGCTGGCCAGATGGTTGGGCCTTCTTCGTGGGTTTGCTGCAGGCGGCATACACCCTCACGGGCTACGGAATGGTCGCCGCCATGTGCGAAGAGGTGCAGAACCCACACCGTGAGGTTCCCAAGGCAATCGTGCTATCTGTGGTAGCGGCCGGCATCACCGGCTTGTTCTATCTAATCCCAATTCTGTTCGTGATGCCCAACGTGCAGATGCTGCGCGAGGTAGCCAGCGGGCAACCGATCGGTCTGCTCTTCAAGACAGTGACGGGTTCTGCGGGCGGTGGCTTCGGCTTGCTCTTCCTGATCCTGGGGATCATGTTGTTCGCCGGTATTGGTTCGCTCACGGCTGCCAGTCGCTGCACGTATGCATTCGCGCGTGACGGCGCCATTCCGGGCTTCAAGCTCTGGCGTCGCGTGAACAAAAAGCTGGATGTGCCTGTGTGGGCTGTAGTACTCTCGGCGGTCGTGGATGGCTTACTGGGATTGATCTATTTCGGTTCCACGGCTGCGTTCAACTCCTTCACTGGCGTGGCTACTATCTGTCTGTCGACCTCGTACGGTCTGCCAATCTTGATTTCTTTGGTCCGAGGCCGTCGCGCTGTGAAAGACTCCACCTTCTCCCTCGGTCGCTTTGGATTTGCCATCAACTTTGTCACTATTCTGTGGATCGTGCTGGCCGTCGCTTTATTCTGTATGCCGGTTACCTTGCCCGTTACACCGGAGTCTATGAATTACGCCAGTGTTGTTTTCGCTGGATTCGCTGGTATCAGTATCTTCTGGTACTTCGTTTATGCGCGTAAGCACTTTACCGGTCCTCCTGTTAGCAGTGATGAGGCGCACGCAGCTACCGAGCTTATGACGGGTACGCCGGTTGATGCGGAGAAACCGTTGGAGACGATGAAGAAGTTGCCGAGCGAGTAGATTGTATTTTATTGTTACAGGTCTTTTTAAGAAATAATAACGGAAACAATTCAACTTACCATGTTAGCATGTTAGCATGTTAGAACGTAATTTCGGACAATCACAAGTGCTTTGACGATCGCCGAGAGCCGCGGTCCAACACAAGCCATCAGATAATCTCCAGGTCTTGGAGGGTTCTCGTCTCCCACATTTTAATTGGATTGAGTCTTTACAATCTGGGGGGAAAAAAAGACAACATTCCGGGGAAAATCACAGTCCGAGGCACAGGGGAATCTCAGGAATTTCCTATCGGAACAACTCAACAATCCCAACTCAATTCCACACCACTCACTCCCTTCTAGCATCTCTCGAAAACCATCATTATATCCTCAAATTCTCCACCTCCAATCTTCTACGCTCCCCATGAGGACCCGCGCAAGCCGATGCCCAACCCCGCTCCCATGAAGACAGGGCAAAGACCGCTTATCGCGTCATGTCGGACTCTGTAGGTGCGTGTTGACTGCTTGCGCCCGCATTCGGATTCCACTGACAGTCTCCCGTCACAGATCGAGTCTTTGTTCATGCCCTCAATACCGTTAAGAGGATTCCCCGGACCGGCACTGCGCGACCTCCCGCTGCCGAGCGGTTGGCACTATATGGCTTGTATAAGCAGAGTATGGGTGAGTGCGCATCTGGAAGCATAATGGGACACAATGGGAAATCGAAGAGCTAATATTCGACCAGAGGGGGATGTGGAAGGTGTAATGGATCGACCGATCGGGAATACGTCGGAGGTGCACGCGGAGTGCGAGAAATGGTATGTCCTTCGCGGGGAAATAGCTAGGCTGTTAGATGTGGATCTTGCGCTCTCTATGAACATCGCTCTTCCCTTCTCTCTACATCAAACCACACGCTAACAATGTCTTCTCCTTTAGGGATGCATGGTACGCGCAACGCGACATGTCGCGTACCGAAGCCAAACGCCGATACATCTCGACCCTAATTGACACTATGCACGAATACGCCTCCCAGACCCCCGAAGCGTGCGAGTTAGTCGCGGAACTCGAGTTCGTCTGGGACCAGATCAAGTACAATGCAGCCTCATCGTCCGATTCCCCACTGAATACCGTCGGCGTCCCACCCTTATCGCGCAGTGCGTACGGGAGTATTGGGGGTCGGTTAGCGAAATCAGAGGAATATGATCGTCCCAGTCGACGGGTTGATAACAGTCGACGGGATCGGGATTCTCGGTTACGGGTTCTTAGTCCTGTGAGTCAACCGGAGGAGGAGGAATATTACCGGCGGCAGAGGGGGGATCTAGAAAACGGCGAGGGTGGAGATCGACATAATGAGGACGAGGATGAGGATGATGAGGAGTTTGAGGAAGCTCGTGATAGCTTATACGAAGAACGAGATCAAGACGACCACCACACCGATGACCCGGATACTAGCTCCAACACACATACAAATACCGAGGCCTCCTCACATCATCCCAGACATCGTCGCAATCCTGCCTCTGGTATTAGTACAAACAGCAGTGGGACTGGTCTCCCGCGTCGAGATTCCCATTCCCATTCCGAACCACCGAAAGACAGTCGCTGGCGCCGTCGTGTCGAGCAGGCCTTGACAAAAATGACGGCGGAGATTGCTGCTGTGCGCGAGCAGATGGAAGCTCGATCTGTTGCGCAGCGTCGTCGGTCTGGTTTCTGGGCGTGGCTGAAGTGGATGATTTGGGTTGCTGTGCGGCAGATCTTGTTTGATATTGCTATGCTGGGCATGCTCCTTATCTGGATGCGGTTGAGAGGTGATCGCCGTGTTGAGCAGCGTCTTAAGACGGGCTGGGCGGCTGTTAAGGCGAGACTTGCGAAGTTTAAGCGATTGAAGGTCGTGGATATGCCTATCTTGCCGTAAGAAGGCTCTTTGGCTGTCGCCCATTTCTTTTCTCTTCTTTTTTTTTCGGTCTTTGACCCCTTGCTGCATTTTCGTTTTCGCGTTGGCATTATTCTACACTTGGCCTATTCCCACGTCCCTCCTCATCTGCCTAAGTGCTTTTGTTTAATTTCTTGTGTCTATTTTTCTTTTTTCTTTTCTCCAGTATATATGGGGTTCAATTTCAGGTTTGGGGGCTTCTTCCTCTTCTACTTCTGTTGTCAGCTTTCTTTTCTTGGGATGTGTGATACGTGTTGTGCCTTAAGGCGGCAGGTTAATTATATCGAGTTATAGATGCAAACATCAGTCTATATGATGTATTGCTTTGATTTGGTGGAGGGGCTTAGATTTCAAGCTTAGATGACCATGTATACCATTTTCTGCTGTTATTCAGTATAACTTAACATGGCTATATGCTTCTTATGTGCCCTATTAGAAGTCATGGGAGTTTGGCCCAGTTATGGTATTCCTCTTCTCCTTCATTGAGATTATATAGATTTGATAACAATTCAAAGCCTTCCCAGGTCAAGAATTAATTAATGGTCAGCCTCGATATCTCTATCGATGTGGTTCCCCGTGTCTTATATCGCCAGTATTATATCGCCAGTATTACTCCTCGGCCGATATCATGTAGTGATAACTAAGACCCCCGTAGCGCATGCTAACTACCTTAAACCAAATACTAGTGCTACTTTCAAGACTAGTCCAAATTCCAAGATGCGTCGTATGCGAAAGCTGTGGCACCGGTTGGGATGAAAACTGGAGCCTCCGTTGTCGTTGTGCAAGTATAGCCGTTGATTGGATATACACAATAGCTAGTGCCATAGCTACATTGGCTTCTAGCATTGCCATCGCCGACACCAGCGCCATAGACCGGTGGAGAAACTTCCGAGACCCGGACAGTCAAACCCAATTTCTCATACTGAACAGGCATTGCCGTCGCAGTCACCATAGTCGCAACCAAAGCCACGAAAACAACCGTAAATGGTAACCTCCCCAGCGCCAAAAGAGCCGAAGCCGCAGAAACAGAAGGCGAAGTCGAAGTCGGAGCCGGAGAAGGCGGCGGCTGAGGTGAAATTGTATTATTAGCAAAGTTGGTGCCAACCCAGGCATTCCAGTTCTGGATATCATCCAGACAGGATTCCGCGATCGATGCACCGCGCATCTCAGCAACAGTCTCTCCCCGACGAGACACCGTCACGACAACTTGTCCAGTATTACCATCGAACGGCACGCTGCCATGATAAAGACCGATTGGGCCGTGAGGCTTATTCTTCCACTTCCCATCCTGCACAGTCCCACCGATGTCAACCGACACTTCCACATCCTGAGCAGACCGCAGAAGTGCGGAGTAGAAGACCTCATCCTGCAAGACATCTGTAGGCGGGAACTCCTTCTGACCATGCGTCTTTGTATTACCCATAGTGCCACCACTAGTGCAAGCGTGCCCAGGCGACTGACGGAACCAGGCAGTGACGCCCTCGGTAGTAACATTCGCCCTAGCCCCTTTATAGACATCAATAATAAAAGGTAGGAAGTCACGCCAGCCGTCATGGGGATGACCAGTGGCGTAGTTGTAGCTCGCATTACCGATCTCGAAGGTCGCGTATGCACCCTCATGCAGCGGGCCGATGTAGTGCGATTCACCATAGTCGTTCCACGAGATGATCTCCACAAACTCCGGCTTCAGAGATATCACTTGCTGCCACCGGTCGTACCACAGATTATCTCCATTCCAGATCCAGTTCTTGCCGTAACCTGGCAGGTTCGTGTAGAACCACGGTGAGACGGGCATCATGTACGGTAGATCGCCTGTGTCTTTGAGCCATTGCATGTAGGTTGAGTCTACGTGTGTGTTTATCGGGTCTGGGCCTTCGGGCCACGCGGCCCAGGAGAATAATCCGTCTGGAACGCCTGGGGCGACGGCGAGTGCTTCTTTCGCGCCTAGTGCGGACCACCCCGGTACGAGGAAGCAGTCTGTGTATTTTTTGATAGTTGCCCAGTCTGTGGCATTGGAGGAGCCTTCGAAGGTTGAGACGAAGGGTTTGCCCTTGTGTTGGTAGTAGGCTCTGTTCCTTCCGTATTTTCGGAGTAGTCCGATCACCTCGCCTTCTGGCCAGGCTCCGTTGCCTACGTAGTCAAATGAGAATAGGAGTTGGAAGTCGAGGGCATTTGCGGCGGTGAACGCGTTTACTAGGGAGCGGTTGTTTGTCGGGAAGTTGTATGCGATGTTTAGGGCAAAGGCATCGATGTGGGCCCTTTGCGCTGCTGCAATGTTGACTTCCCAGTCGTAGACCGTGAAGTTCTCCGAGTTATAGACCTGGGGTGGTAAGAGGTTAACAGAGATATAGACCGTAGTTGAAAGGCTTTACCATGAAATGGGCGAACACGGCCGCTGCTTGGACGTGTTGGACGCCTTTCCATAATGATAGAATCAAGAATATTGTCGATTTCATGTCAACCTGTGTGTGTGGTTCAAACAATATAGCTAAATAGCACATAAATATAGAGATTCGCCAGAGAATTAAGGGCAGCTTTTGTAGAAATTATGTATGTACTTGTTTTCCTGTTGCACATGCACGGAATTCAGTGGAGAGTTTGATACCTGCATCTATCCCTCTCGAGATGTCTATAGATAGATGCCGGAGGTCCGCTATTTGTACATCGGGATCTAAGCGTACTCCTGGCCTGTCTCTCTCTTTGTACATTCCCATATCTTGGATCTTCATATTTGGGTATTATAACTTGTTTTCTATACTGAAATACCTCAGGTATACTACAATGACCAACTAATGCTGCTGATCCATGCCATAACAAAGTGGCATGTGAAATCTTGAACCTCAATAAAAAGTTACGTAGATATGTTTCGCATCATCTCAAAGGCCTTGTTACACCATGTAGTAAGTCGGAAGGCCGGAATTAGGGCTCAATTACACACATTGGCCAGCAACCCAAACCCTGCAATCAAGTCAGGCGAAGGACGATGATACTGATGGATTCCTTCGGATTATAAAATGTAACAATCTGCCATTTTAGTCCAGACTCTGCAGAACGGTTGATGTTAAGCCTTTGGATCAGCCCGGAAAAGTGCTCGGTCTAGATCGGTATTTTGAGAGAGTATCATTAGACCAGATCTGCTCAAAGCTCTGCCATTGGAATAATAGAGCTTAATATGCTCAGTATAATGCCATCCGCATATATGTTTAGCAATGACTAAAGCCTTGGTAGAGGACCTAACTAATCTTCATGTTCCACACAGCGCTATCTACATGTATATCATTACCAAACCCCTGGAGTTTAATATTTGGTGCCGGCTGTGGAGGATGGGCAGATTCACACAGGCCTCAGAACAAGAATTGGCCATACCCGGTTCTTATGAGTTGGACAGAGTCAAAGAAGGAAAACGTAGCTGGGACATGTTATACACACAGTGAGACTCTGCAGTGCATGGGGGAGTCTGAGTGGTCTTCAATGTATACAAGACTCCCCGCCGAGGAATGTCACTGTAGCCGTCATGTAATGTGCCTAGCTTTTTCACTGGAAAGGTTACCTACATGTGTACCAGATAATGCCTGGCACTCGAGACCTTTCCTTTGCCGTTTTAGTGCCCACCCCTTGCCGCTTTTTGATCACATCCTGACTTGGTCACGTGTCATTACATAATTAACTGATCTGCTCGCTGAGCATCACCTGAGGACTCTGATTTGATCACTGAGTGCTCACTGAGTGTAAGGATGAGCGGCCTGAGTAAGCTACATCAATAAAATGCGACACGCTAGCCCCATCACGTGCAATCCTTCCTATTAGATGGCCCCATCGTCTGTCCTATCAAAAAAGGACTGGCGCCGTTAACGTGACCGTTCATCCTACGGTCTCATTCCTATTCAAGTAAAAGGCCATATTTCAGCATATGCTCCTGGGAATACCCCTCGGAATACTTCACTTATAGCCCAGCGATCCCCTAATTGGGCTTTAGACTACCACTAGGGCGAGGGCGATTGGACGGATTTCCTTCAAGATCTAGAACCCTCCCTATATCAAGATAACTGGAGGAATCAGTGTTTAGTAGGTGATTGTGAGTAGACTGCGACATTGCCCGTTCACGATGGGCGGTGGGCAATTTAGATTTTCGAGTGCCCTACTTTAAGTTATTTAAAAAGAAAATGAATTATTCCAAATAACCGTTGGTTGCTTGTTATTGTTCATCAACATCATGTCTCTTCAACCGGTGTCTTTGCACTTAGCCCGCGTTTTAATTTGCATACTAGACTTTGCAGAACTAGAAAAAAAAGTAGGCAATAATTACTACTTTTGTATTGCATCATAATGTATTTCACCAGCTGCGCGCGCACACCACCGAGCTGCGCACCCCAGAACACATAGTAAAAGCGATACATTAGAACAAGATATTTTTTTAACTAGCTCTTTTATTTAATTTCATTACTCGCCGATAGCAGTCGATAAGCGTTCTTTATTATCATATATTAATTTGGAATAACTTCAGAACTTGCATTGTCATGGTATCGAAAAAATACATCGCTAAACTCTAGAAATATGTATATTTTAAGTCACTGATTTATTAAATCCCCCTAAACTCTAACAAGCTATATAAAAAACATTAAGCTACAAGGAAAAGTCCATAGAAATAACTGTTATTGAAACATCTTATTGTAATGTATCGCTTTTACTATGTGTTCTGGGGTGCGCAGCTCGGTGGTGAAATACGTTATTACAGGGCGCTGGGTCTAATGCCACCAGGGACAATGGTTTGACAGCCGATCATTCCGTTATGGGGAAGCCCTTGACCGGGGTCAAATGTAACGCTTTCTAGGCTTCCATTTTCCGGGGGACCTGACTAAATCTCGGACGCATCTCGGCTAAGAATCTGGCTGCTAGTCTACCCAATTGGGCTGTCTTGGAGTCAGGATCGATGTATGAGCTTATACAATAGTACTGTTTTTGTCGATCAGCATTTGTTTACTTTCAGCACGGAGTACTTATTTCAAAAATGCTTCTGATGCATTTGTCATAGCCCACTGGCACCATGGCCAACGGGGACGTCTTTCTTGTACGAGTAATTCGCTCGACGATACCCTGTTGGTTGGTCTCCTTTTCGTTGATCGTATCCTTTGTTTCCTCTTTCCGTTTGGCTCGCATCCATCGTTCTAGATGCGACCAATGTGGCCATTGCCCCACGGGTTTGCGCCCCCAGCTCCTCGAGAGGAGTTGCTGGACCCCGCTTCGCTTTGGGGGGCGTAATGCGACTCGGGTGGCGGGCCGACCCCATGCTATGGGGGCTGCTGCGCCCAATATGCGCATGTCTAGTCTTCGTGGGGTAACACCCGGGTTTCCGTATGCACTGTGTAGCATGCGGAATTGGGCAGCGGGGCGGCTACTGCGAAGGCGTACGGATCCTCGGTGGAGGCATAATATTCGCCTGTAGGTCTACGGAAGCCACCGCCCTTATTAGTTCTTAGCTCGCGTTGTTTGCCTTGTGGATCCTAATGTCAACTTCATGTTCACAGGCCGTGGACTCCTCGAGAACAGTCATCTTATCTGCTCCGTGACAAACGCTGAACTCATGTCACAGCCCATCCCTTTATATTTTTTGCGCTTATACGAAAAATAGCTTGATATAGGAGACCGATATCAGTCGAAGTCTTAGCAAGCAGGGAGAACCGATTATGCAATACCTTTTATCATCAAAACCGAGTCAGGCCATGGAGTGACGGCATGCCGGCATGATACATAGCCCCAGGAGCAAAGCAAGGCTGCGTCCTAGAGCTTGCTAGGCAACCACGATCTGCTACTATCCAATTGAGATATCATGGTAATGAAACGTTGCTACGCCGGCATAGCCATGAGCGTGTCGCTCCGTCTCTCCTTACATGCGTTATGCACCCTAACTCACATGTAGGTATTCTCATACTCTCTGCCGTGGTGGCCGTATTGTGCAAAAGGAGAAGAATGTATCCGGCCCTGTCTTTATATAAGTTGCGGAAGGACGCTCCCATGCACCTGGGCATCGACAGAATCGTTTCCTCCAAACACCATCAAACTCCTTAATATGAAGCCCACTCAGTTCGCAATCCTCATCACCGGTGTCCTTGGCACCGTGGCCATGGCCAACCCCGTTGCCGGCCCTGAGCTGAAGCCGGTCGAGGTAGCTCCCCGCGCCAAGTACACCGTTAAGTGCGATGGGGGTATGAGCCCCGACGCTCGTTGCACCAACGGGAAGAAGGAAAATGGCTGTCGATGTGACAGCAAGGGAACTTACCTTTGTGACCCTTCATCTCTCGCGAAGTCGGGCGGCCAGTGTGCCAAGTGTGGCTGCCACGCATAGTAGTGAGTATTGTTTCTGTGTTGAATACCCAGTGCCTGTATGATGACTTGAGATGGAAACCCTAACTTGGTCTCAGAAAATGCGGCATCATGTAACTTTCCCACCGGATGGAAGTGAAATGGGAATGGGTGTCTATCCTTACTTGCAAGTGACTACTAGTTCGACAAACACAATCAGACAGTCTTTACAATATACCCGATTGGCCATCGTAAAATAATACATCGAGTTTTATGTATAATTCAGAATGTGATCTTCGTAACTTACGCCCAATTGATAATACTCCTACATGCACCATAACGAACAAGGAGCCTCCACGTAGAAGCTGATCACTCATGTCAAGTGAGTGGCTATGAGTGATTATAATGCTGACTGCCAGGGAGGCGGCTTTTCCGCCGCCCCCAACCCTCCTAGAATGCTACCCCTTCCCGGCTTGGATGATGGCATAATCAAGTTTCCACCCTGTCGCATATAAAAGCATCCTTGTCGCACATCTCAGACTTTCCATCCACATCTCAGACTTTCCATCCACATCTCACACTTTCCATCCACATCTTCACAATATAAGACAAAACCCATCAAAAGAGTATACTATCATACGAAACCTACATTGAAACTCAATACTCAAGACATTTTATCCCAATTCTTCTCTATCATGTCATCGACCCATCCCTTGGAGTTCCACGCCCCTGGGTGGCATGATGAGGAACGAACACCAGTTGTGGATGGCAAGTATTGCGATCGCGCTACTGGCGAGATCAGGCTTGCATCCGACGGCGATCATCAGGAGTATATGGGCCCACCCGCGGTCGATATTATCGTTCGGAGTCAGCATATTGACACCATCAAGTGCATCTACCGTGCATCACGGCCATTTCCTATGGAGACTCTCCTGTGTCATATCATGAAAGTGGTTGGGGATAGAAAACTGGAGCTGGATTCAGTCATTGCGACAACATATGCGATTCGGGTCACCCTAGCACACGAACTGACGCCCGACCAGTTCAGTGAGATTGCACTCAATATGGCGAACGGGGTCTGGGACCAGATCGATTGAGGCATTGGCCCAGAAATACAATCCTGCTCTTGTATTGGAAATTTGCTGTTCCCGACCTAAATTCGAGATATGGGACTATGTATCTGAATTCAAGTCACTTCCCTTTACGTATACAAACTGCATCCCTCAGGACCATGCCTCCTTACCATGATTTCCCACCAAAGCCGTATAAGCTCACGTTGTATTTCACGCTTTTATGTATGCTGCTCTGATTGCTGACGAAGGGCTCGCTGCCTTCTCGTCTCGGTAGGCCCCATTCGACACTTATCGGTAATACGGCCAACAATCTCCTGCGTCACCGGTCGCACGCTCCAGTTGATACGCCCTGATGCAGCTTCGGTCCTTGTGGAGGCATGGACGATCCACTCACCAAACTGGGGTGAGTGAAAGTCGGTACCTTAGATCCATCCTATGGGTTCCTCACATGCAATGCGCTGCTTAACTATTATCTATCGTATGTAACGTTGTTCCCATTTCTTTTCTCCACAGAGAACCGACTGAGATTTTAATCTCATTTTTACCCTTACGGACAGAATTGGTACTTGGTGTACCGTTGTACTACTTGCTTTTGCTGCAGGTGGCAGACTCTAACCGCACTTGTCGTGAAAGTAGTCGGCCGCACATCGCACCATGCATCAATCATTATTGAGCGATTTCGCATGACAGAAGATAAGCGGTTGTTTGCCAGGGTAAGTATAATATTTTGCACATTCAAATATTGGGTTAGGAAAGAGTGGAATGTCATCCTTATGCTTATTTGGGATTTCATGCACCTATTCTCTACACGTAAGGTCAGTTTGAAACTGAATTCGCATCGCATCCATCTTTATGACATACCACCATACTTTTACAGTAGCGACCGGTATCGCCTTCCATGTCGGGAACAGAGAGATCACCTTTGAAACCCTAATCACGAGACACGCTAACCCATATGTAGCTCATCAGAAGACTAAGTGAAGCCCATTCGTCGAGCTTGAAAATTTTTATTAGACATCGAAGGCTACAGGGCGGATCGAAATCAATTTCGCCATTTTTAAAAAACATTTGTTTCTCAAAACTATATTTTAGTGACGCTAGGTCAAAAAAGACACCTTGATCCATAGCCTTATTACCTACTTGACAGTCTAAATTGATCTAGTCCAGATAGAGAATAAAGTGGTGAAACTGATTTCCAGCGGACCTGTAGACTAAACAAATTCGCAACGCGAAGACAGTCCACAGTAATTTTTGGAGAGCTGAGAAATGTAGGCAAAGACGACAACCTCATTATGAGGCTGAGCTCGGCCCACTATGCAAACTGCACCCTGGGGCCGTATCGTTTATCGAGAACTCTGCTATGTGTTGAAACGATCCTGGGATTAATGGGTCTCCGCAGCAGGCAAGTCCAGGCTTCTTGGAGTTGCCCGCTCTTACTAGCACCCCACATCACGATGTTTTCAATGTAGATGGAACGCCTTTGTCACATGTCCCTATGCCACTATGGTAAAGGGGGGGCTTGCTCGGGTTTGAAATGCCAGCAGAGGATAAACATTAAGTTTTGGGGCTCCACAAATGTATATTTTGGCCTATTCATGGGCTCCTGGGAGTATGTATTAGCTGCTTCTGTGAGCTCCCACAGCCGCCAATAAGCGATAAGTGTCCATTGGAGGGTGAAAGATTCTGTTATTAGGAGTATTTCATCGGACACTACTTCCAAAGATGAGCTATAAATACTGGTTGAATCCCCGTAGAATTTAGATTATCAGAAACTCCACGGAAAAATCACTATTACAACACGTCAGATTCTCCTTTTGCTCTTGCTGAGTCCTCAGCTCATTCAGCGCCCATTTCCAATCCTGAGATATGGAGATGTTTCTCCAGGCTTCCGATACAGCAAGTGAAAGACACGAGTCTCGCCAGGAACTCTTTCGAGAGCGTGCCATCCATAAAAAGCATGACCGTCCTGCTAAGGTCAAAGCCCTTTACCTTTACCAGAGGCGTGTGAAACTCTGGATCGGGTAAGTGACCACGACATGTTATTTAAGCTTCCGTATCTGCCGACCCCTCAGGTTTCTTGTTGACACCGGAAGGGTCCCAGATAGCTATGAGATCAAAAAAGGGTCTCCTACTCCCGATGTCAACTTGATCAAAGCTTTCATCCGCTGGTACGTGTTTTATGCAAGAAGAGGTGCTCGCACAGGCGTATTGCCCCGCATGAGAAGCGTTTTGGTATGTATCGAGGAATTATATGCTGGGCTTCAGGCAATCGCACGAAGTGCGATACCTAAAGAGGATCGATTAGAGATATTTAGGGTCAGTATAGCCTGTTACAAAGGCTGGACGACGCTGACTTCTTACAGTGGATTAAAAATGATCTGAGATTCATTGATCTCAGAAGCAGCCGAAGAGGCGCACATCACGGCCGCTCTGCGTCTTGTATATCTAGAGTAAATGGCTATTTCTTTGTTGGCTGTGATAAATTTCTTCCCTACTGTGTAACGGTCGGAGTCATAAATCAACGCTTGCCTTGAATTATTTGGGCAAAATGTCGATGTATAATGCCTAACCAGTTCCTTTCTTCCTTTGGGCCAGCGCTATCTACTTAGCAATGATTGTCTTTCAGATCCTATCGTGATGAATGGGGGTATTCAGGGAGAGGAGGTAATAGAATGGAAAGAATAGGTACAGTATAGATGTTGATTAGCATAATCAGATTTTACTTCATTTTGGTTTCAATATCACTGTATATATGTTGATCATATCAATACAACCCGACCCCGAAGAGATTTTACAAACGGATTATTGAAAGAATAGTGTGTAAGCCGATGCGCAGAATTATTGGAAAGTGAGAAATGGAGAGGTATTAGTGACTGAAAAATCGTGCATCTCCCATGACCTTCCACAACAGCATACCACAATCTGTTCAATGGTTGGTATTAACGGCCTTTCTTTATCGAAGCGAACAGATCATTGAAGGCATCGCTTGTGGTGGTTCTGGTTTCTTAATAGATAAACCCTCCGTGCACGTAGCTGTTTTACGTACTCGGGCTTCGCCAGCGTGATAGGCACGTCGATGAGCGAGATCCATAGAAATAGCAGTTTTAACGTTAGACGCAGAGGCATTCTCATAACCCCGAGAAAAGGCAGAGCGCGATTTATCCTTCTAAATGTCCTCTCTTCTTTCCGGTTAGGTGGATGAGCTCGGTTTTCTCGGCTGTAAAGTAGGAGCCGGTCTGCCGCGCCCATTCCTTAATGCGGGGGATGTCCTCTGTCTAGATCTTAGCCAGGTTAGCTTTAGCCGAGCTGCCCACTCGCCAGCGGAAGTAGTCGTTAATGAACGCTAAGGCACCACCGTGGTGGTCTACAGGCTGGTCGACTAGGTCGGCATTAAAGAATGCGAATAAAATCGGGGATAGAGGCGATCCTTATGCCAGCCCAGCATTTACGAGCGGTTTCATCGGGGTGCGGAAGTCGTTAAATCTAATTCTCGCGTGGCGGTCGCTCATGAAGCTTACGACCCATTTTCTTACGATCATAGGGATCCTTCGTGCCCGTAGGCAGGCATCCAAGCTAGTCTTATTTACCCCGTTAAAAGCACCCTTAAGGTTAAACGCGACAAGGGTTACCACTTGATGTTTATACCATGCACGGTCGATTGCGTTAGAGAGGACCAGCAGGGCCGACTCGGACAAATTAAAGATTCGATTCTTGCCCTGGTAATTGGGTGTGCATAAACCCTTGGTGTTTTCTTTTTTATGAAAAGAGTGGTGTGGAGGAGAAATCTGCCATGGTTAATGCGCATTTGCCACCCGCTATCTCGTTTTACCCCGCACAGATGGCATCCCCGGCATCAGATGACCAATTTCACGAGATTGACACCCCCTCACACCACTAAACATAAATCCTAGCATTATAAAATTGGCTAAATAGCAAATGGCAGAAGTATCTGCCTCGACTACCAACCATGGTGGCCGAGGCTTCCCGCCGAAAACATCGCAAGTTGGCGTCAACACACCGCATGCATGCAAAGAGTGTCGGCGGCGAAAGGCTCGAGTATGTATCGCTTGAGTCGCATCAAAATCTATCATAAAATACATGGCTGACTCTTTCCAGTGTTCGCGCGAGCTTCCGATGTGTCTTCAATGCGTCCAAAACGGCCGACACTGTCTCTACGAGAGGCAGGTTCGCACGCCGCTCACGCGCAAGTATGCAGCATTTGATTTCCACAATATTGTGTGTCGAATTCCTAACACTATTAATCAATAGACACATGACTGAAGTGGAAGAGTCGCTTCGGATTGCGACTGATATAATCCGTGAGCGGCTTCCTGATGTCGACTTACTAGCTGAACTTGCGCGAGCCAGAAATGGAGATACTGCAGATTGGCGGGATGAGACTAGGGAAATTGCTCAAGACCAACTTCCGCAGAGTGCTCGCTCGAAAAGATCAAAGGTATCGCCTTCCTGCGATTTCCCGGGCCAGATGGCGTATGTCAGCCAAGAAACCAATGATGCAGAATCCAACATCCTTTCCCTCTGCCTTGAAAGTATCAGCGGCCAAACAGAAAAGCAAGATGGAAATTTCTCTTTTGATATACCGCCCACGACACCGATTGATAATCCCTCCCTGAGCACGTCGGATTATGAGTGGGATGAGCGACAAAGCGGTGCCCAGAGCTGCAATGATGGGATGGCAGCTCTTTCCATCCAGGATGAACAGCCAGGATACCTTGGTCTGGCATCTGGTGCCGCTCTCCTTCGCCTGATTCAAAGTTACACGTGTGATCCTTTTTTATCCACGGCAAATTTCAAACCCGCGTTCGAGTCTATCGAGCAGTCAATGCGGGCGCCACTTGCTATTGATCTGCAAAGAGATATTCCAAAACACAAGATTGAAGCATATATATCGGATTACTTCAACACTTATCATATCTCGTATCCATTGGTCCACCAGGGCCTGTTCATGGCACAATACCACGAGATTGTACCACGCCCTACAACTGGATGGATGGCATTGATGTACGTTGTTGCGGCGATTGGAGCATTCATGGCAGCCACCACGCGAAATGATGATGACCTGGTTCTCTTCCACTGTGCTAGGTCTCATCTGTCCATTGAAATGCTCGAAGTCGGCAATTTGACATTAGTGCAGACCCTGAGTTTAGTCTCAAACTACCTACAGAAACGGGACCGTCCAAATTCAAGCTACAACTACCTAGGTTTGGCGGTTCGTATGGCGTTTGGCCTAGGGCTTCACAAAAACCTTTCAGCCTGTGAAAATGACTTGCTCAATATGGAAATTCGTCGGCGAACATGGTGGTGTCTTTTCATATTCGATGCTGGCTCAACTATTACCTTCAGTCGCCCAATTGCTATCTCTCCCGCTGGAATAGATGCCAGGCTACCGCTCAACACATTTGACAGTTATCTTAACGCATCTACAACAACGCCCCCCGGGAGCGTAGCAGCCCCTACCCTCTATACCAACGTTCGTGTACAAGCTCAGTTCCACCTACTCACCAATCATCTGTACAATCGCGTTATATCAAAGCCATTCCCATCAGCAAAACAGGTGATTGCCTGGGATGATTATTACATTGGCAAATGGTTCGATTTGGTCCCCGGATACTATAAGGAAAATGTTGCGATTCCAGAACGTCACGTATTGGCCCACGCGATCATGACATGGAGATTCAAGCACTTCCGAATGATTCTTTACCGACCGTTCCTCATCCAAATGGCATTGATGGCACCCGGAAAACCTTGCAATCCGACCCCGCAGAGCCGTCCAAGCAATCCCACCGGAAACAGCGGCGACACCTCGTCTTCTGTATTTAAAGAAATGGCCTGCGACCGTTGCTTGAAAGAATCACACGAGACAATTGTGCATATCAACCAGTTCTGGCAAAGTCAAGCGCGCACGCGCATGGCATGTTGGTATGCACTGTACTTTCTTTTCTCTGCTACTCTTGTCCCCGTGATCAGCATCCGAAACGACCCCCAATCGCCATTGGCCACATGTTGGCGAGAGGACATTGAGAGTGCGACAGAAACAATAAAAAGCATGGCAGAACTTAGTCCCTTTGCTGAGAGATGCGCCGAAAACCTGGAGAAACTTTGTTCCGGATACCTTACTCGCCCACCGCAGACATACAATGTATCGGATTCAGAGACTTTCTGGATGCCGGATCCCATCGGCGACAGTCCTATCTCGCAGATGCTGTCTATGTACAGTATGATCTGGCCGGAGGCTGCTCAACTCGATCCCCACGAACAATTCATGTGAGTACGATCAAAGAAACCACCGTACTCGAAATGGCTGTCATCAAACTAACAAGTTGTTTAGAGCTCATCCTGATCTGGATCCATACATTGAGCCTACAACTGATCCGCTCAATATGTGGACAGGGAGTTCAATCGATCCCTTTTTGTAGGAAGTAATTAGGTCTGCTGTGAGCAAAAAGTCCTCTAATAGCATACGGGAGAAACTAGTCCGTGTGGTTTACCTTCGAAGTACAAAATCCGCCTTCTAAATATACGCATAGGAAGATGCGTCTAGTCGTTGAGATACGTACGGTAAGTATTATCATGTATATAATAGCTAACATTTGCCGATCACCAGGTCAGTGAAGAAAATTCTGAAAATGCGATTCAAGCCTTCCGAAATGGCTTGATTGTAACATAGTAGAGTTATAATCTATCCAACGGTCTCCGTAAAGTGCGATGTCCCTGCGTAGGAATCATTTTCCTTCTCTCCCATATATTGCTTGACCGCTGAACGACTTTCGGCATCATTCACATTCCCGTGCATAATTGGCAATCCATGCGCGATGCTCACAACATCCCATGGTGTCCACGGGTTGGAATTTTCGAAAATCTCATCGATCTCTTCCAAAGATCGATTGGCCGTTTCTGGATAGAGAAAGTACACCACAAACAACATGAGACCGTTCATCACAGCGAATATCACGTAGGTATAAATTCCAATGCTGTTGAATGCCACTGGAGCAATCATCACCACCATGAAATTCAGAACCCAATCAGTAGCCGTGCTAAGGCCGTTGACCGTAGCTCGAATCTCCAAGCCCACAATCTCTGCAGGATACAACCAGGGGATGCCAAGCCACCCCAGAGCAAAGGATGCGTTGAAAGCGAAGATAAAGAAAGAGGCGACAATTGCAGCGTCCGTGTTTCCTTTACCAGTGGCCCAAATAGTTCCCGCCAAGACAACCATCGATGACATTTGACCGGCGGATCCAATCATAAGCAGCTTTCGTCGACCGATTCGTTCGATGGTGAAGATTGCAACGCAAGCAACAAACATATAGGCGGTATTTTGGCACGCGGCGACAATGCGAGCGTTTACCGCACTAAGGCCAATGGAGCCTTGATAGATGGTTGTGGCATAGTATGTGATGAGGTTTGTTCCGGATAATTGTTGCATTGCTTGACTCCATATGGCTAGCATTGACCGGTGAAAGTGCTTCTTACGGCCCTGTGTGCCGATCATTTTGAGAGAAATCCGGCTTCCTTGCTCTTGTTCCAGTCCCACACAGACACTCTGGACATGCATCTCGATCACGGGGTCGGTGACAGGCAGACCTTCAAGAGCAGCGAAAACAGCTCTTGACTCACTGTTTCGTCCCATCTTGATGAGCCAGCGCGGTGATTCTGGCATTGAGAGGATGAATGCAATCAAAATGCCGGCAAACACACATTGGAAAGCGATCGGGAACCGCCAATTCACCTGGTTGTTGATGAAGTAGAACGCAAAGTTCAGCCAATAAGAGAATGCCAGGCCAAAGACGATCAAGACTCCTTCAATCATCACCATGGCTCCTCTTCGTTTTGGTTTGGCGCACTCGGACTGCCACATCGGCACCGTCGCAGTCACGAATCCATTTCCTATGCCTGTGATAATTCTAAAAGTCGGTCAGCACCAATCTGAAAATAAAACGATATAACTCTATCCTTCAGTGTAATTGAGTACTCACCTGCCCGTGACAAACTGTGGGAGACCAAATGCAGCGCACTGGATTGTCGCTCCGATGCACATAATTATGGCACCACCAAACACCACCTTCCGACGGCCGTATCTATCGCCTGCCCACAGAGTGCCCAGTGCGCCGAACATGCATCCAATCTCGTAGATAGCAATTACAACGCCTTGAACGCTGGAGTTGTAAGATTTCTGCGCGGCCGTGAGAGACTTGCCCACGGTGTCCATCTCGGGAAAAGTTTCCACAAAGGTATCCAAAGTCAAGAGACCACCCATCACACCCTGATCATAGCCAAACAGCACGAAGCCGATGCCGGCAACCATAGCGACGGCCGAATGTAGCTTCGTTCCGGTTAGCCCGAAATATTTTGTCATGGTGATCGATATGAAATATAATTAGGTGAACCCCGGATACTGGAAAGGGAGAGGAAAATCGAGTTTTTATATATAGTATGCATATAAGCGTCTCTCTAGACACTTCAAGTCCCATTAAACTTTAAATAAAAACTGGAATTTGCGGAGTTCTATCTCCCTTTGGTGGTGTTTCCCCATGTTCTCTTCCTCACTTTGATCCCCAGTTTTGCCCTCCGTTAGGCTTTCAATCCCCGGAAAATCGCGAGCCGGGGTAAGTGGCGATGTCAACGGAGCCCTGTCACCCCATTGGACTGTTCCAAGGTTCATGCGCCCATACTCCCTTTTCAGGAAGAAAACATCTACCGTATACCCCGAACTGTGTGATGGTAAGTTTCCAGAAGTTAGATGTGCTCTTTGCCATTGGATTCGCAACACAATGCTTTACTGATACGCAGGTTCAGACAATACACACGTATGTCAAGTAGACAAGAAAGAGAAGATGATGGGTACTCCATGGGGGATACTGCAGCAACATTACAGAAGGGGAAAGACATCATACATAGCATGAACAAGTGAATCGATAATTCAGCCACTTTCTTCACATCCACACCTGACCTTGGCTACGGGATGCCGAATTGCAGGACGGACCTCTGTCACCCCAGTCCGAGTGACTCCACCGGCATCATCGGCTCTACCCCCCCCAACAAGAACGGTGTGAGCCGCTGGGTACAGAGACTACCAGTTCAGTCAATATTGAATAAAAAACATCGAAAGCTCTTCAATGACGAAATTGTTACTTGGTCTCTCGATTATACGTATCTTTCATTAGTTGAATTCTTGTACATTCCGCAATACGAAATAATACAATAATCCACATCCTCACTTGTTTTCTGTACTGGCTCTCACCTTTCCGCGAAAAAGGTACAATCCGTGGGCATTGTTCCTTTGTCTTGTGTTATTTAAGTTGGTTAAAACGCCAATATACCTCAAGACAACCGTCGATTAATTTTGAAGTTTGCACTTTATTTGTCAATTTATTTCTTTCGCATTTTCCTGTATATCTGCCTCACATACCCTTACTGACAACCAAATACTATCTACGATAATGCCTCTCTATCAATCCCCTGACGCTCACGCGCCTGTTCTTTCGCAATTTTCCCTAAGGGGTAAAATTGTTGCTGTAACAGGAGGCGCCCGGGGGATTGGCCTGGAAGTAGTTCGGGGTCTCGCAGAAGCCGGGGCTAATGTTGCTCTGATCTACTCCTCAAGCAAAGATGCAATCGAAACAGCGGCTCAGATAGCGACGCAGACAAATGTCGAAATCAAAACCTATCAGTCGGATGTCACTTCTCGCAGCACAATTGCCGCGACCATCACCCAGATTGCACATGATTTTGGTCGTCTCGATGTTGTGGTTGCCAATGCCGGTGTCTGCACCAACCGGCCCAATCTCGAGTACGATGAAGTGAGCTGGGCTCGCGATAATAGTGTCAACTACGACGGCGTGATGTGGACTGCGCAGGCTGCTGGAAAGATCTTCAAAAAGCAGGGCAAGGGAAATCTGGTCATCACTGCATCTGTCAGCGCTATATTGGTCAATATTCCCCAGACACAGGTCGCTTACAATGCCTCGAAAGCTGCAGTGGTGCACCTGGCCAAGGGTTTGGCGGTGGAATGGGCGGACTTTGCACGTGTCAACTGCATCTCCCCTGGCTTCATTTTGACCAAGAGTGAGTCCAAAAGTATGCTTTGACAAGAGTAAAATTTTTGCTAACGCATGGTCTTTCGATTATAGTGATCACACAACAGCCAAAGGAATTGATGGACAAGTGGCTTTCCATGATCCCTGGAGGTCGTATTTGCGACCCAGCCGAGTTGAAAGGTGTATGTGAATACCAATTTTCTTTCTCCTATATCATCTAATCTTTTATGTTCAGGCCTATGTTTTCCTGGCCAGTGATGCCTGCTGCTACATGACTGGAGCCAACATGGTGATTGATGGAGGTTACACTTTGCCTTGAGACTAGTTTTGTCATACTAGACGCAATCAAGAATTTAAAACATTGATAATGATAGTTAGGAATCCTGCCATGTCCATTTTTCTAGTACACGTTTTAGAGATGCATATATAGCAACCAACACACCACTAAATTAACAAAACTACCTACCTAGGTCTATCTGGACATGAATTTGTTTTATACCGTATAGCTTTGGACTTCAGTAATGCTCTCTTTCGTGGCTGTAAGCGTGGCGACTACCTTCTTGGCCGAGGGGGTAGAGGTGCTTTAATTGCTTCCTCTGGCTAGATAATCAATGCAGATGCCTCTAAAGCTGGGAGCCTTTATTAGAAGGTATCTGCCTTATAGATGTAACTAGTTAACTGGTTCTTTTCTCTCTTTTTCCGTCGGTAATAGTTGTTTTCTTTCGCTGGTAAAACAGCGCCATAGACCGCAAGCTGGCAGCCTCTGATAGTTCGCCGCATTTAGGGCTAATTAATTATGCATTCAGTCGAATCGACTTCAGTGGGTGCAGTAAGCCCGCGATCTTCCGTTCAGCTCCCTTGGTCTCTTGAATTCCTACTAGGGTGACAGATGCAGGTTGAGTACTCAACCGGACTTCTTGCTCCGAAGCGGGGCTCCCCATAACATTAATTTTCAGTATGGAGCAGCCCCACTTGTCTTAGCAGTTTACAGTACTTGTGATCTCCTGTAATATTCCCCAGAATATTGAATTGTTACCCGTATTGGTGTTTTCTCGAAAACCATGTATGGATGCAAATCGGAGCAGTTTTTGTCAATTGTTCCTACTTGCGAGTATAAATAGAGGGTCATTTTGTCAAATTCTCGAATCCAAAGGTCCTCAGATTCTCTCAGATACATTGCGGATTAACCACTGTCAACTGCCAATATGGAGGTTTGTTCTTCACAATCCGCTTCAACCCAAATCTGACCATCTTTCTAGAACGCATCTTTTGTTCTGCGCGATATTAAGGACGTGGCCATTGAAGACCGCCCCAAGCCTGTCATCCAGAACCCTCACGATGTGATTGTTCATGTTGCTCAAACTGGAATTTGCGGTAGTGATGTATGTATTTTCTTCTCTCCCCAGAATTCTACAGAATCTTCCGGCTAACATCGTGATAGGTTCACTAGTAAGCTCATCTTCTGCCCCAGCACCAAATCTAATACTGACATGTATAGCTGGCAACGTGGCCGTATTGGGGACTATGTCCTCACAGGCCCTATGGTCCTCGGTCACGAATCTTCCGGTGTGGTCACCCAGGTCGGTGAGAAGGTCACGCACCTTAAAGCCGGTGATCGCGTTGCTATGGAACCTGGCGTTCCTTGTCGCCGCTGTGATTACTGCCGCAAGGGTTCGTACCACCTTTGTGGTGATATGATCTTCGCCGCCACTCCCCCATGGGACGGAACCCTCGCCAAATACTACCGTAACGCCTCCGACTTCTGTTACAAGGTGCCCAACAACATGGATCTAGAGGAGGCTGCTATGGTTGAGCCTGTTTCCGTTGCTGTGGCTATCTGTAAGACTGCTGATCTGCGTGCTCACCAGACCGTGTTGGTTTTGGGATGTGGCCCGATCGGTGTTCTCTGTCAGGCTGTTGCGAAGGCGTGGGGCGCAAAAACTGTTATTGGCGTCGACGTTGTGCAGTCGAGGCTGGATGTCGCCAATTTATATGGTGTTGATCACACATTCCTACCCCCATTCCCAGAGCGGGGCGCCAATGTCGACCCTATGGTGCACGCCGAAAACGTGGCCAGTATCATGAAGGAGCGATTTAACATTGGTGATGGGTTTGACACGGTTCTTGAATGCTCGGGCGCTGAGCCCTGTGTTCAACTTGGTCTCTTCGCCGCTAAACGCGGTGCCACATTTGTCCAAGCCGGTATGGGTAAGGAAGTCATTCAATTCCCTATTACCGCTGTTTGCACGCGTGGTTTAATCATTAAGGGTTCTATCCGCTACTTGGCCGGATGCTACCCAGCGGCTATTGACCTGATCTCCAGTGGCCAGGTGGACGTCAAGCGATTGATCACCAACCGCTACAAGTTCGAAGAAGCTGAGCAAGCCTTTGAGCTTGTCAAAGCTGGAAGACAGGATGTGTTCAAAGTTATGATTGCTGGTGTTGGGTTCTAAAAATGGAGATTCACAGATGCGAAAAGCGCGATTCCATTGTTTATCATGTGAAAGGAGGTTTTAGGATGCCACTGTTGCTCTGGCTTTCGAGACCATCGGTTGGGACATTTCCTCAGATAGTTGCATTTTCAAAAATCAAGCCATTGTCTTCCTCAACATTAACCTGGTTAAAGTCATTAAGACTTTGATATAGCCTTTTTTTAAACCTATAATACAGATTTTCTACTCGATCTCCTTTTCTACTCGGTGACTCGCGCGCTTTCTGGCACCCTTGCATGATTTAAAAACCACACTTCATTTGCGTAATGGGCAATCCCCCATGGCCTACTCGAAACCTCAGTAGGATAGCAAATTATCTGGACTCAAGAGTCAATCCTAGAATCCAGTACTGGCCTTAATAGGGGTGTTCGAGTGCCTCTCAATTTGTATAGCTAAGTTTGACAACCTTCACTGCATACACACCAGATTTATTTTCTCCAAAGTGCTCATGTCCAGTGAGAAGTCCAGATGCTCGCATCAGGAAAGCCACCAGAAAAAAGATTTTTATTGGCTGCTCTGTCATCATAAAAAATCGGGAATTCACCTCAATTTACAATACCGATTTAGAAAATACTAGTTAAATTTCTGTTTTAAAAACGCCTCCATTTATACGGTATTGCTTCGGAGGGTGTCGTGCGGCGATTTCCCGCCCCTCCGTCAGAACTTCCTAATTCGCACAACGAAGCTGTGCAGTAGGATTGGTATGGAAAATACTTATCTATAAATAAGATGCTCGACTCCGAGTTTGCTTTTATTCGCTTCCTTTCAATCCATTCAAACCGCATCCACTAGATTCTTCCACCGTTTCACTCCTCTCTCCTTGAACTATCAAAATGCCCATCTCAATTCCCAAGAGCGAAAGCCTGACTGAGCTGTTCAGTCTCAAGGGGAAGGTTGTTGTCGTCACGGGTGCATCAAACCCACGAGGAATCGGATACGAAGCCGCACGAGGATGCGCCGAAATGGGCGCCAATGTAGCCATCACCTACTTCTCTCGCGAAGAGAGTGCAAAGAAGAACGCCGAGGCTCTCTCCCATGAGTTTGGCATCAAGGCCCAAGCCTACCACTGCGATATCCGCCGCTACGACTCCGTCCAGAATCTTGTCGGCTCAATCATCACTGACTTCGGAAAGATTGACAGCTTTATTGTCAATGCTGGTCAGGCAGCCGATGCCGGCGTACTTGATGGTACTGTCGAGGACTGGATGCAGATCATTCAGGTTGACCTCAATGGAACGTTCCACTGTGCCAAAGCCGTTGGTCAACACTTTAAAGAGCGTGGTACTGGGTCTTTGGTCATCACTGCATCCATGTCTGGACATATTGCCAACTTTCCCCAAGAGCAAACTTCGTACAATGTTGCCAAGGCAGGTTGCGTCCACCTTGCGAAGTCTTTGGCAAATGAATGGAGGGGTTTTGCCCGTGTCAATTCAGTTTCACCTGGTTATATCGACACTGGACTCTCTGATTTTATCGATCAAGAGACAAAGGATCTTTGGACGTCGATGATTCCGATGGGCAGAGACGGGGTGGCGAAAGAGTTGAAAGGAATTTATGTTTATTTGGCCAGTGATGCTAGCACCTACACAACTGGTGCGGACATTGTTGTTGATGGAGGATATACTGCTCGCTAAATGGAACAATGTCGATGGTTTTGAAAAGGAAAGAATGAAATGGCATCAAATTTGTTGGCAGCATAATTTCTCGGTTGAAGTCCTCAGCAAATTTGCCATATGGTAATAATAATCAATCCACAAAGAAGGGGCTGAAATTCATGAAGTACCTTATTCTTATGTTGAATTAGAATTAAATATAATAATCTACCGCTTTGTGTCTCCAGTAGCTTTGCATCAATACCTATGCGATCAAACCCTCCCAAGTCACACCCCATTCAATCGATAAGGATGAACAGTGTACGAACAGGGGCAATCACGCAATCAGGCACTTCGCTAACTTTAGTTGATTGAGGTCGTCTATATACTCTCCAACATTCACCCCAAGGTGGTTCTGTAGGTTTTCGGAGTCGGTAGTCCGGCGGCATCCTCTTTTTATTTGGGCAGAATGTAGAGGCTGTGGAGGTGGGAGGGGGGCGGGGGCTCTTTTCTGTTCTTTTAACTTTCTGGTATTCTAGTGAATTTGAACGACGCCATGGTTTGGAAGGAGTAAATTCGACATGGGGTGACAGGAGTCCGGATCAAATTAGGGGCCACGGTAAAATGTGGAGTCGACTGAATTGCCTCGAACTGTCAATGACTCTTCAAAGGTTAAAGTGTCCACAACAAATTGTTGGCTTTTTATTATGCCTGGTCCAAGCCACGTGCTCGGCTTATGGATTTCGTAAAGAACATGAGGGAATGTATAGGATAGCCCGTCATTGACAAGTGCACCCATTAAGTGGACCTCGGCCTCGGGATCTAGTAATTATAACAGGGCGCAAAAACGAAAAAAATGAAAATTCAGAGGTATGACTGGACTTTCTAGGATATCGCACATGCGCACTCGTAGACTGCGCGAAGCCCTCGAAACCTATCACGGGTTTGGGGTCAAGATAGGTATCCCATATGACTCGATAAGCAGTACGAACATCGGGAGAAGGATGACTGCATCTCTTACAGTGGGGAAATATGATTTTATGCCCATTGGCCTGAAATTTGGATCAAACGCTATTGTTTCTTATATCAAGCTAATGATGCGCCCAATTGTCGTTATCTTACCTTGGGCACTTCCGGGCTCTCACTATTATGCGCATCTCAGTGTAGTGAGCCATCATAGAAAACCAATTAAAATGATTACTACGCATTCTTTCCTGGAACTAATTTTGACAGCGTGCATAAACGAGAATGTATAACCGAGAATGCATGAACAGGGGTAGATAAACAAGGATTTTCAGATTTTGAAAAACCTCAAGCCCACTCATATAGCACGTACCATTTTTGGAAAGGGAAGTGACAAGTGGTAAAATAACTGTTGGTCGCCTTGTAAGAGACTACCAAGGTGTTTTGTGACTAATCTGAGCCCCGGAAATACCACTCTTTCAAAGGCCTGTATATATGCACAGGGTCACTATAGTGGTCTGGACTTACTTTGGCTCTCAATTGACACAGAGGAAAAGGTAAGACATATGTCAAATGACACCTGATACTTGCCGACTTTCTCACACTAAGTGCAAAGGCACTGCAGTGATACTATAAGGAATGAAGCTGTATATTGTTAACTAACCAGTTAGTTAGAGATCCCTCAGGCCGCAACCGAGACCTTGCCACTTTCCACCCGTTTTTCAGCTGCATATTTACCCAGGTAGTTCCGAACTCAGACTCCAACATTCTTTATACACTTCAAATCTGCCATGGCGCAATCTACTGGAGTCGGGTCACAGGACCTCGACCGAGCAATTCTTCTCTGGACCAAGCTTCAAGTTCCCAAAGGCCTTGAGCTGAATACCGAATGGGATGGGTTGTTTCTGCCACTGATTGAGGCCCCGGGACAAGTGGGATCTGGATGGGCAAGACTTCAGGACTCGGAGACAATTCTTCTGGTGACAGGTGAGTCATGCATTAAACGCGCAAAACCAAGCTAATTCGTGTCCAGAATGGAAACGAATCTTGGACCAGAGAGAGTTCATAGCCTCGCCGTCCGCTCAGGTCTATCATGAGAATTTCAGGAGTCGAGGAATAGTGCACGTGTCCTCTCATGAGACACCCTCTCGCAGATTCAAGTACCTCAAACCTCTACTGGAATCATACGTCCAACTGTTCTGGATCTACTTTCCGGTACCTGTGACTGAAACGCAAATGGCCCAACTTTCGAAGATCAAATCCATTCGTGGACCGGCTTTATTGAAAAACTTTACGAATGATGTTGAGGCTAGTTATCAAAATCTTTATCCTGTCAAGATGTGGGCCACCCACACAGAATCGGTGGATGGCCAGGAAGCTCAGTTGCTTCTGTGGCCGCATTTTTGGAAAAGTACTGAGCGTGCCGAGCATCGGCATAAGGGGAAGCAGGAGAGGTTCTGTGCCAATCTGGAAAAAGTAGGACCTATGGGCTGGACGGAAGAATTTCTATCTTTTAAGACTATCCCTGAGGGGTTGGATACCCGGGTCATTTAGCTTTGAAATTCGATGTTGCAGATCAGCTCTTTGGACGCTATTTGAGGAGAGTATTTCAAGATATCTCATACAATTAGCCCTCTAACTCTATTATCATACCAAACCCTACCGGACAACGATCTCTATAATGAAACGAACGTGAAATGTACCAGAATCAAGGTAAAATAGTGAGAGACAAGCCACAAGCAATGAATTTCATTGATACTGTATATACAGGCGTGTAAAAAAGAAAGGCAGCAAGGAGTACCGGTGGTGTGAGATTCTGGACGGTCATATGGCAGATTTGTCGATTGGGCCCAATCAACCGATTTTCTCCTTTTCTCGTTATTTTAGGATAACTTAGGCTTCGCGGCTGAGCCGCTCTGGAAACTCCATCGTTCATTTGGGTCAGTGATCCATTGGGTCTGCAGGAAATACCAGTACCCAACGCTGAAGAAGACATATGTCTCAGGGTTCTGGCGAATGCTTTCCCCGTTGGTCAGAAGTTGTACTTTAGGGTCGTCCGATTCTTTATCGATAACCGCCTTTTTCAGCAAGGCGGTAATTTTCTTCCACTCGTCTTCGAGTCATTAGCGGTTGCCCACACTGTTTAGACTAAAGATCATGAGAACTTACATGTGGCATCGGGAGTGCGGTGCACTCCCATGACGAGATGGAAAATCTCATGGGAGAAAGTTCCGTTTAGCGGAAGGAACTCATCGACCGACTGGCCCCTTTTGGGTATTTTGCTTCCAAGACCATCGATAGCCTGGGGGGTTTTAAAGCTCACGGGACACAGTGTTATCGAAGCAGGCTCGGTCTGATCTTGCGTTACTCCCAGGTATTGCCCTGGGGCAGTGCAGTAGGTCTTGCTTCCGAAATCTTCTGTTATCACATCCTCCCACAAATCATCAGACCAGTAAGGGACCAGCCCATTGCTTATGCGAGGCCCGTATTCTGTGTGGGGCAGCCACATATCGTCCTCGTAAGCCTTTAAATCCTTAATTAACATAGGAACCATATTTCCGTTAGCGTCCATTTCCAATAACTGCTTTTTTTTTTTGGGGCCGTTACTTTCGTTACGTCCCAAGCAATGTCCGTCCTTCTCTGCTTTATGAGCCAGTCGTCACTGCAGTATAAGTGTGGAGTGCCGAGTTCGTGTCCTTGTCCATCCAGGAATTTTTTTCACTCCCGTGAGGTGTTCTGAATTGATGTCAGCAACATGTGTCGGAAGGTTATATAGGAAGCAAGGGATTCACCTTTCACTAAGTCCATCTGCTTGGTATCTCCAATTTGCATGCCGAAGTAGGTCTTGAGATACCGTTTGGCAACTTTATCTCCTTGGCATTGGAATTTTTGGCATCGATGAGCGCTTGGAGGCCAGCTTGGACCATTTTCCTGCTTTTAAATAGAGCTGTTAGGAGCTGATTTTCGACAAAAGCGGCACAACCGCCCTTGGTAGTCATATGCTCGCCTTCCTTATCCCTCTTGAACACGAATAATTCATTGATAGTTGGAGGGGGCTTGGTATCGGAGATGACAGAGGGCAAGAGGAACAGCCAAAACGCGAGAACAGTTATGATATACATGATCCAAAAGAATTGCCCTTGTTCAAGGGAACCCTGGAAGATGATAGCACAGACACAATGAAAAAGTCGAGAAATAAACCGTCTAGAGCAGACGGTGCTGATACCTAGGTATATGCTGTCGAGTAGCGAAATCAGGACTCGGAGCTCGGAGCAAAACGCTTGCATAGCTTCACCCAGAAAATATATTAGGCAAATCATATTTTGAAACCATTATCATATCCATCTGGATCCCTCAGTCCTCAACTGAGACATCACTCTAGTTCTGGCGATTAATCCCTTAGCTCGGAGTTTGCAAAATTGCCATCTACTAGTACTAACAGTGACCCTAGTGAAAATTCACAAATTTATACTCATTCTACTTTACACATTTCGCTAGACATTGCATTTTTCCCCTAGATCGCATGGAATATGAAGCTATTCAGGATCTCGGGGGCTTAAGCTACCCTCATCCACATCTTCCCTTCTTCATACGCCTACAGCTCACCTCTACTCCTACGTCTACTTGCCTACTTGCCCTTAAGGTAAACTCCACGCCCCAATCTGTCTATCATCGAGTCCTACCCGTCACCGTCTCAGTTATTGCCAAAACTCCCTTATCCAAGGCAACCTGCATTAGTCGCTTATGGAGACCAGGTGAAGGCAGGTGCATCGGTTTCGAGACGCACTGTAAAAGCCTCTCCAAAGTGGAGAAAAGTTCAGCGGCACACCAATCATATATGATACATAGCTCAGTGAGCAAGTCCTTGAGCTTATGTAATTAATAATCAGGTCGTGCTCAGTGAGCTAGTCAGAGTGCTCAGGTCACGCTCAGTGAGCGAGTCATATGGCTTACGTAGTAATCATGTGATGCTCGGTGAGCGAGATTGATGATTATATAATACTCAGGGGCGTGCTCAGTTTTACTCAGTGAGCAAAAAGCGGCAAGAGGTGAGCACTAAAACGGAAAGGGACAGCCATCGCGCGGCCTAAATTCCGGTGTATATGCGCTAAGCTGAGGATGTATTAGAGCTAGCGGTCAGAATTTGAGTCTGTACTCCTACCAACTCGAGACCATGCCATTGCAAACTGCAATGAGTTAGAAAACATATTGCCCCATCCTACGTAAGGCAAGGAGATTTGGGGATTGAACAGAAAATCATGTAACCATTCATGATGCTAAGAGATATTTACACAAACATAGACCGGATTTACGGTCGAGCATCCAAATAAAACAGTGATATAGAAAAAAGACGTTGCCCAGATTATGAGAGGGAAGGGTGATGGTGCAATCAAGGGAGTCTAGAGAGGACAAAGTATACCGGGAAGTGTTTACCACTGGGGGCCGGGGTACTGTGCGTATTTTTGCTTGGGGCGCAAGTGAACAGGAACCTGGTTCTCGGGGGAACCAGGGATGGTCTTCTTCAAGCCCTACAAGAAACAAGAAAGGTGTATGTTAGCTCTAATCCGGGGGCGACAGCGGATGCGATGGATGTGGGGTGATTGGGACGATTGAGAACAAGAGAGAGTGTATCATACCAATTTGTCGAAGACACAGGTGTTAAGCTGCATCTCAGCCCTGCGGCACTCCCAGAGCTGGTGGTTGTTGTTCTCGAGACACTCCCAGTGGGCCTTGAACTGGCTGAGGCAGTGGGTGTTGATGTCCTTGATGCTGCGAGAGGTCAATATCTCCTTCTCAACTCAAAGGTGAATTACAAAAGCAACATACACGCTAGCGGCACAACGCGTCACCTTCCGACCCTCCTTCAAGCAATCGATCTCCCCGCGGCCATTGGCCTCGCTCTTGCACTTCATGAAGTCGTCATTGAAGGCCTTGCAGCGGTCTCCAATGAAATAAGCTGCACTCATCAGGGGCGCAGATGTGGCACCGATCTCCTCCACCTTGGGAATGTGATCGGGCATGGGCGTAGTGTCCACCAGGACGGTCTGGTTGAAGCTGCGCGCGGAGGGATAGAGGTTAGCGTCTCACATTGAGCCTGACAGAGAGGAAGCCATTGAGATTAGGGCACATACCGAGCATCTCTTTGGGCCATGGCGACGGTGGCTTGTCAGGACGACTGTGAGGGGAAACAGGTGCAATTGAGACGATACTTGGAGATCGAGAGCTGCGGGTTGCGGTGGAATGAAATTTGGCTCGTCGGTGATTGGTTGGCTGGGTAGTGCTTAGGTCAGCGTAACATGTTGCCCAGGTGCGGTGCTGGTATACAGGCACATAGGCGCGTATGACTGTTGCCGTTGGTTATTGGATGTATCAATGAAGGAAAAAAAATATTAGAACAATAACACAGACACAATATACTAATACTAATTTACCATTTATTCAAATCTTCCATTCAATATCGATTTAAGCTGTTTGCGAACAATGAATCATCACGTGACCCAAACAAATCGAGCTCCGGCTCATCTTTCTCGGTCTTCGAGCTCCATCGAGGAACCCCTCAGCTTTCTCACCTTCGACTGCCAACCTTCAATCCCTGGACTATGTACCTTGGATTTGTATCTATCTACCTTCGGCGCTCTTAATCTGGCTGCGCCAGCTTCATTGATCCATCAACGCGCTCACTCTTTATCGTGCTTTTTTTTTTGTGCCTTTTTGATTGTCCATCATGTCTCTCTTTGGCGGAACCCAGCCTCAGGCTAACACATCCATGTTCGGCAACACGGCACCGAAGCCATCTCTCTTTGGCGCCCCGGCAACTACAACCCAGTCCAACACCAGTACACTGTTCGGCGGAGGGCAGACCCAACAGCCTGCATCAACAGCAACCGGTGCATTTGGCGCGAGCGCGTTCGGCGGCGGCGCAAGTGCCGCACCACAGCAGCAAGCAGGATCGATGTTCGGAAATCCGGAGAAGGCCCAGAACTCCTTCGGCTCAGGTGCTTTGGGGCAGCCGCAGCAGCAACAGCAAGGAAGCGCATTCGGCTCCTCGCTACAGAAACCGCAAGGTAGCCTTTTCTCCGGAGGCCAGCAGCAATCACAGCAACCCGCGGGTGGATTAGGAGGCCTCGGAGGTCTCGGTGCCAACACTCAACAATCAAATGCCTTCGGTCAGCAGCAATCGCAATTCGGCCAGACCACGATGACAACACCACAGCCCCAGCAGCAACAGCCTTCTCTGTCGTCAAGCCTGTGGTCCCCCGGCCGTGCTATTACTGGGGGTGAGCCTATTGTGTAATCTCTCACCAACGAAGCATTACTGACAAAGACTGCTTTCTAGTGCACCGAACTGTTCCTATGCAAGTAGCCATCATCAAGGATAAATGGGATCCTCCCAGCCAAAGCTCGCCATTCCGAGCCTACCTGTACAACAATGTCGGCGAGGAGGCCGCGCCTTTCTACCAACCGGGTCCCGAGGACGATGAGTCAAAATGGGAAGAGGCTTTGCGCAAGCGACCAGGTCCAGGATATGTTCCTGTTCTTGTCAAGGGCTTCTGGGATCTCGGTAAACGCGCGCAGCGACAAAGGGATTTCCTCACTATGATGCAGTCGCGCCTGCATGAGATCAACAATTGCTTGACCGGACTCCTCTCGAAGCATGATCTCAACCTCTCCGTCAAGATCGCTGACTGCCGGCGGAAGCACATTATTCTGAGCAAACGATGCCTCGCTCTTGCCGCTAAGACGCAGATTCTTCGCAACAGAGGATATGCCATGGATGAAGCGGAGGAACAGTTGAAGAAGAAGCTTGTTGAATTGGAACGTGCCGTTTTCGACCCGTCCCTCAATGGTCGTGCCGAAGAAATCTGGGCCCGTATGTTGGCCATTCACGAACACTCTAAGCGACTGCAAGTGGAGATGGATCGTGCCGGAGTAAACGTGACACAAGCGGAGGATGACATTGATGAGCAGACCTTGAAGACAGCAAAGAAGGTTCGTCACTCTTGGACTGGTAAACCCTCAGTACCGGAAGAGCTTGCTAACCATACATTCCAGATTCTGGACGATTACCACTCTCAGATTCAGCATCTCCAGAAGGAGATGGAGTCCATCAAGAAGGACTTCAGCGAGGTGGAGAAAGCGATTGGGAATTGAGTACATTGCTCTATACGTTTCTATTTGCTATTTCGAATCCCAGTCTCTTCACATGTTTGGACTTAATGTCTACGGTCATCGGGGTACCGGCGTTCTTGGGGATCAAGCCATTGTAATGCATATCTGAATACAAACTTCTTTGCTGAACACTCTGAATTCTCCTTTGCCTTTCTAGTAGATTTGCTCACCAGATGAAGATGACTGGTATCCGTGATAGGTCTCTTACGCGTCTTTCTAGAGGCTGTATATTGAGCTTGCCTCAAATTGATAGGGCTGGACCCTTCTGTTTCACGCTTGTTTACTACTCCTTTGTGAACGTTTGATCACGTAAAATTGATACAAACTCCGTATATTCCATGCCCTTCGGCGTCAGTTACCTAAAATTAACCAACGCCCGAGGACATTATCCCATTTTTGCTCTTTTGAAATAGGCCTGGTCTGTCGATCGTTCTCGGTCTTGGTCTAGGTCGTTGTTTTCTTTTTACTTGCATTCTCCATCTCTCTTCGTCTCTGTTGGCAGAGCACAATCCATGATCAATCTCTATACCATCCCTTCCGCTGTAGATCACAGTAGATGTGATCCCAAACACCAGACGTCCTCGCTAGAGAATTAGCATCCTTACACCAGATAGGTTTCCACTGTTCCTACAAGATACTAATGGCGTTGATTGTCGTGATAATATTCTCTTCCTGTACATAATTTAGATTGAAGATTGACTGTTTTATAGGGATGTTGACCAAGCAGAGATAATTTCTTCGGCTTGGGTCCTCTATTCATCTCGTTTTGCTGTAGCCCTCAGATATTTCTCAATCCCATTCACACAGGGAGCTGCTCTTCTGTAGTGAGGGCATATTCCCTAGTGATATCTGCTTCAGGGACCCCGGCGAGGAATAAGACAACAAATATCATTCCCGTTCGGTCTTTTTCAGAAGTACAATGGAGGAGTATGGTAAGGGGTTGGAGAAGGAGACCAGTATAATTGGAGTATACTCCGCACAACGTGCCCTGATCATAGATCTTTGGTCCTACCGAGCCTATACTGTAGCAAATCGTCTATACGCGGAATATGAGAATAAAGTACAACATACAGAGGATAAGCGTCCAGTTGTGCACTACTTGACCAGTTGCTCTACTAACAAGGGCAAGTTGCCTATCCTTATGGCGGCTGGTAGTTAAACAACGGTAACTACTCTGGCTCGATGCAACCTCTGAGAAACGATGACACCGATGCTGTTAAGTATGCGAGGTATATTCATGCCAAATGTGCCATAAGCTACTCCTCCACTCTACCATGTTGACTCATTACTATTACCACAACCTAGCATGACCCAGACTCCTGTTTCTGTGAAATTGGTATAGTGCAATTTCTTATTCTGATTTGCTCTATATCCCACAAAACACAAATGACAACAAGTATATGCACAATAGTAATACATCACCCAACTGACACTAACCAGCAGACCCAAAAGGTATAGTAGATGAGCTTAAAAAGCTTTCCATAGATTAGGTGCCCATGCTCAATCTTGTCCAATTTTGGCCGGGAAAAAGTTATGCCAGAGGGAAAAATCAATTATCCAGTTCTCCTGCATGTCATCGCGAAATCATAACCAGCGATTCGTCGATTACAGTCCGGGAAAGGCAAGAAAGAGGAGCGGAAGACGGGTCAACCGGCTTAAAGGAACTTGCGGACGAAGTCGACGGCGAAGGGGGCTACATATTAGATGGCCATGTTAGCTTTCAATCCACCTAACTCTTCTCCGACTCATCTCGAGTTGTCTGCTCTTTCGAGGCTTCGTGGATCAGGTATTTGACTTACACAGGTAGAGGAGGAAACCACCGGCAATAGCCATGTGGACGGTCTGGGTGGCCTCAACCTCACCAGCCTGTAAAGATGTTAGTATCGGATGCTACTTAGGGCTGAGGTCATGGCGTGAGGCTGACCTTGATCTCTTCCTTGGAGATCTGTTCTTGGCCTTAAACAGAATTATATCGTTAGCTCGAGTTGGATCAAAAGAGGGATATAATTTGCATCATACCTGGGGCAAACATTTTGAATATGATAAAGAGTTAGAGAATGAGAGAGAGTTCAGATAATAGTTGTTGTGAGAGTTGAATGTTGCGAGGTTCTCAAGTCGGACTGGAGAAATAAATCACGGGAGCACAGACCCACTGCTCTCCTTCACTTCTTGAGGTTTTGCCTTGACTACCTCCCCTCTTTCTATCCACTGTGATTCTACTTAATTTTGTGAGAAGGTTGTGCTGTGTTCCTCTTTTTAATTCCTACCTCCACATTTTATTTGCATTGCTCAAATCTGCAGAGCACCGGTTGATTTTGCGGAGAGGCGTCGGGATCACTTCGCCAGATAACGTACCGTGACTTGCTTGCGATACTTCCCCTGACCGATCTCTACTCCTTCGCACCTTTGTTCTTAATCTATCCCTTTACAATTACCGCCATCTGAACCGCCATGTCTGCTTCACCAGACCGCAAGGCTGCCTCGCCTGCCGCCTCGCCCGAGCCCCAAGTCCACGAGCAAGTCGCAACCCCGGTTGGTGGTGACGACAACGAGCGCGAGGACTCTACTGAACCTACCGCTGAGGCCAAGGAATTCGTGGAGAATGATGATGATGATGAGCCACGTGGTGGAGACGACGACGAAGTTGACGATGACAAACTTTCAGACGACGAATCTATTCTGTCCGAGGTTGACGAGGCACAATTCGACAACTTCGATCCAGAGAATGTTGACGTCGAGGATCGCCCACAACTTGCTATTGATGAAGATAACTTGAAACTCATTGGCCGTCACAAGCGCAAGCGCACTGAGGATGGCGAGAGTCGTCCGCGCCGGAAGGAAGGTCGTCGCGAGAAGAAGAGCCGTCGAGCTGACGAAGGAGCCGATGAAGGAGGCCCATCTCGCCGCCGTGAACGCAAGCAGCGCGAGGATAAGGCCGATACAGATGAGGAGACTCTTGACCCGGAGACCCGTATGTTCTGCTCTTTACTGGCGACTGGTTTTCTGCCCCACGCAGCTTGTACTAACTGGGCTTCAACCATCAGGACGTCGCCGAGCCCTTGACCGCGCTATGGACGAGGCAATGAAGAAGCCGGCGAAGAGACGTTTCCGCAAGCAGGATGGCATTGTACGTCTTGCATCTGGTGACACGTACTCACTTACGTTTACTGACTGTACTACTAGGATTTGGAATCTATGGCAGATGCTGAAATCGAGGATATGCGCAAGCGCATGACCCACGCAGCGCAAATGGATGCAATCAACCGCCAAGAAGGAAAACCAGCTATGCACAAGCTCAAGCTCCTCCCCGAAGTCATTATGCTCCTCAATCGCAACCAGTACACCAGCGCCTTGGTCGACCCAGAGATCAACTTATTGGAAGCCGTCCGATTCTTCCTCGAGCCTCTGGACGATGGCGCGATGCCCGCCTACAACATCCAGCGCGACCTATTGACCGCTCTTACCAAGCTGCCTATCAACAAGGATGCTTTGATTGCCAGTGGTATTGGAAAAGTGGTTGTCTTCTACACCAAGAGCAAGCGCACCGAGCGCCGCATTAAGGAAATGGCAGAGAAATTGCTAGCGGAGTGGACACGACCAATTCTCCAGCGCAGCGATGATTATTCGAAGCGAGTCTACCAGGAGGCCGATTATGATCCTACGTATGTTCACTGCTCCACAGCCCCCCTATCATTCATTAACACCCCTATAGAAAAGTTGTCAGACGCGCTCCTCCCACTGCCGAGGAGATCCAAGCCGAAGCCCGCGCCCTCGAGATGCTCCCTCCTCGCCTTCTCAACCGTGCTCGTGTCGACCGTACCAACGTCAGTTATACTGTGGTTCCTCGCCAGACAGCTGTGCGCGAGACTCAGTTTGCGCGCCCCTTGGGTGCTAGTGGTGAGGACCGTTTCCGCAAGATGCAAGCCCGCCAGGCCGCGGCACGCAAGGCATCTCGTCGCTAGATTCGACTGTAAATTCTTTTCCATGGCTCCGGCCACCTTCGTTATGTGAGATAATTTTACGGTGTTTGGGGCGTTTCGGGATCAATCGGGGATTGAATAGGGATTTGGGAGTGTGTCACCTTTCACATTCCGAGTGGAATAAGCAGCAGAATCTTCAACGAATGAAATCCATAAGAAAACAATGAAAGTAAATTCTATTAATTTTCAAATATGCCAGAAATCTATAGGAAAAGTTCCCCAAATAGCCAGGCGGCAAGTAAGTTCCGTGCAAGACCGAGTGATGACCGGGGCCTATCACCGGAAGAAGAGCAGATCCCGCGATCCCGCAATTCCACACGTCATGCGATCCGGCTTTTGCTTTTTTGGTTTTATATCGGACAATTCGCCCTCGTCCTTCATCCAATTCACATACATTCACAATGAAAATTCTCACCAAAGAACAGGAAGAAGCTCACTATAAGTACGCAAGACATAGGCCCTACAATTCCCCATCACCCCATACTGACGAAATCCCAGCTCCGTCCTAAAAGGCGGCACAGTCGGCGGCCTACTCGGCCTTGCCGGCGGCGTCGCAGGTGTCCTACTTGCCTCACGTCGCTACCACACAATCCGCAACCTCACAATCCCAATGAAAGCCTTCCTGGTGACCTCCTCCGGTACTTTCACGGGTATTATCGCCGCCGACCACGCCTCGCGCGTGTACGAGAACGAGCAAAACGCCGCATACCAATGGTACGAGAATCGCGAAGAGCGTCTCCGCGCCGAGGAGATCCGCGGCCTGAGCTTCGTCGATCGCGCTACTGCCTTCGCCCGTCGTGAGAAATACAAGATCATCACCGCCACCTGGGTTGCCTCCATGGTTGGCTCGTTTGCGCTTGTCAGTCGCATCCCCGGTCTCAGTGGACAACAGAAGCTCGTCCAGGCCCGTGTCTATGCACAGGGTCTGACACTCGGTGTTCTCTGTGCTTCGGCTGCCTTCGAAATCTCGGATCAGCGTCGTGGTCGCGGCTTGCTGGACTCCAAGAAGAAGGCGGAAGCGGCTAAGGCTAAGGCTGAGGATGTTGAGGAGGTGCCTATTCGCCAGAGTGGTCAGCCTAATGAAGGTGATCTCTGGAAGGATATGGTTGCTGCTGAGGAGGAGCGCTTGAGCTCTAAGCACCAGTCTCTCTATGAATCTCACCAGAAGCAGGAGGCAAAGTCCGAGGAGAGTGATGAGGAGAAGGACTCCAAGACAGAGAAGAAGGACACTGAGTCCAAGAACAAGAAGAAGAGCTCCTAGATATCACTCTCTTCGTTGTTGCTTATCCCCCTCGACCGCAATTGGTCAAGGTCCATTGCAGCCATCGCTGCCCACTTTCTTTCTATTTCCTCTCAAGAGCCTGAAATTTCTGGACAACGATGATAGACTGGAGGGCGCGGTGACACTGCTTGCTTGGCGCCCTCATCGCCCGTACATATCCTACCCTTTCTTAAGCGTTTGTCTTTTTGTTCATGCCCCAAGGGTTCTCGAAGTACCCAAAAGTGACATCAGTCTGACTATGTCCACGTGTATGATTATATTATAGGCTGTGCCCTCTATCTCTCTTTCTCTACTCTTTAATGGAAATGAATCTACTGAAAAGTCGCATTCTATGACGTCATGTTATTGTTGGGTATTTGAGGTCTATGTGAGAATAAAATAAAATTTCAGCCAGATCAACCTTGATAATAGACCTATTCAGTCGTATTTATTTGATCGCCGACTGAAAATTTTCATCGCCAACTTAGAAAGTTTCATCTTCCAGGCGCTCCATGCGGCGGATCACACTTGGACTTTGGTCGTCGTCAAAGTCATCTGTGATGTCTCCAGCTCCAGCCGTAGCCAGTAAATCGGTCACGATGCGCTTAGAAGCCTCCCTTGCTAACAAGGCGAAAGAAGTTAGCATGAATGTAGTATTAAAAAGAAAACGTGAAAAAAGGGAACAAATCTTACCAGGCGTCCTCATCAACCGGCTCTGCGGAATGTGAAACTGCATTGTCTTGGGAGGACTCGGCCCAAGATCCTCATCATCATCATCAAAATCGTCGTCGCTATCCCACATAGCCGACTTAGCCGCGGATTTTTTAGCGGGTGTCAAAACACTCATGCCAGGCTTGGGAATGCCGCGCATGCGATTGCTGCTAGTCCGTCGCCTGCGGTTCGTGCCCGGGGTGTCGATGCCTTTGATGGGCGACGAGAAAATCTCCGAGTGGAGTTGTGGTGCCTCTGGCTCTGGACTGGAAATCGGCGAGTCGTCATACGCATATTTGGACGTAGTCTCGGCCGGCTTTGGGGTAGTGACGTTGAACTTTGATCGACTGTCCGTGCCGCCGCCCACATTGCGGAATCCCTTTCCGAGCGGCGTGGCTTGCACCCGGTATGTTTTGTCGAGCATTTGGTGCAGTACCGGGTCAGAGGTCTTCTGGTATCGACGGTCTTGAGTCTGTGACTGCGACGCGGGCGGGAGGAATGGCGAGGACATCGGGGTTGTGGCGGAGACGCCGCGTGGAAAGAAGAGCTGGCGGCCTGGAGTGGATGGGAGGGCTGAGGAGTCTGGGAGGTCGAATGGAGGTTCGGATTCATTGACTTGTCTCCTTAGGTTCTCATAAGAGGACGAGTACTCCATTGAGGAGGTTGTCATGTCGTCGTCGGCCGGCTGGTGGTGACCCGGAGCACGTGGAGTGCTATGGGAAGAAATCGCGAGGTCTGTGAGATCAAGATCGCCTGCCTGGTCACTGTGGGGTGTTTCATGGCGCTGGTAAGATGGCGTATCGTGGGACATGGTCTCGTCGAGGCTGGTGCTTTGGGTTATGTCGGTGGACAGCTCTTCCTCCGTGGCTGTGGGGTCCTGCATCGTTTCTTCATCGGTGTTTCTTTCTTCATAGCCGGATAGAGATACGTTGGCACTGGCTTCGAAGAATTGCTTCCAGAACTTCAGGGGGTTAGCAAAGCTGTCTATAGCGATGGATGCTAGTACCGCTGACCTTGGAACCTTCCCAAACATCTCGGGAATGCTCGGTATATTGCTCTACTAGAGGCAATATACTCGTAGTAACTATCCGATGAGCTTGACTGAAATTGTGGTCGATCTCTGTATGGACATATGACGATGAGCGGTCTGCTGGACTGTTTTGTTTACTTTTTTTGCCCTACCTTGGAGTGTAAGGGTGATGGACTGCTCCAATTTCTCAAGCTCCTCGGTGAGTGACAACGGCCGTTGGGCCTGCGATGGTTGGCGAGACATGATGGTATCACCCAGGTTCAATTGTACAATCGAGTTCAGAGATTGGAGCTTGCAATCACGTCCATCACTTTGCGACGCGGGGGGAACTTTACCTAAAGCGGTGTGTATTTAGGGCCGGTGATAAGGGCGTGGCGATTCACGTGACGGTGTAGGATAAGGTACAGAGATCAGCAAATCATCTTGTCCTGCTCCATAGATGAACAAGGTGAGTCCCAAACACATTTCAAAGGAAAGACCCAAGTACAATATTCGGGTTCATTATGCCAGCACCACTTGCAAAAGGTATGGCCCTCTATTTTACTGAACTTCTACGTCTTCCTCCCGGGTCATCCGGGCGGTGTACTCGGCCTTATCAGTTCCCCACTTGGTAGAGAGTGAAACTGACCCGTCATGTAGGACTCATTATTACTGTCTCCGTGCTTGTAGCAGCCGGCATCGCCGTGTACGATTCGCCGCAGTTTCAACAATGGGTTACCACGTCGCGGCGCAAGATCGCCTTGGCTCTGCACAACCTCGGCGATGAGATCCAACCTCAAAACATACCGTTGAGGGAAGACATTTCTATGACTGAAGAGACTGGTGAAACTGCCGAAAACCGCAGACGGATTGCTCGTGCGGAGATTATGCGACGAGGAGCGCTCCTTGAATCACGACGGAAGTCCAGCCAGGCAGACCAGTCTCATGGTAGCTTTGATGCTCTCGTCGACAACGAGGGCAATCTGCGTAAACAAAATGACCACGAATCCGATACTCAGTCCAACAAAGAATTTACTGCTAACTCAACGGGAGTTGACCTGGGTACTTCGGAGCCTCTTCGGCGAGGTGGAAAGCAAGTCGAGGCCGAGCCTTCGACTACACCGGATCGGAATCAGCTGCATATCGACATCCCCTCGTCCGCTGCCTCGAACCATCCTTCCGAATCTACAATTCAATTCACGCCTAGCTCTGAAACACCCGAGGGGGATAGTCTCTTTGATCCGTATTCCCCCAACTCTCCCTTGTCTGTCTCTGGCTCCAGCCACACAGAAGATCACCAGCAGGTATATTATGCGCACCCTGATACGCCAAGCAACAGAACCCATGAACGCGATCACCTTGCTGAGCTAGATGGTTTTGGCCACGAGAGTGTTCAATCTCACAATGATATTTCGGCCGCCCCTTCTACTAGTGGAAGTTTTAGCCACGTCGGAGGATTTGAGGATGAAACATCAGATGGCAGTCTTAGTGACCTTGGCGGGCGATCTATTGGCGGTGCGGCTACTCCAGCATGGTCTGACGTGGGTAGCGTAATTAGCAATGAGGATGCTGGACATCATCAGTTGCTCTGATACACGGGACTTTATGGGTAAGGGGCATGGATGAATGGATGGGCTTGGCTCGGGGGTTTTGCTAGTATGGTGTTCGGTGTTCGGCTTTTTTGAGCTTGGCTGCGATGTTTGTTGCGATACAAGGTATCTGTTTTAATTGAATACGAAGGGATCCATTCCTTGCAATACTCCTAGTAATACCGTAATATACATAACCCAAGAACGGATGTTTTACATGCGGTATGAAGTTCAAAAGCAAAGGCTGATCTGCCCTCCCATGTGTAGCCAAACCAGTTCAGGAATTTGGTAGAAAAGCTTGAATATTTAAGCGTGACAATTGTATAAGAATTCCCCTGAAACATGATTGGCGCAATCAGAGCCAATCGGGACCGATTGCATTCATATGATAAAACTATACCAGGTGAGGTCCACATATACATCAACTAGCTTAGGTGTCATGTAGAGGCTTTATTGGGATTGGCCGGCCGAGATACCCGCTCGTAAATCTAGAGAACTTGGAATCAACCTGGAAATTCAAGATACAAAAAACCGTCAACAGCCAATTGGCAGATCTGAGAACATCCACATTGTCTATGACGTCGCCGCCACACGGCTCGCGGCCCGAAAGTACAAAGATACCTAATTATAGTATGCAATGAGGATTATTTTCCCTTGCAATTATATCTTCACATTTACAACTTCACAATGGCTACATTCATCACACATCAAATTATGGGCACTACCCTCCATACCACTGATAGGTATACAAACTTGCAAGCACGAGGTCTTGGTGCCTCTGGGATAATCTGGTATAGTATATCCCCTCCTCTAATCGATTGTAACTAACCAGTGTTAGCTCGGCGCGTGATTCGATGGCCAATCGAACAGTTGCTATAAAGAAAATAAAGAATCCTTTTGATAGCACTACCCTGGTCAAGCGCACGTATCGCGAGATTCATTTGATGGCCAATCTAAAACATGATAATGTATGTGTGGAAGAAGAGACTCAGCGTGAATGTGAAGACTGACTGCCAATAGTTGATTAACATGACGGATATCTTCATCTCACCAGCGGAAGATCTGTAGGTGAATCACTCGATTTCCCAAATCCAATTATATACCAATCATGTTCAAACACAGTTATGTTGTGATGGACTGTTGCATGACAGACCTTCATCGTTTAATCCAATCAGCATCAGAGCCATTGGAGGACAAGTTTATCCAGTTCTTCACCTACCAACTGCTGGTATGTCTGCATATGCTATCTGGCAAATGACAGTGTGACTGACTATTCCAGCGAGGGTTGAAATACATTCACTCTGCCGGCGTGGTCCATCGTGATCTCAAGCCTAGCAACGTATTGGTCAACGAGAACTGCGACTTGAAGATTTGCGACTTTGGTTTAGCCCGAGAACAAGACCACAAAATGACTGGCTATGTCGCCACACGGTACTACCGAGCTCCAGAGATCATGTTGACTTGGCAGAGATACGGCGTAGCCGTGGATATTTGGAGCACTGGTTGCATCATCGCAGAGATGATTTTGGGGAAGCCACTTTTACCAGGCAAAGACAATGTGCATCAGTACAGACTGATCACTGAGATGTTTGGGAAGCCACCAAAGGAGGTCATGGAGACAGTTTACAGTGACATTGTATGACAAAATTCCAAACGGCAGTGTCAGATATGGAAGAGAAGATACTGACTACAAATTATAGACGATGAAGTTTGTGAACTCTCTACCTCAAACGAAACCCCGGTCACTTGGAGCTACTCTGGGAGATACTGACCCCGAAGGTATGCCCGTTTGAATCTTGATTGATTGTGCCTCCTGATTTGTTTACCTCCGGTGATACTGACTTTTGCTAGCCATTCATCTCTTGGAGAAAATGTTGGATATAGACCCGCAAAAGAGAATCACAGCGGCGGATGCCCTAGCCCATCCATATGTTTCGACCTACCACGACTCCAACGACGAACCCGAGTGTGAGAAACAAATTGATTGGTCTCTGTTGGATTCAGAAATGACTGCAGATGAATGGAAGTGTAAAATGTATGTATTTTCCCAATCCGTGGCGAATTGATTGCTTACAATTTGAAGGTATTCCGAGATCTTGGATTATCATCATGGTTCTTGCAACTGGGTAGATAATGACCCCAAAGCCCACGAGAGCAATTTTGAGAATTGGCTGCATAAGGAGATGACGGTGGACTCATATTGATGCTCTGAGAGGCTATCTCTTATTGTCCTGTATAACAGCGCGTGAATGAATCATTTGAGAATAATCATTTAGCTATTATTGCAAGATTTAATGTCTTTAACACTTTATAAAGCCGACAATTACCTCGGTTACACTACATACTTGATTTCCTCTGCCGGGTGAAGCTTTCCTATCTTAGCTACCGCCACTTTTATGAGGGCGCTCAGAGTCAGTTGAAGACGAGGAGCTGACATATAAAACATAGCCACAATTGATCGAGCCTCCAAATCAGCTACGGAGTATCCAGGCTTTATACTCATTCTCTCACAACGTTTGTTATGTTTATTTCGACACTGTACGCATGAATAAAATAAACTTGTATTCACCAAATCCTTGCTAATAATAGGTGAAATTAAGAAAAAGCCCTTGCTCTTGAAGATAATCTCCACTCCACAAACATTTCAGAGCCGCTTCATACTTTCGATCAACGCACCGCGGTTGTCAGGATGGGTATCTCGGATATCCGCCCCAAGAATCATACCTGCCTGTAGATTGCGAGACTCATCGGCTGAACCCTCAAAGGTCCTGTTCGTCACAAACTCATCAGGGAGCTCACATCCCGAGACACATTGAGCGAGGGTTTTGAGCGTGGATTTGTTCAAATATTCACCACCGGACGGCCAGAATTTTCGAGCCTCCACCTTCTCAGTTATATCACCCAGATTCAGTCGCTTCGCGTGGAGGTAGGAGATCAGGAAACGGAAATAGAGGTATCTTCGGCGAGGGCGATTCTCAGAAAGGAAACGTAAAATGCGGTTATCGAGGTGCTGCATAATTGTTGGCCTATACTCTTCAATTTTTAGCCTGGAAATAGAATAATAGAACTGACCTTGACCTTAATTATTTCCCCTGACGTTGCCTGGAAAATAAAGTTCTCATTTTTCGATTCATCTAACACAACACATCTCCACGTGGTTGGTTCGGTTATCGAGCCAGGAATTGGAATGACAGCAATTACTCCTTGGTCGAGTAGGGATTCAATGGGACTGTACAATAACAGTGCTATGAAAAATTTCGTCAGATCAATCTCTTCTCAAACGGAAAGGGTATTCTTACAATTGCGTGGGTCAGAGAACACGCCGTCCTGAACTCCGAAAATATGGGACACTTCTGGTTGGCTTAAGGACTTAAGCACCAGGTGAGCTGCCTTGACTGTAGAGGCGTGGATGAAAAACCCGAGAACGTGACAGAAAGACATGTCTCCCACACACTCGGTTGTCAAGCCGTAGTATCGATTCACTTCCTTCCTGAATTTTTTCTGGTCGAAGGGTTGTTTCCGAGTCTTCGCAGCCGTGCCCATAACACGTGGGATGATCGTATCCATGTATGCTCTCTGAACAAGTCCATCGTCTAAGGGTTCGGTGATCCTTCTGCGCTTAACCTCCACTTCTAAGTCTTCCTCGATCAATGTCCGTTGGCGCTTGATCACATTGAGAGTCTGCGACGCTGCTCGGAATCTTTTTAAGATGGGATCAATCTCTGTCTGGAAAGCATCACTGCTGAGTAGCCCTGAGGATAAAATCTCATCAAGGCCCTCTCTGATGCAACTGGTGTACTCCTGCTCGTCTTCAAGTGCAGCGATCTTGGCGTCAAGGAAGTCCGATGTGGCTGACTGCAACGAGTCTTGCGAAATCTGAGAGAGTCTTGATGAATTGCTGACCGACCTCTCCTGATGGCCACGTAACGCCTGACGGCGGCTTAGTGGCATCAGGGAAGAAACTCTCTCCGGGATTGGGAAAGGGGTCTTATCTGGCATCTTGAGTGATGAAATAAATAGTAATTAAAGAGGATATTGATGAATGAAAGCAAAGATGAAAAGAAGAAGAAGGGGTAAAAAGAAAGGAGAGTTATATTTACAACATATGTTCGTCATGATTTCCAAACCAGGTAGGTGCAATGTTCTCTTATTATCTACTTCTATTTACGTTGAGAACTTTGGTTACCTACCGACGCTCTATTAGGCATCGCACCTGCACCCTTTTCAGGCTACAGCTCTTCATGTTACCACCTATCTTTTCATCCTGTGCCTTTACGTATGATTTTGGTTAAAAAAAAGAATGTAAGGACTTGATTGAACCCGTAGATATACTTCATCTTGGCATGCGATCAACCAATAGGCGTGCTTCGTTGCTATGACCCTAATCACAAATTTCTCCACGCATCGTCTCCTTGGCTACCGCGGTCTCTATAATTGGGATTTCAAGCGTGGGTCTATCCATGAACTACAAATTCACAGTCATTACACCGTTGGCACAGAAGTCTAATATAATTGTGTCTAGTCCTTCTTGGCCTTTGCTCGGTGACGCTCGGTGAGTGAGACTCAGTGAGCAAATCAGAGCGCTCAGGTGGTCTGAGTGAGCAGGACATTCTATGTTGTATATAATGATCAAGTGATGCTCAAGGAGCGATTTCAACGATTATGTAAGGCTCAGACGCGTGCTCAGTTTTACTCAGTGAGCAACAAGCGGCAAGAGGTGAGCACAAAACGGAAAAGGAAAGCCAAGAAGTGGCAGCGGAAATAAGTAACTACATAGGCATCTCGAGGCCAAGTCCATACGACTGCCAGTAGACCTCGTTGAGGTACTAGGTACTTCCTATAATGAGGGATTACTATGATAGTTAAAAGTACTTAGTACTTCTTGGCTGGATAAACTGATAAGCGAAATATGCCTCGGCATCTCGGCCAGCCCGAAGCGGAGACCTTCTCTTTCTCTTCTCCCTGTCTTCATACTTCTTCTAACTCCTTTTCCTTCTTTCTGCTGATTTTGTTCCTTTCTTCTCCATCTACCTCTGTACAATTTGTAAGTTCCTCTCTCGGCCAAATCTCCACACTTCCCCGCAATAACACCGAAAACTTCTATACCATTACTGGCAACTTGATCAAAGAGAAGCTATGTAAGAGAGGAAAAGCAGAAAACTGACTATATAATTTGTTCAGTCTCTCCACCTTTATACATCATGGCCGCAGATCGTTTAAGCTCGCTCCTGAGCCACCTCAAGCCCGGCGCCGCCAACGGCCTCTCTGCTATGTAAGCCCTCAGACGAACTCGGTTATGTGTCATGAGTCTAATAAGCAAACATAGTACACAGAAGAATCCCGACGATGTGGTCATCACCCTAGCAATCCGCACACCGCTGACCAAGGCGCGTAAGGGCGGGTTCAAGGACACAGAATTGGACTACATGATCTACGCCTTGTTGAAGGAGACTCTGGCCAAGTCACAGATTGACCCTGCTCTGATCGAGGATGTTTGCCTCGGCAACGTATGTTTGATCTTTTTCTCCCTTCCACAAATATATATTGACATGCTCTAACCCCCAAACAGGTTGGCGAAGGCAAAGCCGCCTACATGGTCCGCGCTGCAGCTCTTGCCGCTGGTATCCCCCACACAGCCGGCGCCTCATCCGTGAACCGCTTCTGCTCGTCTGGGCTAAAGGCTGTTCAGGATATCGCGGCCCAGATCCAACTGGGCGCCATCGACATTGGTGTCGCTGTAGGTGCCGAGCTGATGTCCGCCGCTGGCGACCGTCTGGAGAAGCCCTTTAATGAGGAAGTCCTGCGCAACCAGGAGGCCGCCGACTGCATGCAGCCCATGGGCCAGACATCCGAGAACATCGGCAAGGACTTTGATATCCCCCGCGAACAGCAGGATCGATATGCTGCGGAGTCGTTCCGTCGTGCTGAGGCTGCTCAGAACAATGGATGGTTCGCTGATGAGATTGCTCCCATTTCTGTCAAGGTCAAGGACCCCAAGACTGGCGAGGTTAAGCAGGTGACTCTGTCTCGCGATGATGGTATTCGCCCCGGTACTACCTTCGAGTCGCTTTCCAAGATTCGCCCTGCGTTCCCAGAGTTCGGTGACAAGTCCACTGGTGGAAATTCCAGCCAGGTTACCGACGGTGCCGCATCAGTTCTTCTCATGCGCCGCTCTAAGGCTATCGAGCTGAACCAGCCTATCCTTGCCAAGTTCTGTGGTGCTACCGTTGCCGGTGTGCCCCCTCGCGTGATGGGTATCGGCCCAACTGCCGCTATCCCCAAGCTGCTGAGCAAGTTCCAGCTTGACAAGAATGATATCGATATCTACGAGATTAACGAGGCTTTCGCCTCTATGGCCGTCTACTGTATTAAGAACCTTGGACTTGACCACGCCAAGGTCAACCCTCGTGGTGGTGCTATTGCCATTGGTCACCCACTCGGCGCAACAGGTGCGCGCCAGATCGCGACCATTCTGAGCGAGGCTCGTCGGACAAAGAGTAAGGTTTTGGTCACTTCTATGTGTATTGGAACTGGACAGGGTATGGCCGGTCTCTTTGTCAACGAGCAGTTGTAAATATTCAGAGATTAGTCTAATTACGCGACAAATTATACGGTCTCCAATGTACAGAAATGGGTTCATTACAAACGGAGAGTATGGTATCAGAGGCTATGTACATATGTAGGTTAAAAGCAGGAACTCATAAATCATGAAAAAGATAGTGCGCCAAATGAGCAGCCATGATATCACTTAGCATCATTTTGCTTCCCGGTCTGGTTCTCCCTCTTCATCCTCTCCTCCGCAGCCCGCGCCATGATTTCTCTACGAGACAGTGTCCCGCCAGAAGCACCCTGGCCTCCAGTCGAGTCGCCCTGCAATCCACCGAGGACAAACTCTCCACCAGTCCACCCACACTCATCAACAAACTCCTCCCCATCTTGCACACTATCCCAATCACCAGGATTATAAAATTCCTGATTAGACAACTGATTCCCACCAGATTTCCAATCAGCGCGATCAACCTCCTTCTCAATCTGGGACGTCAAGTCCCAGAAGTCGCGGTCATGAGGCCCGAACACACAATGCGCAAGCTCGTGACACAGCGTCTTCCGAATGGTACGGTAATCACGGTATCCGTCATAAGCATCCGTTCGCAAACGTAACTCGATCACCTCGCCTTTATTTCGGTTCAGACCTAGCGTCCGCGACTCGCTGGTCGTGTGTTCCGCTGGGTTCATTTCCGTCAAGAGCGGGACGGAGAACTTGTGCTTTGTCATTGCAGCGCGGATGCCTGGGTCATCGCGCAGGCGTTTGAGAAAGTCGAGAGAGCGGTCTGGATTGGGGAGGTAGGATAGTGGGAGGAGACGGTGGAAAGTGTAGTTGTTGTTTGAGGATGAGATGGTGTGGATGCCGCCGCTACGGCTGGAGGATGGTGTTTGTTTATTGCGTCTTGCGGCACTTAGTGCGGCAGCTCGTGATTCTTGTCGTCGCTGTTCGCTGGCGGATTGTTCGTGCAGATCGGCGATTGCTTTGGCGGGGGTGCCGAGAAGGGTGATCTTGAACTTTGGGGAGGAGGTTTGGAGAATTGCGTCGAGCAGTGTTGGTGGGAACGGTGCTTTCTGCATTCCTGGCTTTGGGGCTATGAGGAGCTTTTGGTTGTCGATGGGGATGTTTAGGACGCGCTCTAGCTCGGAAGAGAGGTCTTGTAATGTTGCTGAAGCGGAGACTTGGATAATATGTGCGGTCCCATGGTGGTGGACGGTCAGTTCCTTAGAGGAGTCCATTGTAGGGTACGGTTAGATAGGTGGTTGTAGAGGAAGAGCTCGTGAGAGAGGAACTCGCGACAAGAAGAATCCGCTTATATGGCCCGAATAGGCAAGGCGCTGGAGAGTTCGACCCGGTTCTACGGGGATAGGTTTGTCAGCACGGAGATAAGCCAGCTACCACGTGATATGTGATATGTGTCTCAGGCAGAAACATCTACAACTAGATAAAGATTGGTCACATTCGTCCTCATCCCTTACACTGAACAAAATATACATTGGATCATCAGCGTGGTCTCCGATAGGTTGATACCACCCCAGAAAAAGATAAAACCTGTAGAAGATAGCTCAAACTCCAAGAAGATTTGAGTCATTCAAGTAAGCCTAGGACTCACGGTTATAGATATCGTTATATTTCGACAAAGATTGTCGTAGAAGCAAATCGGCCTCAGCGCCTTGGAAGCGTGCAGGATTCAGGGCATCCAGGAGAGCCTTGTCTTCTGAAGTTGTCGAAAGTTCACCATCGCCAAGAATCTCTCTTGCCAATAGCTTAGCAGTACCAGCAGCAGTAGTAACCCAAATGGCTGCAGCAAGCCACAGATTTTCAACATCAGGAACTCGACCAGCAAAGGGCAAGTTGTCAGGTGTGACAGAAAAGATACCATTGAATGGCTTGTCCGCAACCCAAGGCTCTTCTGGATTTGCGTTCTGTCCCTGGACTTGGAACTCAGTCTTGTTTTTCAGGTGCGAAGCAGCGTCCGACAGCACTTTATCGAAGCTTGATGGCCAAGCTCCAATGGCGCTTTCAATGGGATCAAGTTGCATCGGGGGATGGTCATAACTGCCTAGGCCATCACGATCTCCATGGTCCCTTGCATAGACGTGGTGGTCCAGCCAGCGAACGAATGGATACGAGGGACCGACACGTCTAGCCCGAGTCGGAGTAAACGTGTAAGGGTGTGCAACGGGGACAATAGGAATGGGAAGTTGCGTAACAGGGGTGTTGCTGCTGGAAACCAGGGAAGATGTCCAAATGCCAGTAGCGAGAATCACAGTACTGCCTTCCGAGTTGATATCTCCATTAGCGGTCTGAATAGTCGTCATCTTCGATGTTTCGCTGTCCTTCTTGGTCACAAAGCCTGTGACGGTGGCTTCCAAGAAATCCACTCCTCTGGCGCGAGCTTGGTCCACATAGTAGGAAGTAATGACGCCTGCATTTGCGGTTCCATCTGATGGGAAATGCAGACAGTGCTTAATCGAGTTGGCATCGATAAAGTCTGGGGCAAGAGAAGCGGCTGCTTCCGGAGTGAGAAGCTCCGCAGGTAGACCAGCCCCTTGTGCTGTTTTCTGTCGGTGCTCTAAGAGCTCTAACCCAGAAGGCGCAGAGGAAAGTTCCAAGCCGCCGACTGTTTCAAAGCCACCTGGAATTGTGAGGTAGTCCTGGACAGTATCTTTGGCCAACTGAGTCAAGACCGGCGACTCATTGAGTTGACCAACGAATCCTGGAGCGTGGCCGGTAGAGCCCACTAGTGTTTCTAGGCTTTTGTCGATGAGTATAATATGCTTTTCACTTTTGGGCTTGGAAAGATGGAATGCGAGGGCTGCGCCGACGATGCCGCCTCCAACGATAATGATCCGAGAGGAGGGATTGTCATTCAATTGCGCAATGTTCAATGTAGACGGCATCTTGAAGTAGATTTATATGGTACGCTATATGGTACAGTTCAGTATGTAATTGACTAATGACAAAACTAGCAATGTAAATATCTGCACTTTTGTGGGGTGACTGGGCAGTCATGTGATCTTCCTGGTAAATTACCCAGTAAAATGTTTGTATTCAATTGACTTTCGACCTTTCAGCCCAGACCAACTCATTTTATATCTAAAGTCTGTTAGTTCGCCACTATTAGTTAGATAGTCTTGGCTAGATAGTCTTGGCTTCTATAAGGGCGAGGAGCTCTATTTTGTTGCTAAAGTGGTAACAGTCTAATTTCAACGCCGTTCTACCTCATATGTCCACCATATAACTTGCAGATATATCCTTCGGAAACTTCCGAGTACTCCGTAGGGGCACAATCTTTGACTTGAGAGGTAGAGAGCCGAGAACTACACGGAGTCTGAAATATACCGCGGGTTTCAGCTGAAACTACAAGCGACATAAAATTATAAGATCAAATAACTCCCTGTGCAAACTGGCTCAAATATATCGCCTGTCACGCTCTAGGTCCCCATAGCTACAGCACTTCTGCTGACACCCCTAGGGTGACCAGTTAGCATAGCAAACATAGCATTCATTATATGGGAGGAGATGAGGCAAAGACTACAAATATCGTAGAAACGTCCTATCACGGCTTTATGTCGCTAAGGGACTGTTTTCCGCAGATACCATGAGAGTAATGACAATCTCTTACAGTCAAGAGACAAAACCTTTATGATAATCTGCTGAAAGACCAAAATCGGTGGGTTAGCACCTCGCCGTTTGTCTGTCATGGATTAGCTACCAGATGCCTCGTTTGACTATGTCTAATCAGTCTTGCAGACAATCAATCTTTCAGATGATCAATCTTCCTTTCTCCCCCTTCTCCGGTAAACCCTCATCTCTATTTCATCACCCGCCCTCTTTCCTTACACTCCTTTGACTATTTCTTCTTGGCGCCAAACTTCTTAAGATGGAGCACGATCAAGACAAGAGAATGATCCTCCAACTTCTTCTTGAGGATCTGGATGACCTCGAAAGCAGACAGAAAGGAAAACAGATCGTAGGAAAGGAAACAGATCTCGAACTTGCCATCGCGTGCTTGAGGGAGGATATCCGGACCACCCAAATTTCCATTAATGACGAGATATTGGCACTTAGCACGAGTACTGCAATTGCCACTGATCAAAAGCTACTAGCATCCCTCCAACGCGAGGAAAGACTTGCTAACCAGGACCGTCAATTCGCTCTCGGTTTGATAGATGGAACCTCGACCTCTAATGACGTTTCAAATTCCTTGACAGTAAACGAGAGCATATCGCCAGACGACGATGAAGACGCCGTTTCCATTGTTATGGGGGATCTCATGGGTCGGATGGGTCTGACCGATAACGCATCTAATAACGGGGAAGGCTCCTCACGCATACATCCATCTCGAACAACCAGCATCATGAAAGAATGTGCTTCCTGTTATACAAACATCGAAATCATCATTTTTAAGGGTCCATGCGGCCATGAGTTCTGCCGTAACTGTACGAGACAGATGCTTCTCGGTGCTATCAAAGACGAGGAGCTATATCCGCCTCGTTGTTGCGGCAATGTTGTGCCACCGGGTGTTGCATTGAGAGTTCTCGACTACGAGGAGCTTCGAAATTTTAGTGAAAGAGCCCTTGAATGGACTGCAAAGGACCGTCTCTACTGTGCCGAGCCAACATGTTCGAAATTCATTCCTCCATCTGCCATCCAACATGAGCATGGCACTTGCCCTGAATGTCACCAGCAAACTCACGTACCATGCCGCTCCCTTGCACACCCTCGTGTCGATTGCCCAACGGACGAACCTCTCCATGCTGTGCTGGAAATTGCGAATGCTGAGAAGTGGAAACGATGCTTCAACTGTCGAACTATGGTAGAGCTCCACCACGGCTGCAACCATATGACATGTCGGTATGCAAGCAATCCTTGTTAAACAGAGTGATATAGTACGCGAAGAAAGTTAATGATTAGTAGATGCGGCCGCGAATTTTGCTACGTGTGTGGGTTAGTTTGGAAATCATGCGACTGTCCACTTTGGTACGAGGACAGACTTGAGGAAATGGCAATTCAAGCAGTAGACGAAGAAGTCCCGACTGATGCAGATATCGAAGTCCGCCAGGACGCATTTGACCGGATAGTTGAGGGTCTGCGCCAACACGAGGACAATGGGTGCCAGCATCACAGGAACTGGCAATGGGCTTGGCGCAACACTGGGAGTTTGAAATGTGACGTTAGCAACCATTATCTACCTGAGTACATTTTCATGTGCAGAAACTGCCGGATGCGAGCCTGCAACCGTTGTCGAAGACACAGGTTGCGGTAGGTATCTGCTGCTGCTGTTGATGTTCCAGGGCTGTTGTCTTGTACGAAAAGATTAAGAAGACAACTGAAGGAGAACTGAAGGACATGGCTTTGATGTGATTTTTGGTGGCAGACTTTCGGAATAATTCATACACAGTGTGTGTAGTAGCAGTAGAAAGAAAGGCGTCTTTTCGACTGTATCTTTACAAGTTGTCATTTTCTCTTCGAATCTTAGGGCTCCTCGAGCCAATCCGCCTGAGAGTATTCTGCTCGCAATTTGGGCGTAAACCTCAGGCCAGGAAGAAAGCGAGTCTGATACTTGCCATGCCAAGACCAGCATTTCCATGTCCAGAGATAGTTACTATTCATATGATCTCAAGAATTTAAGACAAAGGCATTGAGTATATTTTCATCTATTCATAAACAATCAAGGGGAATAGGAACGATCTACATCGGAACCGTTTGCCATTAGAACAAAAAAAAATTGGCCAACGATCAAAGGCGATCGAAATATCTAGCTCCATGAAACATCTCTTAAAAAATAGGTCCTTTTCGTCATAACGCGGCGATTCACCTCGATCCAAATGTTAGTAGTGGATCATGTTGGATGAGAGCAAAACGCGGTTGGGATTGGTTTTTCCAATCCCGTTCAGAAAACAAAAAAGAAAAAAAAAAACTTCAGTAAATCATTCCAATATCATGGGGATGCATTTACTGCTTCTCCTCAGTCTCGCCCTCTTCGGCGGGGGCATCCTTCATCTCAGCATCACCCTCGGTCTTCTTGGCGTTCTCTTCGGCCTTCTTGGCCTCAAGCTCGGCGCGACGCTTAGCGGCGGCCTCCTCGTCAGCCTTGCGGACGGCGTCACGCTCAGCCTCGACCTTCTCCTTGTAGCGCTGGATGATAGGGCCGGCGATGAAGCGGATGTCGTCCATCTTGGCGACGTAGATGGACTTGGTGGCGTCCTCACCATCCTCGTAGAGCCAGTCCTGGAAATGATGCGTTAGTATGGTTGATAGTGATTGAAAACAAATGCTAGTTTGAAACTCACCTCGGTATCCATGAGCTTGGACTTCAGCTTCTCCTTCTCCTCCTCGCTGGCGAACTCGGAGTACACGCCGTCGATCTTGTCACGGAGCTCGTAGATGGAGGCCTCGAGCTCGTTCTTCTTCTCGTCGGTCTCGGCGACAAGCTTATCCTCCATGTACATAGCGTTCTCGCGCTCGGTCCAGGCCTCCTTGAGGTCCTGGGCGAAGCCACCGGTGACGGAGACAATAGGAAGATCACCCTTGCGAACCTGCTTCTTGACCTTGCGGGTCTTCTTGGGCTGCTCCTCCTTGGAGTCGGTGTCCATGTCACCCTCCTTCTTCTCCTCCTCAACGGGCTCCTCGACCTCCATATCCTCGACGTAGTATCCAGACTCGACGTTGAGAATTCCGTGTAGGTTGAGACGGGCCTTGAGCTTGCAGATCATGAAGTCGTTGTTGGCATCAGCCTGGACACCCTTAACGGAGAAGCGGCCAATCCAGGGGTTGACCTTGCCGGGCATAGCATCAATATTGGAGTAGCGGGCCTCGAGATCGAAGGGCTGCTTGCGGTAGAAAGTGAGGATCTTGGTGGAAGGCATAACGTTGCCACGGCTGAAGACAGTGAGGCTGGTATCCTCATCGGGGATCTCGGGGGACTGCTCCCAGGTGAAGTCGATGGGGTAGTTGACAATGTCGTGAACGGCGAAGTCACGGACACGGAAAACAGGGGAGAGGGTAGCACAGCTGAAAGCACAACCGCGGGCAATGGCCTCATCCTGGTTCAGGGTGAAGGACAGACCCTTGCCGAAGAACTTGCTGATGGTATCCTTGATAGAGGGGACACGGGTGCAGCCACCGACCATCTCGATGTGGTCAATGTCCTCGACCTGGAGCTTGGCCTCGGAGAGTGCCTGCTCCAGAGGAACGGTCAGGCGGTCAAGGAGAGGCTTGACCAAGAGCTCGAGCTCCTCACGCTTCATCATAGCGCGGACGTCAGTGTCGTCCATAAGGGACTCGACGCTCAGAGGGGCAGCGGCGTTAGCGGACAGGACCTTCTTGAGCTTCTCGGCGGCAACCAAGGTACGGGTCCAGGCCTTGCCGTTAGTGTGGATGTCGACCTTGAACTTCTCCTTGAACTCGACGGCAAGGTGCTCGGTCAGAGCCTTGTCGAAGTTACGGCCACCGAAGTGACGATCGTAGGCGGTGGCCTTGACGTTGAGCTCACCCTTGCGGAACTCAACAATCGAGGCAGTGTAGTCGGAGTAACCGATATCGACGAACATCACACGGCGGGGCTTCTCCTCGGGGCCGGGCAGATCCAGTTTGGTAATACCATAGCCGAGGGCGGTGGCAGTGGTGTCGTTGATAAGACGGAGGATGTTGAGACCAGCAATGTCACCAGCGTCAAGCATAGCACGGCGCTGCACATCAGTGAACCAAGCGGGAACACTGACGGTAACATCGGAGACGGGAGCGCGCAATTCCTTGGCGGTGATGTCCTTGATCTTGGAAAGGTAGGAAGCGACCAACTGAGTGGCTGTGAACTTCTCCTTCTTGCCGAGGTAGTTGACCTCGACACCGGCCTGGCCATCGACGTCGACCAGGGTGCATGTGTTGTATTCCTGCTCGATGGCGACATCGGGGTCGTCGAAAGAACGGCCGATCAGGCGCTTGAGGGAGCTGACGGTGTTCTTCAGGTTAGAGATCTCCGCGCCCTTGGCGGCCTCACCGAGGTTACGGCTGCGAGCTGTGAATCCAACGACGGAACTAGAACAATTCAAATCAGTATTCTGTTATCAGTCGACAGCGGGGGGAGGGGGTTGGAACGTACGGAGTCTGACGGTTAGAAACCTCATTGGCAATCTATAATGTCAACAAAAAAAGCAGTTAGCGCAATTGATCGGATTTGTGAGGTCATTATTCATCTCGACAGAAGACCGTAAAGTCCGCATCGAGACCGTGGGGTGACACGTACAATATCAATGCCCTTGTTGCGGGCAACACCAATCTTGGTGCTTTGCGCACCCAAATCAATGCCGACGACACTCATTATGGAAGAAAGTAGGGGGGTATGGGGAGGTAGGGAGGTAGAGAGAGATGGAAGTTTCAAAGGAAAAAAAGTGAGAGAAGTCGGAGGGGAGAATTTGCACGCCACTCCACTATTATTGGAGGGGCGATGACCAAGTGTCAAGCGGTCTGGCTGATCTTTAGGCGCCGAACTAAGGAATTTCGAATTTGGGGTATAAATTGATAACGTAAAATGTGTCAATGTGTGCTTTCTATCTTTTCATTTCCTTCTTTCTGACTGGTCTATATAGGTTTTTCTTACCACTTGGACAATGGTACCTCATCGAACCTTCTGGCGGTTGCTGGATTACCCACCTTCACCGCCCGTTTCCTGCCAGCAGAATAAAAATTGATCACCGCTCTATGAGGAATCTATGGTGGATCATTGGCGACATCATATACTTTGGAAGGTATTTTGAATTCAAAATCCTATAGAAGCGAGCATTATCGCCATACTAAAAAAAACATAAGAATAGAATGATCCAAAAAGCTATGCCAAGGTGAGTCGGCCGGACAACAAAAAAAAAAAAAAAAAAAGGAGAAAAAAAGAGAAAAAAAGAGAGAAAAAAAGGAAGACGAAAGGTGACGTCATGCGCATGGTACATATGTTCTTCTTAGACAATAATATCATAAGGTGGGGTCACTGGGTCTTCACGGGGTCTGAAAAGTAGCTCGGCGCCATGACTTACGGCTCTGAGACTGGACCAGAACGACTCTGGTATGATCCTGGCGGGTGGGTGAGCCCCAGGTCACGCTCGGAAATGGGCTGGACGACCCCATTAAAGTGGTTCTCCAAATAGTGGCCATCGAGGCTCACCGAGCCCGATGCCCGACCTTGGCGAGCACAATAAAGTTTCTTTTGGTCTTCACTCATCAGGAGGTTGTCCACGTTTTGTGGAGTGGCGATCGAACTAGAGCCGCAATCCGATGATGCACTGATAGAATCGGTTGAATGAGAAAAGAGAGGAGGTAATCGGTGCTGGGGATTGCCTGGATTTTCCATCGCGTTGACCATTCGTGTGAGTGCGGGCCCACGGCCGGTTGCGTTGACATAAAATTCATCAAGTAGCTGCTTGGCAGTGGCAGGTGCAAATCGACCTTCCATCTTCTCCGATGGGCGGATGGGGACGGACCCCCGACGCACAAGACTGGTGCGGAATGTATTCACGTTCACATTGAACTCATCGCCCTGCTCTCTTGCCCGTTCAACTGCTTCTCCTGGCGTGGTATGGTCATCAGCAGTGGCAGCATCGGCTCGTGGTCCACCCCAGGTTCGCTGACCGGCTGTGAAAATCCCATAGACCATGTAAATCCAGTTGAAGAACGGGTTCACAACGAACATCATCGGGTAAAGCCAGGCTTTATAGCGTCCGAGACGGAGGCCAAAGTATAGCATGAGTAGATAATTCAACCCCAATGCGACCCCCATGAATCCCACGGGAAGATCATCCACCTTCTTTGAGGTTGTAAGCAGTGCGATGATCATGATAAAAAAGAGCAGTGCGGTCGTTCGAATTGTGTTCTGCATGAATCGAACCAGACACAGAAGGGGATAGCGCTTCCAGAGGCGAGCATCAGTAATCATGCAAACTTCGTTGGTGATGAAACCTAAAAACCATCGTCGGCGTTGCTTCAAGAGAGTACTGAAGGTTTGGACGGCTTCAGTCTTGCAGAAGGCGCTCATACATAGCTGTATCTGATACCGCTCCGTGGCGCCAATCATGAACAGGTGAGTGAGCCATCGGTCCTCCCCGAGATGACATTTTCCGTAGTCGAAGAGATCGTCGCATTGCTCAGCCTTGTCCGAAAAGTAATACTTGGCCATCTTGCGAAAAGCCGAGAAGCGTA